CTGGAAACCTACATTTCATTGTTTGAATGCAAGAGTATTTTAAAGGAAAATTTTGCTGCTTTTCCCGGTACCTGGGCCAAAGACAGCTGAAGTCATTTTTATGTGACTTTGGAGGAAAGTTACTTCGGTGAAACAGCCCTTTATCTGCCACATGTAACCCGACAGGGATAGCCTGGCCTTAGCCATCTGTAAACTATTATTTGTTCAATTATTATTTCCCTACATGTACGTCTGGGTCTGATCCTAATGGCTGCAGTTACCTCGGTTGTATCCCATCCGACCAGTCAGCGAGTTTGTTGGTTCTAGTTTGACAATGGCAGCAAATACAATTGCGAAGTAATCCATTCTGGTTTGGCAGTAATTTAAGCCGGAGCAAGATGAATGTTTTGAAGATTTCATTGCTGGCAAAGCTTTTGTGGTTCTACTCCCCACGGGCTCCGTTCGCGGCAAAGGAGATGCTACCTAAATGCTAGCGACTCACTTGGGCACATTACATACGTCTCAATAAACTCAGATCCAATCGTTTCAATCTGCAAAAGGAGTTAACCCCTCCCACCTGTTAACAGAGCTCAATGGAGCAAATCCAGACCTTAGTAGGAAATCAAATTTATACGATGGTGTGTTAAGACCAGGCTACGACAGGGACTATGTCATTTAAAAATAAAGTCTAAAATAAAGTTTTCATTGCAGCGCTATGAGAGTACAAACAGCCGCTGCATGGACAGTAGCATATGAACAGTTTCACAGGAACTCATCTGCAAGATCATGTTATTTCTGTTCTATGTTAGCCTGCAATACCACACCATGTAGGGAAATGATAATTGGCCAGAGTTTACAGATGGCTAAGGCCAGGCTAGTTCTGTGTAGCAATAGGGTTTCCAATACGGAATTGTCCCGTATTTTAGAAAAACTATGTGCGTCCCGTATTGAATCAATATGGGACGGCTTTTGTCCTGTATTTTCAGAGTCGCCTCACTCACATACACACACGACACACACAGTAATCACAGTTTAAGCATCTACCTTTCGGCCAATCAGTGTCAAAGGGGGGGCATAGGCTCAATCACATCCATGGGCTTAATGACGCGTTCAGACCAGATCATGAGTTGCGGCGACTTTCAATGAAAAGTCAATGGTGACGCGCGTTTGATCATGGAACTGCATGTGCGTCTCGGGATGCATGCACGGACTGCGCGGTCGAGATGCACAGACTGCGCGGCAAAGGCGTGGCAGAGGCGCAAAAGCGGAAAATTGACGCACACAGGAGGTACAGTAAATATTGCTGGAGGATTCCTCGGAACGCTCGTGCAGGGACCAATCAGAGAGCCGCAAAGTGGTCACGGGGACATTAGCGGTCTGAGCGAGCCGACTGAAAAAACCGGAGCTACACCACGACTAAACCAGGGTTGACAATGGGGGACTCCGTGCTTGTGAACATTTGTGTTGTCATACTCCCGTGACTGTGTACAACTGCTTCGAGCGTGTTCGCCAATGCAGAAGTACCGTTTAATAATAAAATAAACGTATGGCGCACCTCCGTGAACACATACTACTGTTATATAAAGTCTGTGGAAGGTCTCTGAACACAGAGACGCTGCAAAGCTGCATTATTGGAGAAGATCTTTACACAAGAAGCCGCTAACTCTGTTAGCTTCAAAGTCAGCCCGCTACTTCCGCCACTTCCGGCGGGCGCCACCGCAGGCCAGGACTTCTGGTCTGAACAACAATATTTACAGTCTATGGTCTGAACACCCCTGCATCTGAAAATTAGAGAATGTGCGTATGGTGCGCGAGGCGTCAGCGTTTGCATCAGCGGTCTGGCCGTTAATGCTGACAAGCGACAGCATGTCCCACGCCCGCAGCATCATCACGGCAGAAGTTTGGTAAAGTTAGTGCCCTATTCCCAGATTCGGACAAAATGCATTTCTTAATTTTTGACAATGAGATTTTTCTCAAACAGAATTTTCATATTCAAACTATCAGTACTATCAGTATCGACTATCAGCATTTCATGCCATGTTGGTAATATTCTGACATATTTAATCAGATGGCCAGCTGACATTTGGTCACAACAGAAGTATGCATCACTAGCCAATTACAATCTGCTATAACAGGGGCAAATAAATATTTATAATGTTTGATTTCTGTGTTTAAAGAAGCCACATTGCATACTTTCACATCACCCTACATCATTCATGAACAAGTCATATTTTCTGAGCTTTGATTTCATGTATTTTTCAATCACCCTGACTCTGCTGGGACTCCACAAGTCACTGAGGCATAATCTAATTTGCCTCCATCTTCATATGCTCATAAGTGTGATTATATCATTTCTTCAGAGATATAAAAACTCTGAGAGAACGCAAACATCTGTTGACATGCCGCACGGAAAAACAGAGACAAGAGCTGCGTTTCCATGGTAACCACAGGAGAGATGACCTCCTGAACCTCTTTCCCAAATGTGGCACTAAGAGCATGTGGATGGGCCACATGTTCTAAGTGCACCTAATAGTGTTGTGAAATAAAATTATTATGATCAAAACACTTGCATTTATGTATAAAAACATATACGTATTTTTTTTACTGTATGTTTTTATTTGTGCAATAAATTGTACACTGTATTAAAATTCAGAGGTGCCCGAATAGTATAATTCCATTATGTAAAAAGATCAATTTTTAGATCTTATTTTTCTGAAACTAAACAAAATCCATCAATGCAATTAGACAGAAACTTAGACTGATTACAATCTTACATTTGTGGTCAATGAACGTTTGATGGTTTTGCTGAACATGTTCAAGTTATAGTGGAGTGCTCATGTCGTACATTTTAAGTCTGAGATGCATGTTTCGGGGTTGTTAATTTTCTTGTGTTTATTTTTTTGAGTAGTGGAGGTTGTGTGGCTGATTTTAGCCCAGAAAATTAGCCCTGGATTTATATTTTGCATACTTGCAGTCATGTGTATTTTTTTTCATTGACATGTGTTTTTGCATTATCTTGAAAATATGTGCTCAAGCCATACAATTATACTCACATTGAATACAAAATGTGTATGGTAAAAAGGTGCAGATAGAAGAATTAAACAAATTGCATGTTCTCATCTTAACTAAAGGCTTGGTTAACAATAAAGCCACTAAGTCACGTTGTTGATATTAAAAGTTGCCATACATACAACAGAGCCCTGGCTGAAGCACTCACCTCCAGCAGTGCCTCTTCCGGTCCCCACAAACACTTATACAACAATAGACCGCCTCGCTTTCATCTGTCCATGTGCACTGTTCAGTAGACCCCTACCAGGACTGCCTGTCTGGCCTCTTTTCCACCATCCTGAGTCACCACTTCCCCATAGGATGAAAGAAAACCCCCCCTGCGATGTGCCGGTTGGGAAGACAAGAGTCAACACAGTTATATGTCCACTCACATGTGCTGGCGTAATACTCATGGAATTATTATTACTTGACAGGTGTGCCTCCCCGTTGAGCATGGCCGAGTAGGTGTGTGTGTGATTGAATGCGTGGGGTGCATATGGACAAGATGGGAGCCGGGATACGGACAAAAGGGGGGAGGGGGGGTAATTATGGCCTCCCATGTTGAACAGAAACATCAGAGGGAAGTCATTTGTGGAGCTATATTTAATCAGAGCAGATAACAAGACTGACTACAGCTGTCTGAGCCCATGGGCAGAAGGAGGGCACACTGCACTGCCATTTCCGCTATTAGTGTTTATTATCAGCCAGGCTTTTACTTCTATACTTTTAGTAGCTGTGACCTTTTAGCTCTAATTTGAAGACATTCTGACACTAACCTGGGAGTCTGACTGTAAAAGGTTGGCTCAAACACACTTTTATGCCAGTGAACTATTTTATTTGGATTGTGATGATTTATGGATCTATACATTTCATACTAAATTTAATAATAAACTGTGAGGTAATCCAGACAATTCATTACGATTTCCACGGAGACATATTTAATCCAAAGTTGCATAAGGTATACCTTGTACTTTACTTATGGTATGCTTTGTCATCCTTATAGATTTGGCCCCAGCATTTGATCCATCTTGCAATTCCACAACTGCAACCTTTCAGGAGCACTGGTTGTTATGGCACAGTGGTTGGCGAGCCCGACCTATATGTCCAGATGCTTGGCTTGGTCAGGACAAGCTGACGAAGCTGGAGGATTTTACCTATAGTGCATGTGGGTGGGGAAAGAGGAGTACCCATGGGGAACTCATACAGACAAAGGGAGACACGGTTATAATTTAAAGTTAGCTTTGTTTCAACATTGGCTTTGTATTTTCCGCTCATTCTTTAAGGCTATATTTATGTAGTGCATGATTCATATCGGTTGCATGTAGATTCCCTCTGGTGGATGTCTGGTGACTGCCTTACCCTTTCCATTCTCGAATGATGGTCGTTCTGTGAGATGTTCAAAGATTAGGAAATATGTATTTGTCTAACCTAGCAATGCTTTCAACCTCTTATTCCCAACATAATTCCAGTCCATGGTGTGTTCTTTGAACCTCATGACCCTGTTTAGTTATTGGTTGCACTCATTTACACAAACAAATAAATATTGCTGCTTCAGCTACTTTGTGTTTTGGTATTTTACATAAAACAAATCAAATATCATTGAAAAAAATGTGGAAATGTTTAAGGGGTTGTTGAAAAGCACGGTTTTAGACATAATAGGCCTAATAACAAACAAAAGTATTAAGCCTAATACTTTTAGATACACTTTCAAAAGTTATTGTGGTCTTGTGGTGTTTCCCTCCCTTTCTCCATGACTTGAGTGAACAAGGGTGTGGAGTGTATTGCTCAACGACACTAGACAGTATGCCTTGTAAATCTTGTTCTCCGACAAATAATTCAGACACAGAAACTATAATCTGTTTCCATCATCTATTGGATCTATTGGAGTGGAAACTTCCAATACTAGTCATTCACTTTAAAAATGAAAAAGATTTGATTTTGACTAAATGTTCTTTTGTACCTTTTTCCCGCAGAGTCCAAGTGGAGTTCTATGTGAATGAAAACACGTTCAAGGAGCGCCTCAAATTGTTCTTCATCAAAAACCAAAGATCCAGTAAGTAAGGCTTGAGTGCCCTTGATTAAAGTTTGTTCAATCAGGGACATTTCTTTCCTGTTTTGAAATGAGATGTTTAGGATTAATTCATACAAAAATAAAGTGTCCAAATAGAATATGGGTGTTAAACCGTGTTTGTATTCAAGTCTGGGATGACATTATCCAACCACAAAACCCTTTAGGACCTTGGGGTTACATTTTGAGACAGAATAATGACAAGACTTAGTAATTACTGCTGTTTGCTTAGAATCCATCAAGCAGAAAACAAATAAAAATCATCTCATTAAAGTGATTTTTAGATCTTTTGTTTTGTTTTGTGGTTGACCAACGACAAGTTCACTCAGTCACGATGGAACAATGTCGTCAGAACAGGCTTCATAACGGGCAGTGTTTAAAACGCTCACTCTAAAAGGTGCACGTGGCAAAGTTTGATCATTCTCTCCAGTGAGATAATTGTGCTTAAAATTGCCTAAAACTTGCCAATCTACCCAGAAACAGAAACATATTTTGGAATTAAATACTTTTAATAGATTACTATATGTAGTGGATAATTCCTGATAAGACAATACCAGGCAACTAAACTGTATGTGCACAACACTAGCTTTGATAGTTTATTATTCTGATTTAATTTCTCATTCCATTCAACACGTATGCATTATTTACAGAGGTTAACAATTCTATGAAAGGAAGTCACATTTTCAAAGATTGCCCAATACACACTTTTCCTAATTATCCAATTTCATGGTTAGCTTCCAGGCTATTGAAATGAGAATATACTGTAGGCTGTCCACCATAAAGGAACGTGTTGATGAACCACTATAGTAGCCAATAGGCAGCAAAATACATTAAATATGTAAGTCTGACCCCCAGCTGTAATTAAGCTGCAGAGTATTAACATGTTCTTATAGCCACTAGGCTGCTTATATGTTACAAGTTGCAAGTTGACGACAGATCCATTAATTTTGAGTGGATTAAATGTTTGTTCTGTGTTCTCTCCATTCCAAATGTTTAGTGGTGGCTTCTTCTAATCACGTTTTTTCTCTCCTTGCAGGTCTGCGGGTGCGAATGTTCAATTTTTCTTTGAAAGTTCTAAGTTGCCTCCTATACATTGTCAGAGTGCTGTTAGATAACCCAGAAGAAGCAAGACAAGGCTGGTGCGTAAACAATGTCAATGTGTGTAACTGGACAGGTCAGATAACAGCTGTGTACACTGTGGTATATTTTCCGATGTGGTAAAAATCTGTTTTGGATGGGCTTGGGTTCTGTGCTGTGTTTTCTTCAAGTGAAGAAAGAAGGCAGGGAGAAAACAACTTTAATTGCACTTTTTTGTGGTTTGACCCCTGCAGTGTGAACGGAGTCAACTGTACCAAAGTGAACGCGTCATTTCAGCGCTGGAATGAGTTTGACTGGTAAGACTTTTAATTGGGGTTTAGGAGCGATATCGAGCCCACTGGAGAAAAGCGGCATCCTCACTGCAAGCCCCATACTGAAAAGAAGCCTTGTACAATACTATCAATGCAACTTAACTTATTGAATTTGAAATGTTGATTTAAACATTATGTATCCATGTTAATTTGTCACAATCCAGAAGTCATAGATTATCTGTCATTGGAAAAAAATGCCCGATGGAGTTCAGCGTGTAATATTTGACAGGGTGTAGTGGATAGCCAGGAAATCAATACAAACCATATTGTTTACATATGTTTTTAGCCTATTAGTCTGACACTGATTACACAGAAAAGGGATGACTCTCCTCCCACTCCAGACAGTAAGGCAAGCAGCTATCGTAAACCTCCTGAGTATCTTTATGGGAAGAAAGACATTTATCTAACCGTAGACCTGCAAATGAATTTATGTCTCTTGTGCGGTAATTTGTTCACAAAGACTGAATGTATGGTTACACACATTAGGAGTCAGCCAAGGACATGAAAGAAGCGCAATTTTGGCTAAAGAAATTTTAGTCAAGGCTTCCTTCAGTCAGATCAAAAGATCCGAAGCGAGAGTATATAGTATTTTTGTTGTAAATCACATCTTTTAAATGTGTCCCCAGATAATAGTCAACATAAATCATATATTGCCCAAAATTTAGTTTAGTTTAGTTTTTTTTTTTTTTATTAAAGAATACAATGGATATGATTGTGTATGTTTACAATTCTCAAACAGATCAATCAGAAAGCAGAATGTGGCTCTCATTTGAGTTGCCAGTTTGTTGTTGAAATGTAGCTAGATTCACGAATTAAATATAGCACCACACATATTTAATTGAAACCAGGTACAAAAAATAAATAGTAATACGTAATAAGTTATACAGAGTTTGTACTGTTTCTAACCAAACCCCAGCAGGTGGATTCCATCGATAATCAGTGCTTAGGACCTACATGTGTCACATACAGTAAGATTCTGGCAACAACAGTTGGATTGTGATTGTATTTACTTTATTAGAGCATTAAGAGTGCCCCTTTAAATGTACGATGAAATATTGTTAAATGTACGATGAAATATTGTTAAAACATCGATTTACTTTACCTGTCATAGTTGTAAATTAGTAGTTCACACCTGCAAATATTATGCATCATGTTTAGCTTTCCTTTGACTAGATGGAGTTATGTTAAGATATGCACTGTGGACACAAAATTGAAATACCAAATGAAAACCCAATTAGGGAAAAAAGCCTGAACTTTATTCGTGAGGTGATACATGCAATCAAATGGACTACATTCAAATTAAATAATTGTTTTTTTCTGCCTTACAGGAAGCTAATCCTCTGGGTGGACAGACCTCTGCCTCTGTGGGCCTTGCAGGTGAGTGAGTACTCCAGTGTACACACTCTGGTCTGTTTACATGACAAAATACACTCCTATACAAATCTAATTGCACCAGCACAAAACTGTTTGCATTGGTCCTTTACATAGTGATGACTGCAAACACAAATGTGCGGACCCCTGGATTCCCTCCCTAAATTACACTCACCCCTCACAGCTCTCGCCCACGCTCACATCGTCTTTTTGAACAATACTAGTTTCAGACAGAGTAGGTTCCTGGGTTACTCTCTGTGACTTTTATTGCCTCTGTTTTTCATGCAGGTGCTCGTGGCTTTCATCAGCTTCTTGGAGACGATGTTGCTGGTGTATTTAAGCTATAAGGTAAGTTTGAGTTCTCTAAGTCGAAACATAACTATCACACATTGTCCCTGTCTAAAGCATAGATACCAGAGAGCATGTTGCTATTCTTCATTTTTAAGGCAAATACTGGTACTGGAGAAAGACTGGCATGATCATACATAAACATGATTTTGGTGTTTTGTTCATCAGCAAATAAAAAAAATAAAAATACAAAACAATATTCAGCTGTTTTGCATTTACTGATTTTATTCATACTCCTAACACTCATCTCTTAGATCGTGCCTACCTGCTACACCAGCAAGCAGACGATACTAGAGTTTCACACAGATTATCAAACACTTCACAGACTAAGTGGCCGAGGCTATTTTTACACTTTCTACACCCAACTGCATCACTTTTAATTTTCAACATACCATCTTTGCCACGTAATTAATCAAGAGGTATATTTCAACTAATGGGATAAACGGCAACAGAAATACAGTAGAGCAGGGACCAAATGTCAGTCTTTTTTTCTCCATTCAATAAAATATGTGAGCTTGAGCACGGAACATTTTTCTGTAGCTGGACTTGTGAAAATTATCATATATACTGTATATTATAACTTGTGAAGATATAATATATATATATGATATAAATTACTCATTATGTGGAAAGTGACATATGCCGAGCATTTGTTGGTTGTTCATATTTTACAGTCAAGTTTTTGCATTTGAATTGTTTTAAATTTGGGGTTTTTACAAGCTGCGAGCCAATTATCAACATTATTTTAAAAAAAAACGTCTTACTTTGTATGTACCAAGTATGTCATATATTCATTTCACATTGTGTTGATTTGTGTTGTAATGTGGAATTAAGAAAATAGACTTTTTAACCATATTCTATTTTTTTTTGTTTCATCTTAATGTTATTTCCACATAATTTTAATTCATTGTAGAGATGTAGATATGATTAGTATTTATAGAGATCCGTATGTCTAACATTTATACGTGTATCTGTTATACATTTTTGATTCTCTAATCTATTGTTGGCAAAATGACAATTTTGTAAAGACGACCTCTATTGTAAATTGAGGCTATAGGAAATAAATTGAATTAAACCAATCCAACAAAATATAATTATAACAATGTCTTCCATACAACATATGATGTTGATATGGCTCTCCCGATCAGTTGTAGTATTGCAGGTAGTGGCAGTGGATCAACAGCTTAGCGTTCTTTACTATAGTATCATTCGTTCATGTTGATCCATTCTCTGGGAGAGCTCCTCAGGCTGTCTTAAAGCCCTCCTGCTATCACTGTAGATCAGTCAGTCTCACGCAGAGGCCCCCGTGTTGATCCAGCGGGCGGCCCATCCATCTCTGTGGCTGCTCTGCTTTTGATATACTTGACACGAGCCTATGAAGGGCTTGCGCCGCAGATTACTCCGGAGGCAAACGGCGGCCTTAGCATTTAGAGCCCACTGATTCCTGTGGACAGCCCCGCGCCTGTCCACCTACGCTATGGCCACATTCAGGTCAGCAGCATAAAAAGCAAGCAGCAGCAGACACATAAAGAAGCAATAGCTGACATCTTAATTGGGCAGAAAGTGGAAGCTGAGTAACACCACAAAGGGCCTTGGGGAGGTTGTATAACACATGTCTTTTATTGCCTCTTCTCTTTGCTCAAATGTGATCGATTTCCTGCAGTAACTTTTCACCAATCGTTCGGGTTATGTGGTAACCCCCTAAGGTTGCGTTGACAATGGAGTTCCCCTGGCCCTGCGATCATCCAATAGCTTTTCAGGAGAATAGAGACCATTCTTTAATAGATGAAAGTAAAAAGAAAAAGTGTCAAACTGCAGAATTTGGAAGTGGACATTTTATCCTGAATTAGGTTGATTTGAATTTAGCTGCTAATCTTGTCAACCTAGGCTCTTACCAAATCATTCATGGTTGAGAAATCATTCACCATTCTCAATCATTCACCTTACAACATTGCTCCAACAATCCAAAGTTTCAAATGCTCCCTGTTGGTTTTGTTTTGTTATTACACAAATGTGGTGCACAGATGAGATGACTTTGCAGCATATTGCAAGGATTTCTCCTAAATGAGATGTGATATTCTGTGTAAATGCAAAGAAAATACAACAATGATCTATATTTACTTTAAACTTGACAAAATCACAGTATTAGTATGTATTCCTTGTACTGTATCTGGTAGGAATTTATTCATATGAAAATTACCAAAATAAACATAACAGTTAGTTAGTTTGTTAATTAAATTAATTCAGGTTCAACTTGTTCATGTTTATGTTTAGTGAATTCAACCACTTGCCTCCATCTGAGATTTTGTAAATGCGATTGGGAATTAACCATTGCATTCACGTACACATGTGTTTGCAAGTAGCAACATTGAAGTGAAATCCCAGTTGCCGCATCCATCAAAAGCTGTTATCTTTGTCCAGGTGGTGCTGATGTGGTAATCCCTAAGGTCGTCATGACAATGGAGTTCCCTAACCCCACTGTGCTCTGTGTTTCCAGGGCAACGTCTGGGAACAAGTCCTGCGCGTCCCGTTCATTCTGGAGATGATCAGCGCCATTCCCTTCATGATCACTGTGAGTGGTTCATTCATGTCGAAGGTGCACTTTTATGATTAAAAGTACATTATGGACGAGCACAGAACATCTTTGAATGTGTGTCATTTTTTACTTTCACACTTCTACACTTGCATGTGAAAACCTGCTCCCTGGTTTACACTGTGATGGGAGACCTCTGGGAACACCAGGTGCCACAGTGGGGCAGCTGCGGCTGTAAAGTGCCAAACTTTAGTGTGTGTGTGTGTGTGTGTGTGTGTGTGAATGATCGGTGGAGATGGCTCAGATTGGCAGCCTCGCTTCCATCAGTTTGCCCCTGGGAACTGGTCGGTGGTGGTCAGAGATGGTTCAGATTGGCAGCCTCGCTTCCATCAGTTTGCCCCTGGGAACTAGTGGCTACATCAGTAACTTACCACAACCATGTTTGGAGTAAATTAGAAATGCCAATGTGAAGTGTCTTTCCGTGTTCAAAAGTGCGTTATATAAAAATGATCTAAGTTTATGTTACATCCTTGTCTCCATGTAAAGTGATGCGTCCTTTGCCACGTCAAAATCAATTCTATGTCCATACAGCGAGCAGGCGGTGGACCAGGTATCACAAAGTTAAATATGTAACCCAATGCGGCCAATGTGAGATACTACAATAATCTAAGGCAGGCCAACTTCAGCTAAAATCCTGAAGTTATTGGATAAGAAAAAAGAAGATTTCAGATTTCCTGTGAATAAAGTGCCGGAAAAGGCAGATAGAAAATCTCATCAAAGGTTGATTTCATCTTGTGATAAATTATATTTCCAGTTCATATTTCCAGTTCCGTGTCTTGGGACGAATGTTCCTGAAATGCATCTCAATGTTGTATTGCAGCTGGCCTATATTTATCTGCAGAAACGAGGAACTGATATAGTTATTATCAAATAAAAGAATACACTCATATTACTAAAGTTGACAGTTTTATTTGCTTAGCCTATTAAAGTACAGTTTATGAAAGATGAAAGATATTCAGACTTTAGTAAATACAGTTTATCTAATTAGGGCAAGTGTGTGGAGTGAATGAATGATGCCATGTGAAGCCTCTCTGGGTGTCATGAAAAACGCTATATAAGTAGTATTATCATTATTATTATTATTAAGTTGAGATTAAGGGATGTCATCTGTTCAAGGCGAGCTCTTCTTCTGGAGATTAAGCAATGTGTCATATGTTATTTTTATTAAATCATCCGGGTTAGGGTTAGGGCGTCCATCTTTAAGATATATTTATACTTTTAGAATAATTCAAACCTGTGTTAAGGTGGAAGGTTTGTTTTCTATTCCCAGCAATGTACGCCACAGTTTGTCTCAAAAGTACAAATTTACCCAGAACAGCATTCAATAAGGCTTCTTGTGACAACATTTGAAATATATAAACGTAAAGAGTCATTCAAACTGAATATTTTTCTGGTTTTCTATGGCGTTATTAGAGATTTTTCTGTATGTGTAAGAAATGAATAACTGTGTTTCTTGTTGACAGGTGATTTTACCCTCCTTTAGAAATCTTTTCATCCCAGTATTTCTCAATTGCTGGCTGGCCAAACATGCTCTGGAGAACATGATAGTAAGTAAAGCATCGTCCCCTATATCCAATTTTCTCATTATTTCCATCTCAGCATCCCTGCCATGTTGTTTTGTTGGCATGAGATTGCCAATTTCTTTTGCACCCGTCTCAACTCTACAGCTTTATGTAAGACTGTGCTCTGAGGTAATTCAGTCAAAAAACATTTATGCTCAAAGTGTGCGCTGCTTTGTCTCAGTCTGAAGGATTCTTGTCCCCGCTGCTTTTGATTCTACCTGGTTTCTCATCTCTGTTTCGTGGCTTTTCCGTCTGCATTCTTCACAGCGAGTTAGGACAGTGCATATGGGGAATGAAAACTGAGAAAATTAGGTGCACAGACTCGTACTCATAATTCCAAAGATAGAGATTTTATACTTGTTTCTTATTCATGGTAGAGTTAGAGATTTGTATTATTTTATTTCGTATAGAGTTATTGTTCATTTGTCTTGTGCTGTGTGCTCCTCATTCACTGCTCTGTAACTGGTGATGCAACACTGACATTTCCCCACTGTGGGACAAATATAATTGCATAATCTTGATTTCAAAAAATATAAAATAATGATCTACAGGTATCAGAGATCACTACAGAAGTTCACATACTTTGGCAGAATACGGGATTTCTTGGCCATTCTTTAGTCAATGTGAACTCAAAGAAACAATTTTTTTGTATAGCATCAGTCCTACAAAATGAAAAGGGATTTGCATTAACAATAATAGGCATATACATAAAAACACAAATTTGAACACATTTTAAAACAACCAAATATATGGAAAGTGGTTTGGTGAAGCCATTTATTGTCATCAGTAATAGTGTAAAAGCGTTGTTTGTAAAGAAATAGCTTAATCCAACCCCTACCATTTTGTGCGGGTCTAAAACTACTACTCAACCCTTTATTTTTTCAGTCATGTGATGTGGAGCCTGAAAGATGAATCAATAAAGAAAAAAATCAGTTAATCAATAACAGAAATAAATAAAACAACAAGATTTAGGGAAACGATTTAGATTCTGGAGCTCCTGGTTCAAGCTACTTTGGCACCAAGAGGGTTAAATACTACATTATGACAGGGTATGTAAACTTACGAGCACAGATGTATGTCAACTTCAACAAAATAACTATCCCTGATTCATTTAGAGAAACATAATTGAGAAACAGATTTACAAAATTGTCCCCTAATGTGATTTGGTTCTTCTACCAGACAACGCCTAAATAACCTCATTCTACTAAGAAGACAAGATGATCCTTCCTAAACTATATATGTGTCCTTCATGTGGACAATGTTGGGATATTTTACACACACATCTCGCTGTAATGGAACCGTTTCTTTATTCTTGTTGTTGCTATGTTTGCAGAACGACCTCCACAGGGCGATCCAGCGCACGCACTCAGCCATGTTTAATCAGGTGGTGATCCTCATCAGCACATTGGTCTGCCTGATGTTTACATGGTGCGTATACCACACCATGACAGTCTCCAGATGGGATAGGACTGGACTCTAGGAAATAGGTTTTCACTGTTTCGCGACCAAGGTACAGGTGGGAAATAATAAGGCGGCACAGTAAGAATTGTTCCGGAGCTGAGAGGAAGAGACATGGACTGGTAATTGGAACAGTGAAGGGAAGATGGCGCTCCTACATGACAACTATAGTGGCCAAGAGCAGCGGGGAAGTGGTGTGAACATCGCTGATAATCCATGAAATCCCACAGATGGAAATAAAAGAGAAAAACAGTCTGAGCTATAACATTGTAGGGAGTGGACGAATATCACTTATCTAAAGCTGGGATACGTAACTTTCAAACCACAAAAAAAATCAAATAAATTGTGCCTCACTCTCAAAACAGTTGTCTCTATCGCTAGTTTTCAAATGCATGTATTTTTGGCCTCTCTCACATCTTTAAATCTACTTTTTCAAACAGAGTAGTTAATTTTAGAGGACTCGCTCAGAAAATCCATGACTCACAGGCATCTATTTTAGTATTCAAAAAAGAACAGCTTTTCCTAATACGATGAGGACAACTTGTCTGATTTGTTCTCAAATAGTTGCTTGAACAACTTGAACGACTTTTTTCTGTTGCGACAATGTATTATTAATTGAAACAATTTAGTTACCCCAGCTTTAATGGAACTATCAGCACAAAATCATTGTAATTCATTTAAATTTGTTTTTGTATAGCCCTAAGTCACAACTGCAGTTATCTCTGAGGACTTTACAAGTTTTCAACTTGCAAACACGAATCAGAGAATTAAATTCACAGGAAATGTAAAGATAAAAACACTCAGAGACATTGGTTCATAAGAGGCGGATGATCAATGTCCATAAATGTAAAAAAATGTCCACATTTGTCACCGGCGTTTGCAGGTAAATCATAAAATGTAAAATGTCAGTTTGTCTGTGCATTCCCCTGCACAAATGATGCTTCTGTATTGACTTGATATAGATATATAGTTACAAGCCTAAAAAGCCTCTGCCATCTAATTATTCTTTATTACATGTTCTCTTGCAGTTTTTGTAAGAAAAAAAACAAAATGAATGATAATATATAAGATTAAAATATTACAATCTAGTAGTTTTTATCCTGAATTGAATCTCTTGATTCAGCTATATTTTGACTCTTAATTTTCTATCAAAATTTACTTGAGGAGGTTTTTTTCACAAAATAGATTGAAATCAATTAAGTACGCAGAAGGGCAAGGGGCCACCTTATAGATCAGATGGTATATTGAAACTGATCATTGAAATCGACTTCTCCATTGCAAATGTTAGGCCTTCAGAGATGACTGTAGTCACGAGGATGACAAGAAAGCAGCGAAATGCAGACATGACACATGAGCAGTGGAGATGACGTGTGAAAGCTGTTGATAATCCAGGAAGTTCCACACAGACGAGAATTAAGCTGTCTGAATGTAACGAGGCTGACATTTACCGTCTTATCAATCCTTCGCATCTTCAGAATCAAGGCCCTACAAATGGTACACTTATGTTCAGTGCATTCATCTGTGAGCACAAGCAGCTTTTTACTGAAAGAAAACCTTTGATTTCACACGTCGTGTACAGTATGTTGAAAGAGTAATCGCCATATCTGACTGGATTGACAATGACCGAACAAGGAGAAAAGGAATTTAAGTTTAAATCCACTAACGACTAACAAGACTCAGGTAATAGACAAGAGCGGGTTATCGGAAAGTAACACTATCACTGTAAAAAAAAAAAAAAAGTTAATTTTACAGTAAAAATCTGGCAGCTGGACTTGTTTTTGGATTTTTCTAGCATAAAATGTACAGTCTCCCTTTAATGCAGTTTACAGTTAAACATAATCTTAGATGTTTTTTTGACAGTTTATTACTCTCAATTCAATAATTATAATCTGTAATAAAAACTTTAAAAAGCAGTTAAAAGAAATCTACTGTAAAATTTACAGTTTTTATTTTCATACATTTACATATTTTATATGTAATATTCACAGTAGAAAAAGGGCAACTCCGGCTGCCAGAATTCTACTGTAAAGTCTACAGTCTCCCTGTAATGCAATTAACAGTTAAACATGGTCTTAGATTCATGACAGTTGATTACTGTCAATTTAAAACCTATAATCTGTATAAATTACAATTCAAATCTGTAAGGACGATTTAAACCACAATTTTTTGCAACATAAGTGTACAGTAGTTTGCCGCATGTTCAACTGTAAAATGTACAGTTTTTACCTTTATATAAAAACACATTATCTTTATGAAAAATGTACAGTAGAAAAATGGTAACTGCAGATGCCAGAATTCTACTGTTAAATGTACGGTCTCCTGGTATTAAAATTAACAGTAAAACATGTAGGACACAGGGGTTAACAGATTACAAAACAATATATTAAAACAAACTTTTTTTAAACATTTTTTTGTGTGACTTCACTTGTCAGTTGGTCATTTATTATTTCATTCACAATTAGGTACATACAATAAACAGGATACAAAAAGTAAACATACTGTTTCAAAAGGGCTTATTTGGTTCCAACCCCTTTCACTCATACATGACACACACAACACGCATGACACACAACATGCATACACACACAATATGCATGACACACACAACACGCATGAGACACAACATGCATACACACACAACACACATGACACACACAATACGCAGGACACACACAACACTTAGGACACACATGCGAGTGAAAGGAAAAAAGAAAGCAATAAGCAACAATAATACATCGCAATAGTAAAGTTGGATCAGCAGAGGTGGGACAAAGTCATTGTTTAGCAAGTCACAAGTCAGTCTCAATTCATTGCCCTCAAGTCCCGAGTCAAGTCACGAGTCAAGACAGGCAAGTCCCGAGTCGAGTCCAAGTCAAAGGCCAACAAATCTCAAGTCAGTCCCAAGTCCTACGGTTTGACTTTCGAGTCCTCTCGAGTCTTTTTGACCGCGATTTGTTTCTTGTTGGTCTCCACGTACTTTTGTAGGCAAACAAAATAATGTTAGGAATCATTTTGCTGGTGCATTCTCGTTGGTCTCTGACCCATGGACTAACAGTTTGTTCCATGTCGTTGGCTGCTGGTAAATCAAAACTATCTACGTGATCTAATTGGATGTTGTGCCAGATGCAGGCTCAGTTACACATGCACAGACCACACATAAAATCAGAGCAGTCCATGTCAACATACTTTTTATCTTTGGGGTTTTTAATGGGAAGTAGCAAGTGCAGCAGTGCAGCATATATGAATATGAGTATTGGGCTAGGACCTGTATCTATATAATCAGTTTAATGTCCGTAGTGGTTATTGTTCCAAAGGACTGAAGGGACCAATGGAGGGGAAGGACCCTGGCCTGTATGAACTGGACCAGCATTAGTAATATCTCATAATTACCAATATATCATTACATAATAAAATGTCTCATATAAATTAATTCAATCAGTCAAAGCACTGATTCTCATATCAATGCACCATAAACAATAGTGCAAATATTAATCTAGCTTAGTGCACATAATCAAAACAACTATCTAATGTATGCAAACTTTAGCAGGAGGAGCACAGCAAAAACATACTCATAATAATAGGGCTCGGCGCCCACACAGAAAAATATAAGAAATAGCCAACAGAGCAGCGCAGGCTAGCGCTAGTTTGACTCACCAGTTCCTCTTTAAAACACGGCACACAGTGTGACAACTGCGTCGATTCAATTGTATGAGGCGCCTGTAGTGAAAGCATATCAATTACGGTTTGTAGAACAAAATATGACGTTAGGTTGCGATAAATACCTGCAGCTCGCTCATTTCCAGCTCCCCTAGACAACACACCCACCGGTGAATGCAGTCCGCTTGTTTAGGGAAGTGTTGCTGCGCGAACTGCGGGGAACTCACGTTCGAACTCTCTCGCGAGCGCTACAACTACCGTGAGGCTTTGTTTCTTCAGAGACGGCATAGATAGAAAGAGAGATGCGGAGAAAGGTAAAAATGGCCCGGGTTACGCAAGTCTTTGCAAGTCAATTGGCGCAAGTCCAAGTGAAAGTCAGAGTCATTGATGTTAAAGTCCAAGTCGAGTTGCAAGTCTTTTTATATTTGGTCAAGTCGAGTCTAAAGTCATCAAAATCATGACTCGAGTCTGACTCGAGTCCAAGTCACATGACACGAGTCCACACCTCTGTGGATCAGAGCTAATCCTTTACATTCACAGTGCGTGTTTTCTCATTTCTAAGCTGAATCCACGGCCTCCAGCTTTAAAATAAATGAACTTTGAAAGAATATTCTAGTGTTTCCAGTATCATATGTAGAATGGTAAAATGGTTTACAGAACTGCAAACACAATACAACACTAACCTGCACATTACACAACTTTTCCATTTGTCATGCCCTCTTCACCACAATGTCCTTTCTGCTGTCGTCTCTATATTTTGCAGTATTTGTGGAATACAACACCTGGAGCGAGCGGGGAATAACCTGACACTTTTCGAATCGCTCTACTTTTGTGTGGTTACATTTTCCACGGTGGGATTTGGAGACGTCACGCCTCAGATCTGGCCCTCACAGCTTCTGGTGGTCATAATGATCTTTGTGGCTCTCATTGTCCTGCCAATCCAGGTATGTCATTGTAATTGAAGCTATAGTTGTAGTTTAATAATTGTAGTAGTAGATTTAGTAGTAGTATTCCAAAGCCACCAGTGGACCCCTTTCTCAGACTAGAAAAAAAACCAAAAACAGAAAAAATAATGGGGTATATTTATCAATCCAGATGACAAACTCTGTGTGCAAAGTAAAATAGCGTGTGAAATTTTAGTGGTTTAATTCTACACGTAAATTCAAAATTTGAGTTGATGATGGATGTGGTTGTGGGCTATATTTTAGAATGTAAATCCTAAGTATAGTTAAGGCCCAAATGGCACTGAAGTGGCAAGGTCCTGGCTCTGGTAGTCAGTAATAATGACTGGTAGCTTTAGGTATTTACAGTAGGGGAAAGTTACTAAGTTGGTATTGATATTAGCTTGAAATATAATACAACAAATATTGACCTGTTCTTTTACTATGTGGTATTTCCCCCCAATCCATTTGATAATTTTACAATGAGTTAAATCTTTTATGCACAGCTTGGTAAACAATTGCATTCAAATTGATTTTATGGCAAGGCATTTGTTATCTGCACATATATGAAACCTCCCTGATTTCTATTTTGCTTTTTAGTTTTGCAGCAGCATGTTTCTCGTCTCCTCCTCCCTTTAGTCACCAAAGCTCCAAATCTCTGCTCTGTCATCTTCTCTCACAAATGCGCTGTCTATCGGGAGCTAACAAAGGAGATGGTCACGTGTTATTTGTTCAGGGATGCAGCTTGATAAATGCACATCACTTGTTGTTTGTCATACTTGCTTGTGTTCGTCTTGCAAACCATCTGACAAAGAAAGAGGTATTTGGGGGCTTTGTGCACCTGTTTCCTGAGAATAGATTCAAAAATAATTGCCTTTTCACTGCGTGTTGTTGCAAATCGTGCGTGATGACAATGCACGTCTCTGCTGGCTATTTTAGAATGGTGTCGTCGACGCCAGGCCTTTGGTAAAAGGAGGAGTACTGCCCACACACACTAAGCTGGCTGTTGACTTGTTCGCACATTTTCTTTAGATATAAGAAAGTGTTTGCAAATAGTGAGAAAAGTGTAATAAAGTTCTAAGGTCCAAGGGAAGTAAAACTTTTTGAGACCTTTTTTGAACCACTTCTTTTAAGCCAATTAATCAATAAAAAACGCATCCAAATACTGCTTTACCTCTGTAGGACATGATGCAGTACTGTGTGATCATCTATGATTTGTCGTTTCTTCTCAATATGACCCAAGTCTAAAACGACATAATCTTTTGGGCTAATTATTGTCATTTGCTCCTGTCCCCTCAGTACGTCTTGGCTTGATTCCATTGATACACACCATAGTCACTGTAGGGAAAGATATAGTCTTCTGACCCATTTTTCATGTCAAAAAGTAGTTTAAAATGGCTCTGGAATCTGTTTTGGATTCCTCATTGCCGCCTCCCTAGAGAGACGTTTACTTCACTAAGAGGAGACTCTGGGGAAGACCCAGAACATGCTGTCCTGGGAACTTCTTGGGATTCCCCCAAATGAGCCAAGTAGGGAATTCTGGGTGATCATGTAACATCCTCCTAGTTAGTTAGTTGGTTTATTTTTTTCAGTGTCTTCATTCAGACAAAAATATTCAACAAAGCATTAAAAAAAACAAATAATTCACTGAAAAGGTTTTGGCTGAAGTGAAACACTTATTGGAGCCAAACCCCAAACAAATTAATTACAATTTAAAGATAGACAGAACCAAGCATACAGCAAATTAAACGATAATAATTTGTTTACAAAGTATATTCACAGTAAATGTTACATACACATTTCCTCAGGTTGCACTACAAAATATATACAAAACAGCTATATAATAGGAGAGTTTAGATATTGTTAAGTTCTCTAAATGTGTTTATTACTTTAAGCTAGAATTTTATTTTGAATGCTTTGACTGATGTGACTCCTCAAACATTAGAGCCTGTATTTTGGTGGCATAGACTTGCCAGGCTCAGTCTCTGTGCCATCTCTGATCCATAAATACCCCTTGACATTTTGAAGCAGAACCACCCCCCTCCACTGCTCTCACCCCGGCCCCACCCTGTGCACGGACGTCCATCTGAGAGACTGACCGTTCACCGCAGAGACAAAGACTCTATCAGTATTCCGTTTCTATCTTTCCCCTTATCACTCCAGCGCTTGCTTCACTTCCTCAATTCAAAATAAGCCAAGCAACTATATAAATTAGACAAATACAAGCGTCACACATCAACCGTGTCGTATTGCTTAAAGCCGCTATCACTGTAATCGTGACATATGCTCTGGCGATGGAAAACTTCATTATAGCTGGCGAAGACTTACACAGGCACTTTCTAACTGTGCAAATTCATAAATGGTTTGAACAATTATTAATGCTTTATTTTACACTACAATGAGAGAGGATAGACATAAGTTTGCTTAACCCATTCTCTTAATTACAATTGTGAAGTAAATGTGTTTCCAGCTCCACTTTAGAGGCAAATTCTCTATTTATTAATCACTTATGGACTTGGAGTGAGAAAATCTCCCTTCATTGATATTCTGTGGCATGAGTTATTACGTCTTGTGCAATATCTACTAAATATATTTGGGAGAAAGCGGTAAATGGTTGAAGTCCTGGGCCTTGTTTTGAAAGATGGTTAGACAGAACCATCTCTGCAGACGCAGCTGTGTTACGGTCTTGGGATTGGAACAGTAGATTCTAGACGGGTTTTGCATTTCGCTCCAAGTATTTTAAACCAAATCAAGCAAAATCCAGAGCCAGCTATTCATACATTATGCAGCTTTGGAATATACTTCAAAGTTTGAGGCATTATCTCACAAGGAACAAACTTTTACTATTATGTGTTTTTGCAATTATGTAATCTTGAAGATATCACTATTTTTGCTTTTTTATTTTTCTAATCAAAACAGCTCATAGCAACACTCATTGTACTAGTCATGCCTCTGCTGTTACTATGAAACAAGGATCTCTTATTTTCTTTTTTGAAATCATTTTGGGCCATTGGGCTTTTATAGACAGAGAATAACAAGAAGAAAATGGGAGTGAGTTGAATGAATAGTCGGAGAAAAGGATAAACAAGCAGGCTTAAATTGTTAATCTCATTGGCAATGGCTCTACTTCTTCATCCTTCTGGAGCACACAGAGAATGACAGTCAGCGTGAGGTTGCTTTGACCTGTTTTTTTTTTCTATTCAAATAGGATACAGCCTTATGTAAGTCTCAGTCAGTCGACAGGGTTTTCTTAAGTGTTTTCCTCCTCATTCCATGTGTTGTTTAGCATCCTCAAGCACCCTTAACTAAATCAGCCGCATCTGTATCGCTTTGTAATCTATCCAAAACACACTGCTAATTAAACCAAAACACCTCGCGGCACGAAGCGTTGCCCCAAACTGTTTTTTTCTCTGTGCTCCGGCCAACTCAACTTCATCCATTTTGCACATCTGTTAAACGTGATTGATGTGTCCTGTGCTCGCAGTTCGAACAGCTGGCATTTCTGTGGATGGAGAGACAGAAGTCTGGAGGAAACTACAGCCGCTACCGAGCGCAGACCGAGAAGCACGTGGTCCTTTGTGTGAGCTGCCTGAAGATCGACCTGCTCATGGACTTCCTCAATGAGTTCTTCGCACATCCGCGGCTCCAGGTGTGTCCTACGGAGTTATGTAGGAGGAGATGATGAGGTGTTGGGGAGTACTTTAGATAAACACGTCTGAACTTCCTCATGTAGACTCGCAATCTCCAGCCTTTTTAGTGCTACGGATGGTTTAACGTCCGTAGCACTAAAAAGGCTACGGAACAATAATTACACAGACTGCCACGGTTTGTTTACATTTCAGCCTCCACGCGCTTGAGGGGCAAGAACGTTTGCTTACATTTCAGGGCTACGGTGTCACGAGACATTGACGTAAGGGGAGGATCCGGGAATTTGTTTAAATAAAGCACCACTGATTTGAAAATAAGACAAATTATCAGCATCACATAAATTATCCAAATGTTTGGCCCATGTAAATGCTAATCAGAACATAATTTGCGAACACTAGCTAATATTTGTTTTTTCAGTTGTATAAATTTTTCATGTTTGAAGCATTGAGCTAGAGGGTTAGTATTGTGCATGTATGAATTGGAGCAGTTAAAAAGATACTAAGGGGGTATTCATACTTGCTGGTCTACCTCACTTTCACTGGTCCAAGTCTGGTTCACTTGTTTGGTGCTTTTGCATCCAAAAATAAATCATTTTAGTGAATCAAACCAAATCCCTTTTTTTGATTACCATAATGAATGAATTCCATTATATTTGAGAGTGAAATGATTTCTGTTGCAAACACAGAAACGTCAATGCGTGAAGTACATGCCTTGTACGTCAAATAGTTCACATGTAACTGGTTATGTACCCAATGACTCTGAAAAACACCCATTGAGACAAAATTAGGCTGGAATCTAAATTTGGTCTTTTGTCAACAACCACCGGAGTAGTTTCATGCGAAGAGTAGAGAAAAAAGAGAACAGCTCAAAATAATTGACCTTGCACAGAGTATGGCACAATTGACAATTTGACTGTTGGCTTGATCTTGGGGTCCATACTGTTCTTATTAATGTGTTCAACATAAAAAGAAAAGAAAATTAGTTTTTGATTGGCTTTACGCCGTATTAAAAAAGCCTATCTTTTTAATTGCACCAACTGTTCTGGAGATAAAGGGATTCATTATGGCAGAAACATTCATATGTAATTGAATAAATACAGCCATTATGTGTGTGAGAGTTACATAAGTATAAAATTAGATATTTCATTGGCTTGCATAAAGTTCAGCATGAAAGTTGGCTAAAGCCTCAGCAAACCAGGAGCTCGGATTTAATGTGAATGTGGTCAAGTGTATAATTGAATTCTGCTCTTATGGCCTCTTACTGCTTTATATTGTGCAGTTCTTCAAACATCCAGCCGATAGCAAACATTGAAGTTGCTTTAGTGCATGGAAAACACTGCCGCCGGTGGTTTAAGGTGTTCCTGTGATCCTTGAGGTTTCAATCTTGCCGTAGGTTTCCTTTCCGGCTTTCTCACCAGGACTCACGCTTCTACAACTCCCACTGCGGGTTTTACAGTTTGGCAACTTTACTGCCTATAGCTCCTATGGAAGCGACTCTCCTGCCAATTCTCATGATGGAATTTCTGCATGTAGCAAATAGATTAATGCGATTTTGCTGCCTGCTAATACAGTAAACCAGTAATTGAACATTCTCTACCAAAATCTGTTTTATGGGCTAAACAAAACAAAAATCTGTCAACAATGGAGACCCCTTGTTTAAACTTGGACATTATATTTAGTTTAGCAGTTTGCAAATACAATTAAACATGCATATCCAAATTGAAGTTGTTCAATTGTTATATCTAATATTTTGTAGCACTGGTAGATTGTGGCACAGAAGGCTGAAAAGTCGTGTGTGGCTTCTGTGTTAAAATGGGCTTAGAGTCAATCTGGCAGAAAGCCTAAATCACACTGCAGTTGTATTTGGAGCAGATGCATGTGTTTGGGCTGTTGGGTTCTGTCCATGTGAGCAAATAAATGTGTCATATTGTCCACGCATGGTGTCAGGTCAAACTGTTGCTTAATATGATGTGATCCCCATTTGGACCAAATTGTTGTTTTGCTTTGCTTTGAGGCAGTGCAAACACAATATTTTTCACACTTGGTCTTGTCAGTTTTATTCAAGTTGAAATTCACTACAAAGAATTGGCACTGCAATGAGGCGGAAGTGGAGGCAGTGAAATCTGTTCTCAAAAAAGACAGTTACTGTAGAGGAAAGCTGCAAGTATAAACTCAACTCAATTATTTTTAGTTGTGAAGGTAAACATGAGAACATCCTCAGTAATTGTTCCTAAATACCAAAGTACGTTCTGCAGCTGACATAACAAACTCAAACAGCAGCATGTGGAGATGTCTAAACAGCATGCGACAAAATATGTGTAAGGAACTCAATCTAAATGTAAATGGCAGGAAAACTCAAAGCAAATACCAGTGAGAAATCACTACTTCCACTCACTCTATACTCATGGTGGACAACAGCATCTCGGCATGTAAAAGAGTACTGGAAGTATCATTTAGAGGTTATTAATCAATATTTTTACTCATATTAAAAAAAATACCCCAAAACCTAATCAATAGTAATTAATACAATATATGTCATTACATAAATATAATGCATAAACATGAATGAATTAATGAAAACATGAATTCAAAGATGAACTATAATCAGATCTTAATACAGATGATTCATATTTTTATCTCCATGCCTTCTTTAAGATAAACTTATTCCCATCAATATCTATGAAGTCATAAGGAAATTCCCTTTTAAAATGCCCTAGCTACAGTATTAGCCCAGACTCCATGTTTATTTGCGGCCTTTAAAAAATCCATCCCCTAAAAATCTGCCTTTTAAACCGGCCAGTCAAACTTTAAAAAAAACTTGAAAGCAATGAAATGTTGCTCACCCTTCATCTGTACTTCATCATCTGTACTTCATCATCTGTACGACTGAGAGCTTACTCAATTAAAACAAAAATATGTGGTCAATCTCCAGTTGTAAAGGGATCTTGTTTGCACCGTGTACGTTTGTTCCACTTTTTGTATCTCTGGTTTGGATTTGTTTAATAGCTCTAAGTGTAGCGCTCATTCACCTGTGTTTGAACTTGTGCATCACAGTTTCAGTATCAGGCCATCCAAGTCACTTGTTTTCCTACTGTAATGAACGATCGGACACAGCGCTTGTCTGCCCAGGAGTGTCCGGCAGTGTCTTCTTTTACTAACCGTAGAATCTGCTGTTAATGAACACAACCACAAATATAAGAGATTTGAATATAAGAGTTTGTTCGGTGTCATGCTGCAATTGATATAAATCCAATATTGCCTCTATTGCATATCCCAGTGAAAAGTAAGGCCAAAACCTTCTCAGAAGGTCCTAACACTAACACAGCTTCGTACTCAGAAATACACACACACTGTTATATTATCATCTTAGTCCCCTTTAAGTCGCAATCACAGACTTGAAAGTTCTCTTCTTGTAGCTTTCTTGTAACTTTAATATAATCTTTTCCTGTAGGATTACTATGTGGTGATCCTGTGTCCGGCGGAGATGGATGTCCAAGTGAGGCGGGTGCTTCACGTCCCACTTTGGGCCCAGAGAGTCATCTACCTTCAAGGCTCCGCTCTGAAGGACCAGGACCTCATGAGAGCAAAGTAAGCCCCCGCTTCTGTCAGCTGGATTCTGCTGTGTGCACGCTCTCGGCTCTCGGCTCTCACGCTCCAAATCTAACGCACCTCCAAGGCTTTCAGTAACAGCTGTAATTACATATTACTTATTGTTTCACCTCGGCCTTTGATAATACAGCACCTTAGGCTGGCTTTGTCACAGGCGAAGAAAAGCCTGTTTGTTTAATCTCCTTCGCCTCCTACTATCTCATCCATAAATGGCGTGGGCTTGAAAGACACATCGGTTCATTTGTGTCTCTATTGTCCTGTCATTTTTCTTTTTTGTTCCCAATGTGCTTAATAACCTGGTGAGGCTTTTTTCGGTTTCCATCTCACACACCTTCTAAACTTTTTTGGTCTTTTTTTCCTCCTGTCGTTTCACCTGGACTCGTCAAACTGGCTGAAGGATGGACGATGCTGAGGCCTGCTTTATCCTCAGCAATCGCTTCGAAGTGGATCGTATCGCGGCTGTATGTTCTCCACTAACCCTTTCACTTAACCCTTTGTGCTAAAACTGCTAATTACACATCATAACATGCCTGCAAGCAAAAGTAATTACTTCTAAAAACTTTGATGTTTCCGAGGGTGTTTTAATGTTGATTTGATTGTGGGGAAAAAGGCTACAAAAATAATTACTGTGTATTTTAATGAGGCACTGTTTTTTAAAGGGCCCTCATTTGTTTATATAAAGACTTATTGCGCAATCAGTTATATGTTAGAGCTATGGAGAGCCAAAACTGCTTATAGTCTGAACGCATTGTTTTTTTTTTTAATAACAAAGGTGTGAAAACATAAAGGGTACAACAGTGTGACAGACGGCCACAAATTTGACTTTGATAATTAAAAGATAAGGTCTTTTTAATTTAGCCGATTACCTCTTCTGTCCGTTAGAAGTTGCTAGAAAATAACTGTTTTATACATTAGTCAAATTTTCTACAGTGGTTCTTTTTATTTCTGTAATGGACGTGATCCTTTGACAGAATGTGCTGCGGAAGTTTGTTACATATGTCCACATTTGATTAAAGGCACACCGTGTAACTCTTGGCCACTAGGGGCGCCAGACCTGCAACTTTCACGTTTAGCGCCCCTAGTGGCCACAAGCAACTCAGCACTGTCGCAAAAGTCAACAAACAGTCAGCCGGTGTCTTTTGAGTGTGTATTCAGACAGCATGCACTGGTGTGTGTGTTCAAACTGTAGAGACATGCCTACAGATATTGAGAGACTCTGCTGTGGTCAGCCTCCAGACCGCTGCATTAGTAATCTACCACACATGGACTTCTATATCCTGGATGAGGGAGTTCTGCGTCTAGCTCGTGCTGCGTGGAATGACATCTTTGCAGTCGATGACATCCAGGAACCAGGGGAGAGCAGCGCTCATACAGACATGCAGCTTACAGCACGATCCCTTTCGCGTTTCCTCTTTTTAGCCTCCTCCGAAGGTTTAAAATTTTTCCTTGCCTCAGCCATGACCAGGAGTCGAGCAGGTGAAAAATGAGTAGCAAAAGCCTTAGCTCCATGAGTATATCAGCGCCTGTAGCCGTAAAGCAAGTCTTTCTTCCAAGTCACGTGACCTGGTGGCAGACGGTCCGTCTGCTCGAAACTTACATGGGCGGTATTTCAAGAGGGCAGCCCCGCTCGGAGCATTGCAAGTGTCAAGCGCTGTATATTGGCCCAAGTATTCATATAAAATAACTCATATGTGTCAACTCTTTAGGTCACAAAGTCCGCGGTGTGCCTTTAATAGATTCGTTTTTTTTTAGAAACAAAGTGATACCTTTCATATAGTAAACCAATTAAATGTGATAGCAGACGATCAATTTCTCTTTCAATAAAAAAAAAAAAAAAAAAAGATGAAAAGTGATTTACTGATGTTGTATGTTAATCTGTGGGAGTTGATCTGCCGCTTTGTCACTGATGACCTTTTATTTTCTGTGTAACTGGAGGCACAGTCACCGTATCAAATTAGAGGCTGATTTTATTTTGCCAAACACGTATTAGTCAATCTTTTCTTTTGCTTTTATCCACAATATCTCTTTGATATGTCTGTGTTTGAAATCATTTTTTTCTAATCTATGATAGTAAATTTAGTTTTTGAGTTAGAACCTTTTATATATTGTATTTTAATTGGAAATACATATTAGGCTTTGATCCATGAATTTAGTAGCTTTCGAATCGGGAGTTGGTGTCTGTTCAGATCTTGTTAGAAAACAAACAAGAAGTAGACACAAAATATGTCTTCATCCTGACAACCACTGTTCCATAATAACCCCCACTGCGTTTAAGATCCTAAACTCTTTATCGTTGACACATTTTTTAACCCAGATATCTAAATGTTCAATTGAAGGCTTGAAATTATGCATATTTCTCCAAAATCTTGATCGTGAACAACCTCTCATAACGACCCACTTTCGCACCACATCAGTAACTGTAAAAGTACAAATCGTCTTTGCACGTGTAAAAGTAGCACGCTGCACCTCTGTTCTGAGAAATACAGCCCGGCCTGGGTTCAGGAAAATTGCTCAGAGCTTCATTCAATTCTGAGAACAGGCGGCTTGCTTTTTATCCGACATCATGTTTTATCCAATGTCATCGCAAATACTGTCTACTCCACTTACTCTGTGTCTTAGTATCTCTCTCTTTTCCATCGTTCTCACTTTTTCCCCTTTCTTGTTTTCCCTTTCATGGACCGTATTTTCTCAGTGTCTCCTTTTTATATTGTGCCTTCACAAGTTGGAAGTATATATGTTATATTTCTTGCTCACGTCCTCTTCCTCTCGCTGCAGGATCACCAGACAATTCTCCGAGCTTGGGCGGTGAAGGACTTCGCTCCAAATTGCCCCCTCTATGTGCAGATCCTCAAACCGGAGAACAAGTTTCATGTCAAATTTGCAGGTGGGCTGTGAGATTTCGAGTAGCAGGGGAGTCCAAGAGGGATTATTGCCCTTGTTCTCTCTGCAGGCGGGGCTGACACATGATGGCTCCTGACCAGATACTTTTTTCTCTCTTTTCAATATTACCACAGCTTACAATCAGGGCCATAAATAATTGGACATTGACACATTTACGCTGGAGCTGCACAATGAATCAAAATGATATAGAATCAAAACATAATTGTAATAGTCTATTTAGTCTATAGTGTTTTTTATGCATTCACAGACTCGTAAGAAAGAGCAAAACACAACATTGCCGGAGCTATTTGGCTCGCAATACATAACGTTGTTGCATATCCTACTTTTTCCCAATATTGTGCAGCCCTAATTTACACCACACTAAGTACTGTACTTGAACTTAAATAGGATGTGCTGTAACTACACGGTGTCAGCATCCGATTCGAGTGAACTGACTTGAACAGAGCTGTGTGAGATATTCAACGCTTGGAAAATCTTTATATGATTTAACGCTGATTAAAACTTCTCCACAGCTTTATCCCTGACCTCTCTGTTCAGCTCTTTGGACTTTGTGATGCTGTATAGAAACTAATAAAATATAATCATAGCTCTTCAGCCGTCACAGAACAGCTGTAATTATGCAGAGAATAGAGGTGGTTTGTCAAAATAACAAGTGTTAAGCAAAATAACAATAAACAGTAGACCATGTACATTTTATGCTTATAAAATTCCTATAACAAATTATAAAATGTGAAAGTATAGTTCAATCTGACAAAAGATTTTTGGCACAGAATATTCCAAATTCTTCTTTCAGATTTCAGACAAAATAACAAAAATGCATGACTTTATATTACTTACTTGCACATTCTTCGCATGACAATTACATCCAGAAGTGTGAAAGTCAGAAACTTCACCAGCACTGAGTCCCTGCTCTGTTCAGAGTCTTCCCCGCAGATCAACTGTTCTGCTCCTGCTTGTTAATGGGGCATTTTCTTTTCAGTTTTGTCTTCATGAAATGCATACGAAATCAGATTCAGGTTATGTTGAGTTGGCCGTTGCATAACATTCTACTTCTTATCCTTAAAAATCTTGGGAGATATTTATGCTTCGGGTTGAATGAGTTTTGAAGCATTTAGACAGATTTTTCCTTGCTGCTTTGTTCAGAAGTCACAATAGAGATCCAGTTCTAATGGCAGCCACACTTTCCCATGTCATGAGACTACAGCCACCACCATAAGTAACTAATGAGAAGAGAATAGTTTTTCTTTTCTTCCCATCACTTGCAGATTAAGAAACACCGCTGTAAAACATAGCCTTATGACTTTGGATAGACCTTTGTAGGCTTTGAAGTTGTTAGTTAGACAGACTTTACAGTTTATAAAAAATAGATATAATCATGCCAGAATCTATCCAGACACACTGTTACACTCTTATGCACTAATCTTCCAATTAGATCAGGGGTCTCAAACTCAATTTTCCTAGGGGCCGCTGAGGGTCAAATCTGAGTGAGGCATGACCGCATAAAGGGCTATATTATATCAATCCAAGTCCTGACCTGCGTGGAAAAGTACACACATGCTAAATGTTGATCCACATAAAGCAGTGGTCTCAAACTGGTTCCAGCCACATGGCCCTTTCTGGAACCAGTTTGAGACCCCTGACTTAAAGGGAGAAGTTTTATTTGTTACTATGAAGGTATTTTGACCAATTGCTTGGATTTAAAAAAAAAACTGAATTACTAGATAATGTCACTTATATCATATCAACTGTAAAATGTGCTATTTAGAGACAACTTGCCATCTCCAAGTCTCTTTGCATGCGTCTTTGTCGGTGTCCCTGCCAGCGAAGCCAAATTCAGTAACCACTTCTGTTCAAATGAATAGATCAATCAAGCTTTTCTTCTCTCAATCTGCAAACAACCATTACTCATTTCTGACCAGACTGCCAATGACAACAGTACAACAGTAACAACAGTACAACAGTAACAACAGTAACAATAACAGCAGTACAGCTTTCTCCTCCCAGGTTTGAAGTAGCGCTGGGGAGATTGGCTCAGCTTCTTCTAAGCTTTGTGAGTGATTTCTGTCTGCTCTTTTGCATTTATTTTTTAAACCTTACTTTTCTGGGTAGAGCAGCATCAAACCAGTCAATCATCTCTAAGTAAAAATATCTCTCAAGACTTTCAACACGTGAATTGTTTTTAAATCCCTTCAGCCTTGATTCAAGCTGGAAGCCCTTGTCCCAGCTGTTTCTGTCTATGATTAACGTTTTACTTCACACCTTGGCGACCAAATGCTGCCTTTCTTTGATAAGTTTCCTCGCGGCTTCGACCTGGCAGACACCCTTCTCCCCACGGCCATCGCAATTTGGAGACCGCGACACAGCAGCCAGAATGAGCCCCTTTTGTGTTGGTATAGACCAGCAGCTGAAATGGATAAATTCACAGTCCTCATTTTGAGTCCTTCTCCTGGAGCATAATTACCACTCAACACAGGGGTGAAAAGGGCTGCCTATTCAGAAAGTCCATAGCAGGTATTTCTGTGTGATTTCTGACATTGTTCATTAAAATTGTAAGCTGGGGTCAAGTGGCAGACGGTGCTAAGGAATCTGAGCGTTTATTCACCAATTATTTTTGGGTTACTCATTGTTTTTGGCTAAAATAGAAAGCACGATGGAATAGTTTGCATGCTGAGCACTTCTTTACTGTAAATGGTTTCCCTAAAGAAAATTGGATAATTAGTCCCACAAAGACCATCCAACCAAAAGGGGACATTGGCTTTGCGTCCCGTTACAATTTGATTGATGTTAGATGGTTCTCAGATTAAAAATGTTGGTTAAAGTGCTTGTCTGGAGTTTGTCAAAAAAAGAGAGAGAGGTACATGATTTGAAAAAAGTGACCCAAGCTCCCTCCCCCTTCCTTTCTGATTGGTCTACGCCTACGTTTCCGTAACAACCAATCAACACATTTAAGTGTTAATCGGAGAACACAGTATATATATACATTATTTATACACATTCACAGAGGTTTTCAGAATTATCTGTTAACGCTTTCATGAGAATTTTTTTTTTTTAATGCACAAAAAAAGCGATCGCGGTAAACTTGGAAGTGGCTATTAACATTGATTGAACATTATAGGACACATCTGCAGAGGATCTGATTATGGATATAGGTTCAGTATATAAATGATTATGGATATAGGTTCAGTATATAAATGATTATGGATATAGGTTCAGTATATAAATGATTATGGATATAGGTTCAGTATATAAATGATTATGGATATAGGTTCAGTAAATGGGTAACTCAGCACGGATGTTCAGAATTCTTTGTTCAGTTTTCATGTAGTTTCAGAGCCTAATGGAGGCTTGATTCGAAGGCTCCGTGAAAACAACTGAGCATGCGCAACTACGAGCATCAGCGCAGATGATTGACAGCCTTGACAGCCAATCGAGTCATTTGGCATGACTCGATTGGTTGAAGTAGACGGCATCGTGGATTTTAAGCTATAGCTAAGAGAAGGGAAGGCGGGACTTACCCGTAATATTAGAATTCTTAAAATGACTTATTTTATATCAACATTTAAGGCCAGGAGGTCAATTTAATACAATTCTTAAAATTTGTAATTCATTTAGAGTTCCAGACTATCACTTTAATGATTTGTCCTCTAATATAGAATACAAATAACAAATCTTGCATCTAATAACAAACATGTTTAAAGGGGACATACATTTTTTGTTTTGTAATTAATACGACAGAAAGAGCTTTATGAATTAAATAAGACCACAACATGCTGCCTTCATCTTTTAGAAAACATTTTTTGCATACTTGAAAGATCCCGGTGTGACTAGCTTTCTTTATTTTTCTTTATTTTTGTGTCTTATTTAAAGAACCTTCTAAGCCTGTTAGTCACTATTTGACACTAAAGGTCCTCTCTTTTTCACTCTCCTGTGTGAAAAAGCTGATCCAAACATGTGACAGAGGCCATAAAATACATGCAAAAACTATAGTTGTATGGATTTTATTTTTTCTACATATTTTGTTGTTAGAAAGTTAGGTACTCCAGCTTTAAAGCGAATGCCTGTTACTTTTCAAACTGGGAAGAGACAGCGAAACAATCTATTCAGACCCACCCATGCCCACCCCCACAACTTCCTGATTGGTCTAAATCAATTCAAATCCTCAAGGCCCCTCATCATTGTTTTTTTATTCTCAACCAACAAATCTTAATGGTTGTAGTTTGGCCTGTTTTAAATAGATTATTGTTGAAAAATACTTCCATCCATCCATCCATTTTCTACCCTTTAATCCATTTCTGGGTCAGGGGGGTGGCAGTCAGAGATGCCACCCAAGTCTCATAGCACCAGCCCCTCACTGACCCTCTGCAGGTGGTGAGTCCACAGGAGGACGGCTGCTCTCTGAGTGAGAGCATAGCCTTGATCTTTCAGTGGGGGCTTTGGGCAAAGTGGGGTTAAGTGTCTTGCCCAAGGACACAACGACAGCAGTCATCAGTGAGAGTCAATGGAGAAGGTGCAGAGGTGGGAATTGAACCCACGACCTTCTGGGCTTAAGGCCAATGCTCTACCAACTGAGCTACTGTCGCCCCTCTGAAAAATACTTGCTGTACATAATAGCACAGGACCCGTGAACAGAAATATACATTCTGCACACACAAAATTGTATTATTTTGAAATAATTTACGTATATAAATAATGTTTAAATAATGTAAACATTTTTTACGTTGCTTACATCACTTTTAACCAAAAACACTAAATATGTGTATATGTAGAAATTCTAAGTGAATCTATTCTACTGCTCTGTATTATCTCTAGCCAATAGGTATATGTTGATGAAGGTACATTCATATAGGAAAGAGTAGTACCGTGTAAAAGCAGATGCCATGTTTTGACACCACTCGGAATCCACTCGCTAAGTGCCAGTGTGGGTGGCTTTAATGAACAGCCCAGACTAGATTGAATCTGAACCACAGGAATAGCTTAATAACAGCTCTGCGCTCATTAGAAAAGATGTGGCGGCACGATTCTACACGGCTCTGAAAACCTCGAGATGCCAACCCAGAGATGTACCCAGCGCCGTCTCCTAATTATCTCCGGCGTTTTTGTTTTTGCACGTTAACTGTAGCGTGTCTAAACAATAACAACCAATTGAATTTAATTAGATTTGGCCGTTGGACTGCTGGACAGGAGAGATGGTAGATATGACCGCTCTCATCGGTTTGTGGTCTTGTGTAACCTTATTGGCCCAACAAAACTTCATGTGTCTATGTGTTTAAGTAATGGGTTTTGGTGTTCGGGGAGTTTTGTTTTCGGGCTTAGTCGAAGGCTGAATAGAAGGGCCAAAAATGGAGAGCTGTGGTGCCGCGAAATATGTTGAATTTGACCGCGGGGAGGAAAAGAATCGCTGTCGGAAGGAGAGGTGCACAAGGGACGTTGTTATTAGATATTGGATTGAAAACAGAGCGGCGCCTATACTGTTCCAGCATAAATTGTGTTTGAGGAACAAGCGGGATAAGAAGGTATCTGTAAGTTTTATTATTTGTTGTTTTGTAAGCAGAACTGCTACAAGCATATTAACAAGTTTACATTTAGTTTTACCTTTTCTTTTGTTCAAATTTGCCACTCTACTGTAATCAGAGTCTGTAACATACAGTATACTGTATATGGATAGTTCTGATGCATATTTACAGTACTTGCTGAGACCCCCACAATTTTTCTTTCATACATAATGCGTTTAGTTTGTGAGTCACTATTAGATGCTTTGGCCTGAGAGCTGATTGGCTGCATTTTCTCTTTTTAACTATGGAAAGAAATGGTAATAAGACCAAACTGTTTTTAAAGATCAAGGCTATGCTCTCACTGACAGAGCAGCCATCCTCCTGTGGACTCACCACCTGCAGGAGGATCAGTGAGGGGCTGGGGCTCTGTGAATTGGATGCAGCTCTGACTGCCAGACCCCCGACCCAGAAATGGATAATGAGATGAAATCCCCCAGGGCCTAGACCCTGGTGTTGGTAGCTCAGAAGAAGGTTTGAAGATCTCTTAGCTGATGAGGCGGTGAATGGCAGGAGGAGGGTGGCTGCACGATATGAAAGCTTTATGACAATGCAGTACAGTGCTTGAATTCTACCAGGTGAGATTTAGCCAGCTGAGTGTGAGTGCACATGTAGAGTTTCCAGTCTTCCAGTCTGAACTTCTTCTTAGCTATATTATCCAAATTAGAGGGATTGAGTTACAGAAAGGGCCGTGTGGCTGCAGGTTCTAGTTCAAATCCAAGCCCATAACTTGACTGAGGAAATTGCTTGTGTCTGATGTGCTCATGCTCAGGTTGGAATTAAAACCTGCAGCCACACGGCCCTTTCTGGAACCGGTGTGACACCCCTGAATTAAGGCTTCATATGGCATGATATTAATAGTAAAAACACACCAGAATTAATTGTCACCAAATGTACTCACCGAATTGAACATACCTTCATCCAGTCATTTTTGTGCAATTCTGCTTTCAGAGAAACACACTCACACTGAGACTATTATACTGTACTGCCCCCTCCCTCACAGGAGGGAAAATGCAGAGCAAACAGTGCAAAAAGTGTTTTTGCACTGTTTGAACTATTCTCGCCAACACTGGCGAGGTAAATCGTATTAATCCTCACACTCCAACAAAACTGCCTGGGCTCAACCATCACTGAGTATCTATTCTCTCGAATCATTCTTTGCACGAGAAGCTTCCTTGCATAGTCATTTGCGTCACTCATCATGCAGTTTAAATGCTCATATGTCAGAAAACATTTACTCCTTAATCGCACTGTTTTATTAGATCGGCGTATAAAATGTGACAATTGTCAGTCAGTAACACGCGTGCATATGCGGCGGCCCTGACATGTGAAAGAAACACAATCGAGAATGCCACAGTAGAGAAATTGATTCTGTCTGACGCACAGATTGGCCTCAAATGTAATCACTCCATTGACTTTTGTGTTCAAAGGCGACACATGTGACAGCAGGTGAGCGGATCCTGCGTCGTTAGAGATTTTGTACATGTGGTAGTCAATAATGGTCTATTTTCTGATGGAACACTCATTTTTATATTCTATTAAGGACAATACTCAAGTCAATCAAAATGTTGAAATTAGGATCCAAAGTAATTGCAACAGTGGCTGCAAGAATACCACTCCTAGCTGAATTTAACTGTATGTTGGAGTATTAGAATTCTGAGTTTTAGCAGCAGCAGCAAAGAGTAAAAAAGTATATACTACAGTATGTTATTTGTTACAGTAGAAGTTGACAGTGCTTATCTGGGGATTTTTAGCACAAAGCCTTTTAATTAAATTATTGTCTGACACAATGTCCGCGACTGCTTAACTTTGAGACACGCCGAGGCTTTTTCTGAGCCAAAAACAAATTAACAACGTCTAATAATGTGACATCCTGACTCAATGTTGAATCCCCAAAGCTGTCAAAGGAGGAAATTAAAGTTTTCATGAATCATCCACTTGGAAAATCTGTATTTCCATTGGCTTTTTCATTACTGTTTGAGTCAACACTAACGTTTTACTATTTATTTTTCCACATTTTGTTCATTTTAAAGTTTTGATGTAATTTGGGTTACGCATTGTACATGATGATGTATATTATAATGATAACATATTATAATGATAATTATACAGCGATTTATAAAAGGCTTTTTGGACACTCAGAGACGCTTCACATGTCATTATTCATTCACTCCATACACAGTGGGGATACACAAATATAGCAACCACAGCTGCCCTGGGGCACACTGACAGAAGCAAGGCAACCAGTATGAGCCGTTGTCCTCTCCGACCACCACCAACCATTCACACACTCCGTCAATGTGGGTGAAATGTCTTGTCTAAAAGGACACAACCAAGTGTGTGGAGTGAATGAACGGTGAACTCTAAAGACATTGGGTAAATGCTATGTGCGCTTACTTGTGTAACGTGTGACTATGAAAGAGTGTTTTTTGTGCGAGATTGTGACCTGGGTCGCGCTGTCCTTCTGGTGTCTGCAGATCATGTGGTGTGCGAGGAGGAGTTTAAATATGCCATGCTGGCCCTGAACTGTGTGTGTCCAGGCACCTCCACCCTCATCACGCTGCTCATCCACTCCTCCAGAGGACAGTGAGTTCATGTCTGTAGCATCGCAACACACAGCAAAAATAGTTAGGAAACCATCACCGATTAGTATTTATTTGAGGCATTATCAAAATAATGTATTGATCTCAGTAACTATTTACGCTGACATTTTGAGTTCTGAGAAATATTTGGGTAATTAGGAGTTCATATCTGTCTTGTTACTGCTGTAGTTCATGTTTTTTTTTATTTTTGCCAAACACAATGATTAAAATCATTATGTTAATTGTAATTCAACTCCCAGGGCCCACTGATCATTCAAACCTATAATTGCCATTAAATACATAACACATTTTTAAATTGAAGCTTTTAACATGTGTTGATATAAATCGTGTTGAGTATTATCACTGAATATATTTAATGCAGCTGATGTACTCCTCACAGCAATTTTGAGTTTTTTTACTTTGAGATTTTATTATGCAAACTTTGTTGAGAAGAAGTGTGTGGGAGCATTTCCCGCCCTCGACAGGTACAATGACGCCTGTACAAAGAGGAACAGGGAAATTATATTATCAATCATTTTATGTTCAAGTGGCACTTTGTTTCATGAAATGTATTCACCAAGCAATTTGGACCTTTTAAAAAATAATCCAAAATTCTATGTATTCTACTCAATTTTTTCCATTTTAACTAAATGGAAAAAAATGATTGTCTTCCTCCCAAAACTCCCTGCTTGTAGATTGTAATAAATGTGTAAAGATATATGTTTTAATTATTGAACACATGACATACAGTACTAATATTTGTTCCATATATTAAGAAGCCGAAGCTCATAAGTTGAGAAAGGCCCCAATACAAGTTTCTGTAAATATGAATGTCTTAACTTTTGAATGAATAAAACCTTTGTTAGTTCCACAGTGGGGACATTTGCTACATGTTTATTGTCTTAAAGATGTTATTGCTTTGCTAAGAGTGTACCCTGGTATGGTATATTTTTACTGCTCATACACAGGCATTCTTACATTGGGTCGGCTCTCCTCTCTGATATGACCTTTGTCTTAGCAAAGTGACGTCACTTGCATTTCTCCAATGTAGATGGAAGCATTTCATGACAAAACAACAACATTTGGATGGTTCTGGGCAAAAGCGAGGACCTATTGTTGTTCAACATGTGCTCCTGTTTTTCTTTTATAGTTATCTGAATTGATTCAAGCAGGTGACAGACCCATGTTACTTGTTAGAAGAATCTTAACCAGAGAGCTTGGAATTGTACTAATAAATGTAATAATGTAATCGTAATTAGTTCTGTGAGGAGCTGATTTATGTTTTTAGTAATATCTGAACAATCAACTTCAGGTGGATCCAAAAAAACTGCTGAGAACGTGTTTAAATTACAAATCATTCTTCAAGAACTCAGTTCTTAACTCTGTCTGCCTCACTTCGTTGTCTATGCATCTGAGACACTTATATATGCATATCTCATTTCACGGGAGATCACATATTTATATTAAGAGTTCTCGAGAGCTCTTTGCGTAAGTGGTTATGTATAGTCCATGTGCCATTTGCTTTATTGGCTGGAACAAAGATGATGAGGTTTTGTCGTCCTCCTCCCCAGCCTTGCACTTTCGCTGCAACACTTGTTTATGTAATACTGTCCCTGTCGCAGGCCACCCACATTCACACTGCCCCCACAAACTGGCTTCCTGTTATCACCTCTTTAGCCTTCCTCGTCTTAAGCCGTATCCCCTGGGGAAAACTGCTGCCCACTTAGCTCCCTGGGATCTGTTGTTTAGGTCATGGCCGCCTGTCCTTCCTGTCCATCCCGTACTATTGATGAACAGCTTTGAACGGATTTGGGATTACCTCGGCAACGCCACGGCGAGAAATCCTTGCATTGTAAACTTGCAGCTTTGCCTGTCACATCTGAAGTGATCTCTTGTTAGCTTCTATTGCCGTTTTCTTCTGATTTCAGGGAGAGTGGGGTGTCTTCGGCTGATCAATGGCATCGCACGTACCGCCGCTGCTCCGCCAACGAGGTGCACCACATCCGCCTGGAGGAGAGCAAATTCTTTGGGGAATATCACGGCAAGAGCTTCACCTTTGCATCTTTCCATGCACACAAAAAGTAAGTTCGAATTTTCGAAATAAATGCCCCCACTGGTAACCAAAAACAATTTGGTTATATTCATGTATCTACATGAGTGGGCTTTCTTCATCAACAAACCAGACCAATACTTTGTTGTGATTAAAGTACTTTAGCCACTTTCTGTTCATATTATTAGTATAAAACATATCTCTTTAGACTTTCTTTCAGAAATATATCTTAATTGTTCCAACTGAAAGAGTCTTGTTTACGTAGCATTTTGTAAAAAAAAAGATACAAATAAAAACAGACCACAACATGCTCTCTTCCTTTTATTTATAATCTTACAGAGAGCTGATTTGGTAAGTGCTTGAATATTCTGTTCCAAACTCATTCAAAAATACATGCAAAAGTTGTGATACAAATAAATGATTACATGTTTTGTTACAGTCATGCAGGCGACGTGAAGTTGAATAATACTATTATTTTGTATCATTGAGCAAATTCAAAGGGACGCATGACAAAGGCACAAACACTAATTCCTATGTTTTCAGATATGGGGTGTGTTTGATAGGCGTGCGGAGACTCGACACCACCAACATCCTGCTGAACCCCGGGCCGTGCCACATCATGGGCGCATCTGACACATGTTTTTATATCAACATTTCCAAAGAAGAAAACTCTGCGTTCGTGCGGGGTCACAGAGAGCCGTCCTGGGGCAGCGGAGGGGGAAACGGGAGAGGGGTCCACCCAAGCATCTACCACGGACTCACCCGCCTGCCGGTCCACAGCATCATCGCCAGCATGGGTGAGGAGTGGGGATGGGCCCATATTCTCCTCAACAGATGCTGATATTATTTTTTCTGGTGCACTAGCCAATAAATGCTATTTGCCATAACCAATGTTAAAACGCCAATGAAAAGAACAGGGTTAATATTATAGATTACATACCCATTTTTTATTTGGGCATAAGGTAAACATGTACGACCTTTTCTAAAAAAAAAAAAAAATATTATTGCCTATCAAAATTAAAAATAAAATGTAAGTATGTGAAAGTGGTTGGACTCAAGAAATGATTTGCTTTATCCAACCCCTATTTGAACCATGTACTTGTTATTTGTCTGATATATTCATATATGTCAAGATACTGTATGTGTTATACAGGTTCAGAATAAATAATCTAACCTAAGTAATTTCATGTGAAACAGTCAGAAAAAAATATATAGTGAAGCAAGTCTCCACTGTAACAATGTAATGCACCAGAAAATCTAAAGGCTACCACCAGAGGGATGCTAAGGATTTGTTTTGTTTTTTTTTACAAATTTGAAAACTACCTGCTACAAGCACAGCCAGACAAAAAAAAATGCCAAAGATTTTTTAGGAGCAATACTTTTGTTTTGCAGAAATCAGAGCGCCAACTCCAAGGATCATCTTGAGATTTTAAGTGGGATCTCCCTACCATCACATCTCATCTGCACACCTAATATATTTGCAGAACATTCCATTGTTTTTACGGAATCCTGCCCGCAGACAAACACACACACACGCACAAACAATTACAATACCCTCTTCTGCATGGTTATAACATTCACTGATCTCGTACACTTACCTGGAGTATCGTTGCAACATTTCTGTATTTATATTGTACATATTTATCTTTACAACCAGGACATAACTCGTCAGAAATGAGACAGTTGGAGCTTTTGTGCAGGGAAACAGCATCCACTGCATATCTGATTAAAAGCCGACCTTGCTAAATGCATCCGCCAAGTTAACCAAAATGTCACACTGTACTGCGCTCTGCTTTACAAACACTCCTTCTTGTGGACAGGGAGGAAATTACCGGATTATGATGATATCGGCATACTCAAGCTTTTGTATGGTCTTTCCTTTGGTCAAGTTTTTAAGTGGTCTCCAACCTGTTCAGAAATTTAACTCACAAATTATTATACGTTGATTAATTACTTTTTGTTTTAACTATAAATGTCACTATTGCATGGATATAAAGTTAGTTTTTGCTGCGAGTACGTTTTATATAGACTACAATTTTATTACTAGCGCAAAAGGGAGTAGCTGTCTGCCAATTCTCTGTTGATAAAGTACCTCTCAGATCTCTCTCTAAACCAAACACTACAATGGAGTGTTTCGCCTTGACCGTTACTCAATTACAATTTTACCAGAACGGATGTTGAGTTCATCATTCAGGCTTTTATTATCATGTTAAATGGCTCAATTTGAATGGATAAACCATGTGAGGCTTATGGGAGATTTGTCTGAAACCAATAAGACAAAGCTTTCCACATAAGCCTGTTGTTTGGAGTTTTGTGAAATAATCTTCTCATCAAAAAGAAAGGTCTAAAGTCTATAACAGTAATAAAGCTTTGGTTTGAACATAAAAACACACACACACAATCTCTACATGGTCCAGTATGCTTTTGTGTGTATATTGGCTTGTTTTTTCCTTATTTTTTTATAAGATACACATTTATTAGACAAATGGCTTCACACAATGAGTGAAAAAAGTGTTTGTATTATCATCCATTATCTCCAAAATAATGAAATTTCTGCCTCAACTTTCTGGCACAACTGTGTTTTGCATCCTTAAATCTTGATTGGTTTAACATCAAACAACTTCATAGCACACACGCAACCTTTTAAGACTTCACATAACAACATTTTGAAAAAAGTTTTCTGTGTTCAAGTTAACGTTTATACCGAAGCTGGATACATGACTCAACATTCAGAAGAATAATGTGTGTCCGTTCTTATTTAGGCACCGTGGCCATTGACCTCCATGACTCCAGTGACAGCAGTCCAGAGGGTCAGGACGTGGGCACAGGGAGCAGAAGCAGCTCCAGGACTGAGATGAGTGGGACGAACACTCTGGCACTGCCCGCCATGGGGGAGTCTGTGGAGGAGAGGAGGCACAGTATTGCCCCCGTCCTGGAGCTGGTGGACGGTGTCAGCCACCCCACATTTGACCTGCTGGGGGACCAGTCTGAGGACGAGGGGGGAGACGACAGCAAAGAAGACAGCGACAGAGAGGAGAGCCCACACTGGTGGACACGGCACTGCGAGTATGTTTCACTGTGCTATTGTTGAAGTCTGTGTTGTTGTAGAAGGAAGAAAATCTCAACAGTTCTTGCCAACACAAAAGAATAATGAATGGAGTCTGTTTACTTTGTAGAAGCAGTTTGGTCTATTGAGGCACAGAAACAGACAAAACATTTGAGCTTTGTTTCCAGGCGGATTATATGGTTATTGATATTGCCTCTTTTGCCTCAAATGATCAGCACTATTTTGTTCCCACTTAACTATGCACAAGATGAACCATGTTTCTGTCTCACTGATGAGGAATAATGACTCAAAAGGAATAGAAGTAGTATTACAACAATATTGGATAGCACCGTGCCGAGTGCTATCCACTCGGCACGGTGGCTGAGTGGATAGCACTCTCGCCTCTCAGCAAGAAGGTCCTGGGTTCGAATCCCGGTTGGACCAGGGCCTTTCTGAGTGGAGTTTGCATGTTCTCCCCGTGTCTGCGTAGGTTTCCTCCGGGTGCTCCGGTTTCCCCTACCACTAAAAATATGTACAATAGGTATGGCATGTGCCTCCTGTACTGGCACCCCCACCCAACAATTGTAAACCGCTTTGAGACTCTGATGTGCAGTGAAAAGGCGGTATATAAATAAAAGCTTACTTACTTACTTACTTACTATTATATTATTGAGAATCTCTAACTATGGTGATTAAATTTGTATTATTTATTTAAATGTATCATAGATTAACTTTGCACATCATTCTCAAGATCCTTCACAACACGGCACTCATCGGGCAATTTTACTTTTTAAACACAATTGTCATCGCAAAAAAGAATTCTGCAGTTCAAATCAAAAGATATGATCAAACAAGTACATCAGAGCAAAATCACTTAAAGCTGTACATTAAATGGGTATTGAATAAAGTGAATGGAGGGATTATTCTGAGTTGAATTTAAATACTAGCATGTTCTGCTAATTTGTCCCATGGATTCAGATTAGAATAGAAATAGCCCTGTACTATTTTTCAGATGGGTGAAAGGATATCCTCTGAACTCCCCGTACATCGGCAGCTCACCTGCACTGTGCCATCTCCTTCAGGAAAAGATGCCTTTCTGTTGTCTGCGCTTGGACAAAGTCTGTATTTGGTCCGAGGCTCAAATCCTGACCTCAGTTACAGAGTTTCATGCTGTGCTTTTCTCCCAGGCCTGTCACCACATCCCCTTTGAGGACGCTCGCTCCTACGGCTTCAAAAACAAACTGATCATTGTGTCGGCGGAGAGTGCGGGGAACGGCCTGTATAACTTCATTGTGCCTCTGCGTGCCTACTACAGGCCCAGGAAGGAGCTCAACCCCATCGTACTGCTGTTGGAGGGCATGTGAGGACCATTCACTCTTATTATCAGCATCTCATGTGATGTCATGGAGTAGAAGATGATAAAAACTTGTTGCAATTGTCTTGTGTATTAAATACACAAGACAATCGCAATAATTTTCAGAGCAAAGCTGATTGGACTGTGCAGCATAAAATCTTCACGCACCAGCCAGCTGCAAAGACTAAGCTTGTTTTATGCAGGACTGTAGCCATGTCCAGATCTGTTTGTCATTGGTTCAAAGATGGTTGTGCCAAAATGCAAGACCAAAAGATACAGCTTCACACAACCATTGTGCTAAATAAGGTCACTCGGCACAACTCACATGTGAAAATCGCTCTGGATGTCCTGGATGTCCTGTCTTTTTGTCCATTTCTCTCAATACTTTATACGGTGCTTTCATAGGATTCATTCCAGATTGGACATAAATCAAATATACATGTATACATTAAACAAGAGTCACACAATACATTAGACCAAAGAATACATATACAAAGAACAAATGTGGAAAGCAAAGCCTATGAGCCTGGGCTTCTGTTCTATGTTCAGCTAAGATCGTTCAGAAGCAAAGAGCCTACCAAGAGGCACCAGGTTTAGATAGATTGGTCAGATTCACAGTTCTCTCCTAATGTCCAAAAAGGCAACACGCAACCTCAGTCTATATCTGTAAACTAAAACCTTGTTTGGACTGGTTTTATATCTATGCTCCTTTGGAAAATTGTAATGATTGTGTATTAGTAGTCCCAAACACATGAATTGTTTTAGGATGTATTCTAATTAAAAATCTTAAAGAGAAAACTGAAAGTGTTTTTTTTTTTTTTTTTTCAATATTTGCACAAGACTTGGGGGCATTCAACACATCATGGGACCATTGTTGTAACGATGCTTCCCTTTTAGAGCATATTAAAACATCAGATGACAGGGAGCGATCTGTAAATGAATGAATGTCAACACGGACAGAGCTGGAGATGTCCTTATTACAGAAATACCTAAAAGACAGAGTAATACACCATCATAGTTGGACTTCTGTAGAGGGCAGACTCGCTGTCAGTGATATTTGTTATTATGATGAACAATATAAATTGGCGAAATATTCTCGTGCAAAAGATGAAATTAGACATTTCAAGGATAATTTGCTGTATCGCCTTGTGGTGTCATCTGGTTCATAAGAAGCAGCCAAATAAAAGCACATCCAATAAAAGAGCAGTAAAATGCTGAGTCACAGACAGTGCTTTTCCCCAACAGGCCGTTAATCTCCAGAGTTGAATATTTTCATACAAATAAAGAAGGCGGGCTGTCAATGGGCACACACTTCATCACAGGCTGCATAAACCACATCTGCAGTCCCTAAACTTTGTGTTTTTATTGTTGTAGACCTGAAGCAGACTTCCTGGAGGCAATATGCTGGTTCCCTATGGTCTTCTACACAGTGGGTTCCATTGACAAGTAAGACCACTGAACCAAGTCTACATGTATTTTGAACTCTGGGACTATGGCTATATAATCGGATGTGCTGTTTTTGTTGCTCTTCTTCAGTCTGGACAGCTTGTTGAGGTGCGGGGTCACGTTTGCTGACACTATGGTGGTGGTGGACAAGGAGAGCTCCATGATCGCCGAGGAGGACTACATGGCAGACGCCAAGACGATTGTCAATGTGCAGACACTGTTCAGGTCTGCTATGTTCCCATCTGAGGTTATTTTGATAACATGATGGTTAGCATAACATTTGGATTTATTATATTCATTAAATTTTTTATTTTGTTCCCTTTTTTCATGGCAATGCAACAAAACATCAAATCATTCAGCAAATACAACAGTAATACATTCAATGCAAAGAAGAACAGGAGTAGGATGAAGTAGGATTCTTATATAAAGTAATTTACAAATTAGATGGCCTAACCAGCACCAAAAATACAAAAAAAAGCTCAAACACTCAATTAATTATGATAATCATTATTAATTATACTTATTATTCTCATTCTACCACTACTATTAATAATAACTATAATAACAATAATTATAACAATGGTATTAGATGCAACAGTGATGCAAAGGTGACAACAGCTGCGACGGACACAACAGCGAGGCCAACAAACTGCACGATGCAAACCCACATCATGCACGTGCACATGCGGCCCAGGCGCACGTGCACGTGCATGATGGTTTCTCTGACATCCAAAGCACAAGTAAAGTAAACAGCACTTGAACTATGTTTCGACAACAGAGCACTGCAGACAAAACTCACACGTATCCAAGTGTACATAGTATTGAAGAGTATTACATCAATGACTTTAGTCAAAGCCAGATCAAGGAGTAGTTGAGTGTCCCCTTCCAAGACATCATAGAAAACACATAATAAATATGTTTGCATGTTTTCCCTACAGATTGTTTCCAGCTCTCAGCATCATCACGGAGCTCACACATCCAGCCAACATGCGCTTCATGCAGTTCAAAGTCAAAGACTATTATTCTCTGGCTCTGTCCAAACTGGAGAAGGTGAATAATTGACTTAAACTGTTGGCCATCCATGGTTTAACCACATGTTACATTGATTGCAGTGACGTGATGAAAATTGTAATGGAAGGTTTGTATCCAATTAAGGGTTTTGGTCTCTCTTTACCCCGAAGCTCTTGGCTTTTTGTCATTTAATCTTTTCTCTAATGAAATCCTGCTGCTAGATTATTATTGCTGCAACAGGTTTGAAGAATTAGGTTTGCATTTATTATTCTTAGAAATCCGGGGCCTACTGAGACAGACTGTTTATAAATCACACATGATTAGGAATTGAAGGACTTTTAGTTTTCATTTTTATTCTATTTTGTTACAGAAGGAAAGAGAAAAGGGCTCAAATTTGGTGTTCATGTTCCGCTTGCCCTTCGCTGCAGGGAAAGTCTTCAGTGTCAGCATGTTGGACACTCTGCTGTACCAGGTAATCACACCACAGTCTCTTGGGGCATGTTCTCACTTGTTGGTGGTGGTCTCCATTCACTTCAGCTGCAAACCAACTGGTTGTTATGTTGTCACTATTCTGGCAGTATCTGCCTTCTCCAGCAAAGGAGAATGATGAGAGGCAATATTGGATCAAAATCCATGTGGGGGCTTAGTATGGTTTTTCTAAACATTATCCTCTCGTCTGTGGTTGAGACTTGACTTTACTTTCATGTTTTAGGTTTAGCTTTTTAGTTTTCTCTAGTTTTCTTTAGTTTTTTTTGTCAATTTTCAATAATTCGTCTATTGTGTGAAATGTTATGTAGATTTTGTTTGTTTTTGTTTTTTATACATGGCTTATTTTATTTTTACTTTTATAACTTGTTTGCACCAAGAGCCAAAGCCATTTCCTGTTAAGCATGAAAAATAGTTCTGATTCATATACTAGGCTTTAGTTTACTTTGTGCTCCTAGAAATAAAACTGCTCTGATTTCAAGTGGCACTTGTTTGGTGCGTGTGGGTTCTTTCTCAAGAGTCCTCATTGAGTGTTGCAGACGGCAAGGCACTTTTGTAAATAAAGTTTGATGGATTTATTGAATTCAGCCCAAACAATCACCAAGAAACTGATTTGACACGCCCTCAAACACACATACATGTATTACGTCGTGTTGGAGTGGAATTTTTAGTGAGTAGATTTCTTGATCAAAAAACTTTTTTTTTTTTTTTCAATTCAGAATACCCCTTAAATAAATAAAAATATGTATTCCAATTACAGATACTCAAAAATCGTATTCTGAGTATGCATTCTGATGCATGTGTTCTTTTACAGCACTGCACATATGTATGTTGTACACATTGACTTGAAATTACACTTCTGGTTTGTTCTTATGTCTTGGTCGTCCTCTCTATAGTCTTTTGTAAAGGACTACATGATCTCCATTGCCAGACTGCTCCTCGGCCTGGACTCCATGCCTGGATCAGGATTCCTATGTGCTGTGAGTAGAAATTGTAAATTGTAAAAACTTAAAAGCAAAGTTACTGTCTAGTGTCTTCTCACACTTTTCTTGCATCAGATGAAAATTACAGAAGATGATCTATGGATAAGAACGTACGGACGTCTCTACCAGAAACTGTGCTCCTCCACAGGCGACATTCCCATTGGGATTTACAGGACGGAAGCACACAAGCTGTCAGTGTCCGAGGTACTATAGGGTGTTTAAACTAATAATAAGATAATTCTGTATTGAGCACAATATAATATGTGTAGTCTTGTTTCAGTCTCATTTTGAGATGTTCTGAATATTTGTTGATATATGTGAAAATAGTGCCAAGCCCCTTCAAAGTAGCAAGTTAAAAAGATACAAATAAAAATTGAAAATTGAAAATGAGTGGAAACAACGGTGCAAGAAATATCCTGAATTCATGATTATTCTACAAAGCAAATATGTATAATTGCTCTACTGCCTCCAAGTGGCCAAAATATTATTTTAAAAACATAGACTTGCAATGCTTTTATTTGAATGCCGCTGAATAATTTATTCTATAACTTTTATAAACACAACTCCAGATGTCAATGTAACTCTAATCTCTATGTACAGTATGTGCGGAGTGGGAGGAGGACTATGAATGCTAATTAACATCTGTGATTACTTTTTATGATGCCAGCTTGGCAGATTAAAGCAACAATGTTACGAGACAAACAGAGACAAAAAGAACAACACAGAACAATAAACGACTGCTTTAAAGAGTTTAGACTTTTTATCCGTTCTGCAGTTTAAGGGGCAGCTTGAAAGTGGCTGACATTGTACATTTATTTTAATGCTAGAGGAATAAAGGTCATTCCGATAATTAGTCCTTTAACTGACAGTCTCTGGGAGCTTTATGCAAAAATCGTATACCTTTTCATGGCTTAATCAAACTGGCCCCTCAGAATCTACTCAAAAGTTACTTGAGTCAATACACTAATAAAACATTAGTAGGGAACTAATGGAACACTTTGTATTTAAGTGGTTTGAGAAAGAACAGATGTTTAATACTCACACTCGCATTTAAAACTTTACTTTATTTGCATATTCTACTATGAAACAAGGTCTGTAAATAATGTACAATAGTTGATCGACAGTTTTTAATGCCCCAAGTGGATGCCTGCCTATGCCCAGAATCAGCCTATCGTATCAATGGGTCTAAAAATGGGGAAAACTTACAACTTTTGCCATAGAGCTTCCAATATTCAAACTTATCATATCTACTGAGTCGGAAAATGTCCTCAAAATTCTGCACTTCTGTGTCTAGTCCCAAGTGTCCATCACTGTGGAGGACTACGAGGACACGAGGGAGAGCAGGGAGCCGCTTCTGTCAGGGTCCCACCGAAACTCCACCTCCTCCGAGCCCATCTCCTCCTCGTCCCACAGCTCGGACCACCCCCTGCTGCGGAGGAAGAGCATGCAGTGGGCTCGCAGACTGAGCCGGAAAGGAGGAAGGACATCCAGCGCAGCCAAGGGGGGTCCGGGGAGCGCGGCGGAGAGGATCAGCCAGCAAAGACTGACGCTGTTCAGACGCTCCGAGAGACAAGAGCTCAACTCCTTAGTCCGGACCAGGATGAAGCACCTGGGCCTGTCGCCGATCGGATTCAGTAAGTAGATTTTCCTAAAAGAAGGCATGCAACAAATTCATTCACTATTTATTTGTCATGAACTGTGGCAGGGGGGTACAAGTCAACATTGTTTTAAGCCCACCGTCAAACTTATAGGATATATTTAACGTTTTTTTTTTTTTTTTTTTACTGTCATATAATAACTTCATTATTTGAAGCAGTGGTTCCCAATCTTTTTTCTCACAGTAGCAACACATAAAATAGAAAGTTATATGGATTATAATTTGATTTCAATGCATGATTTCTTGTTTAAATATAAGAAACAATACAGTGTAAGGACATAATAAATATTTTGCATGTCAGATCAGAGAAGCTAAGCAGGGTAGTGCCTGGTTCATACTGTGATGGGAGACCGCTGGTGTGGCTAAGTGCAATATTGTTAATCCACATTGCCTAGTATGAATCCTGTGGGTGCATGAATGATTGGTAGTGGTCTGGTCTGGGGTGGCCTACGGCATAGATTAGTAGCCACACTCCTGTCAATCTTCCCCAGGGCAGCTGCGGCTACTCTAGTAGTTTACCACCAGTGGGTACAGAAGGATATCTAAAATATGAGTGCTCAGAAATGTGACATATGAAATGTGACAAATATGAATAGGTTTGTTCAACTGGACGTCTGGCTCTCTCACAAGACCTCATTAATTTAAAAAATATATAAATGAATTTGGAAAGAAGGCTTTTTTATATTTTGCATCTCAGATATGTTGTTATTTGCAAATATTTGCAAAAAGGGGCAATAACATACATATAATATTAGATGTATATACATACTGAATGTTAAACATGAACTGTTCACTGTCCTGTGTAGCGACCCCGCTTCCATCCCTGCGTATAGAGTGAGACACACACAGAGGAAATATCACTCGATCTGTCTGGGAAAGGCGCTAAATAAATAAAGATTACCTACTTATTTTCATCAAGCTAAAAAAGTGTTTTGTTGAAACAGGAAACTCATGAAAAAAAGAGTCCGACTCCCTCTTCCTTCCTTCTCAGTAAAGATAACTGCAAATAAATAAATAAATTGAACCCAGTTTTAACTTCTAATTACCCAGAACTTTGAACCAGTTTGCACGAACACACACTTAACATCAAGTATGAAGAGATTCTAGTCAAAGTAGATTGTCGTGAAAGCCTAAAAACATTATGGACAAACACTGTTTATCCTGAAAATCCTGTGCTTTTTTGTCAGATGGGATGACCGATCAGGGAAACAGACTTTCTTATATACTCATCAACCCTTCTCCTGACACGAGACTGGAGCTGCATGACGTTGTGTGAGTATAATAACAAAACAAAAGCAGCTTTGAATAAAGACCTTTATATCTACAGGACTAGTAAACTCTCTTTTGTCTTGCGCAGATATCTCATCAGACCAGATCCCCTGTCCGTGGTCCCCACTCAGGGAAACAGCCGGAAGTGCAGCGCGGGCCTCTCCGACAGCCACCGCTTTGATACACAGGACAGCACCCATCTGTGAAAGACTTAGAATATACTGAGATACGTGCAAATCTATTCAAATGGACAATGGATGGCACAAGCACAGACTAAAAGCTGGACTCATAAGTGCCAGGCATGCATGGACCTTTTCTAATATAACAACTGGGAATGTTTTATGTATGCACCTTCAGATTTTAAAAGCGGGAAGCTGTGGACACAAGTGCATTTACGAGGAAAACTACTATATCTGTTTATTTGTCCGTGCATGTTACTGCATCATGTACCGACCGTTTTATGTACTGTATGAATGTATACATGTGAGGAAGAAGGCGATTTGAGAATTTGGAAAATGGTGGAGATTACGTGCAATTATTTCATTAGGGTGAGGACCTCCTTGAAAATGAGATGATTCATCTCAAGGGGAAAATAAATATATTTAAGTAGATATCTTATATGTGTTGGTTAAAATTGCTTTTGCTCATGGTTTTTAGGCCTTCCCAAACACCCTATTTATTAAGGCCTGGAAATGCCTTGTGACCCACGTTGACTTGCACTTTAAATGCTCAAACTACTACAAGAATATATCTGCAAATTTACTGAAACAGTAAAAGCCATGATTTCTTTACATATTCATGAATGATTAACAATTGGCCAGTGTTGTAGTTAAGGAAGTTAAAACAATGTATTTTAAGGGAAATATATAACTTTAAATATCAATGGAGATTTAGGCGACAGTAGCTCAGTTGGTAGAGCATTGGCCTTAAGGCCAGAAGGTCGTGGGTTCAATTCCCACCTCTGCACCTTCTCCACCGACTCCCACTGACGACTGCTGTCGTTGTGTCCTTGGGAAAGACACTTAACCCCACTTTGCCCAAAGCCCCCACTGAAAGATCAAGGCTATGCTCACACTCAGAGAGCAGTCGTCCTCCTGTGGACTCACCACCTGCAGAGGGTCAGTGAGGGGCTGGTGCTATGAGACTTGGGTGGCATCTCTGATTGCCACCCCCCTGACCCAGAAATGGATTAAAGGGTAGAAAATGGATGGATGGATGGACATTCTTTATAACAACCATCTCTTGCTTTATTTTTGGTTTAAATCTTTGTCTACAGTTCCAAATTCTCCTACAGAATCAAGCCAGACACTGCCAATAGTTTTCCAGGTGGCAAAATGACAGCGGTTCTTTGTTGTCAGTGTGTTTTTGTCACACTAAATGTTGTATTGAAATGTAAACAAAATGATGTTTTTTTTTTTTTACATGTATTTGTAAGTGTTGCTTTTATCCGTCGTTTGGTTTCACCAGCAGCGAGATACAAATGAGTAAGGAATGTTTTGTCAGGGCATCCAGTTATATTACACATGTCGCTCTTTTGGTTGTTCTCTTTCTCTCTTTTTATACTTGTTCCTGAATAATATTTTATGGACCTAAATGGACGTCTAGACTCCTAAATGAATTATTCAGTAAATATTTAAACTAAATCAAATTAAAATACTTGAGGATTAAACTCATATAAAGTGAATGTCAGTTACTTTTCAAGTTGTGGAGGGATGGGAACTTTCTGTAGACATGCACTGGTTGGACCCGCCCTCACCTCTGGAGCCTCCTGATCGCTTTGAAATCAAATCCATGAGGCCTTCGAAACTATTCTCCTAGAGCAAATCTCACATGATACAATTCATCTACAGAGTTCCTTTTGTCCAGCCCAGTATAGATTCAGTTGGCCACACAACTGAATCTATACTGGGCAGGTCACAGAAGTGCATAGAATCTATTCCCACTCAGATGTTCCTTGCAGTCTGGTGCAGAGGGCACTCTGCAAATAGGAACATGTCTTCTAAACTGATCTGCATGTTAATAACCAGAGTGAAAAGAGGCCGGTCTCTGCAGATACTCAAACAGATGGTGGAGAGGAGACCCAGCGGTCCCCTCTCACACATACCCAGAGCTGAGGCAGACATCGCACTGAGCCATTACACACTCATTACTAACCCTGCACACATCAAAAATGAAACTGTTTAAGTCAAAGGTCTTAGGTCATTTATTGAAGTCAGTGCACCGTTCGATCAGGTGAAGTGTATCAAAGCATCTCTCACAGATTTAAGTATTTTTCATAAAGGTTGTTTTCTTTTTTACTTTAATATAAAGTTTCTAAAAACTTTTCTCTCCTCAAAAGAAAAAAAACATAAGGCCTATTATATTTACAGTCTATGGGCCTGCCCTGTTCCTCTGGGTCAGTCAGCTCCTCATCTTCACTCAGCTTTCAGTTCATGTTGCAGCCGTCATCCTTCCATCATTATCACTTCCATCTTCACCAAGCATTGATGGTTTAAAACTCTGATTTTAATTATATACAGATTAGCTTTTAAAACAAAATGAAAATATGAACGTTGAATTATTTCAATTTTTTATCATTTCATTTTTAGTGATTCAACAAATCTTTTCCTTGATTTAGTGTTTTAAGAAATTATGCTCATATAATTCAAACGCAAAAAAAAAAACATAGTTACACAATTTCAATATGGTTACTAATCTACTTCCACAGGAGGGCACCAGTACATCCATGGAGGAGGCCAGAGCAAGTGAGAGAGTTGGGACTTTATGTACACTTCACCAAGTGTGTAGGAGGCAAGCACAGGGAGAATTTGGACAGGACCATAGTGTTTTGGTTCCGCCTCTCAGTTGTGTGGTGCACAGTCCTCGGTCCAGAGCTTACAGAGCCAACACCTCCGGTACTCATGTCTTCCAAACCGATCAGCGTGTTGATAACCGGAGCGAACAGGGGCCTGGGTCTGGAGATGGTCCGACAAATGGCGGAGACGCAGGGTCCTATCCGTGCGCTGTTCGCCTGCTGCAGAGACCCAGGGGGACCCAGAGCTGAGGTAACACACTTTAATATTGCGCAACAGTGACGGTTTTTTTTTTTATTGTAGAAAAACAAAGCACGAAAGAGTCAAATCCATAGGCAGTCAGTAATTGGTCAAAGCCATGTAAATAGGCATTTAAGTAGATGGTTATGTATATTTGTTATTAAAGGTGTGAAAGAAGATACTATATGTAATGTGTACCCTACTGGTTTATTACAGTGATTATAACTTCCGTTGCCAGAATATTACCTACCTGTGACCATAGACCTGTGCAAGTAACCACAAAGATGTAGATAGATTTAGAAACTCAAGATTACATATGACCACTGCTTGGTGTGGTGTCATATAATATTTAACCCACATTGACAGTGACAGTGCTATTTTTGAGAATTTGGTTATGAAAGGGAAAAAGATAGTGGGGGCGGGAGGGAAACTGTAAATATTGAATCCACAGAAGATGGGCTCAATTGTGTTGCCAGTCATGATTCAATAATACATGTGTTACAATTAAAAATGCTCTCACTGAAATACTACTGAATATGATTCTTTCCGTAGGCTTTGCAAGCTCTGGCAAAGAAGCACAAAGACACAATCAAAGTTGTTTGTATGGGTAAGTTTTATCATGCAATAATTGGTGATCTGTTTGTTACAGCAAAATCAACATTCTCCAATGTCATGCATACATTTGACTATTAACCTTTTATTCAACCCTTTAATGGTTTCCTCAACCATTTGGTGGATGACTTTTTGAGTCACTATGTCACGATGTCTACTTGAAGCATGTTTGGAACTGAAATCTACCACTGTCACTTTGTTTTAGGCCCTTTTACTATCAAACTTCATCTCAACCATTTGGTAAAGGCCTAAAAAGTTAAAGGTCACTTTTCAAGAGTGGTACTGGTAGAAAAGTTACAGATGAAAATAAATACATTTGTTATACATTTGTTACACATTTAAAAGCTGGGATGACACATAAAAGAGGCACATCAAGTGAAACTGTAACAGACCCCGCTCCCATCTCTGTGTGGAGTGAGAGGACAAGTGCCCAAAAAAAAAATAACAATTGTAAACCGCTTTGTGACTCTGGTCTGTGAAAGGCGGTATATAAATAAAGCTTACTTACTTACTTAGATCACTGAGGTTAGGTCGGTCTCAAATGATTCCAGTCTCAGAAGCAGGCTAAAGAGAGGCTGCGTAGAAGACGCTCTGTGGGCAGGAAGAAGGTTGTTGGATCTCAGCGCATTAGTCCCTACTGTTGTTTAATCAAGGTACAGGTGTAAAAGAGAAGAGCAATGTAAATATTATTTACTGTACCACTAGAAGCAACACTGCCTCCTAGTGGACAAGGGGCGGGGAACAGCTGAGCTTCTTTAGAGTTTGTGAATATATTTTCTCAGTACACTTTCCTTGTTATGTATGTTTCAATGACGTAATAAAATGTACCCAAGTGAAAAGTTGGAATAGACTTTAATCACACAGCAAAGTAGACTCACAGTTAAGCATTCTTCACAATTGAGGTACAGTTCACTTTTATTGTCACAGGGTGGAGCTAGTGTTTTCATTTCAAGACATCATGACAAAGGCAAATAACTTTTCCTCAAGAACACAAGAAAATGGCTGCATGTAACACAGATAAATATAATGCATCGTTTGTCTCATGGTCTTTTCTGTAAATGTGCCTTACTAACCAAAAATAATCTTATTGCATCTGATTTGACTTCTGTTTTGCCTAAATCACTGTACAAGCTGTTCTTTTCTTATTCAAAGTTAAGGTGTTGTGTTGTCTCCCTCATAGACACTGCTGACCAGAGCAGCATCAAGCAGTCAGCTCAACAGGTGGGCTCACTGCTGGAAGGGAAGGGCCTCAATATCATCATCAACAATGCTGGAATCTTAACCCACTCTACTGTAGCTGATTCCACTCCAGAGGACATGGCTAGCTGCTTCAACACCAATGTGATTGGCCCCATGAGAGTCATTCAAGTGAGAGAAGAAGGCTATATTATTATAGAGTCATTACAGCTAGTATTTTTCATTTTTCCCACTTTATTAGGAGTTCCTTCCTCATCTACGGACAGCTGCAAAGGACAGTGGGATGTCTGGGATGCACTGCCGAAAAGCTGCTGTGGTCAATATTTCCTCTTCTCTCGGATCAGTCCAATCTGCCCTGCAGTCATACGAAGGCTTTAAGGCAGTTCCATACCGCGTTAGCAAGGTATAAGACTATACGGCAGTCTTGAACTGTCTTGTCAAACATGTGGCGTAGATGGTGCAGTTTGTGGGTTTGTTTCATTTCGGTTTCTATTGGAATGTAAGTATATTTTCCAGTTTGAACATTGCATGTGCCTCTGTTGCGTCTATACAAATAATGAGTGTCTGTTAAAGCAGTCTAAAGTGACTCTTTTAGTACAAATTCAGTCCTTGCTCATTTGGTTTATAAAGAAATTGATAGAAGGAAATGGATGTAGATTAACTCCTGATGCACATCCCTCAACAAGCCTCCTTTTTGAACAGCAACATGCTTTTTGGACATATTTGTCCACTTTCAACTTGTTTAACAATTTAAACAAGTTGTAGCCTTCAATTATTTTAGTTGAAAAAATACCAAAATCATAGACTGTAAATACCAAAATGTATTTGTGTGGTATTGTGTAGTAGGGCAATAGATATGTAACAGTAGTTTGATAGTGAGACAATAATGTAACCATCACATTTTTCATATGCTGTAAATGATAATTGCATTCCTTCAAATAATCACACTTCCATAATACAAGTCGCTGGTTGTATATCTTCTATATATACTCTGGTGTTTTTTGCCCTTCTCAGACATTTTGTATAACGATAGAAAGTGTTTATAATGAGAAATGTTGTGCCAAATTTCACTATCCCCTTCATTGATTTGATATTATAATTATAGTAATAATACAACAATCATTAGTGGCCGTGCTCCTACACATTGACCCCTAAATGGACCTTCAGTCAAAATGATTAAAATGGCCCAGGCCCTGAGGTCGCAAAAGTAGCTCAGGTATTGTGTCTTTGCAGGCGGCTCTGAACATGCTGAATGCGTGCGCTACTGTTGAGCTCCAGAAGGACGAGATCCTGTGCGCCCTGCTGCACCCGGGATGGGTCCAGACCGACATGGGCGGAGAAAATGTGAGCCACTAATGATGACAAAGCTAATAATTTACTAACTACTGAATATTCTAGATCAAACAAACATGAATGAGACAATACTGAAATATCTGTTCTTCCTTAGGCCTCAATAAACGCTGAGGAGAGTGTCCAGGGGATGCTGCAGGTGATAAACTCCCTCACTGAGAAGCACAACGGAGCTCTGCTGGATTACAGAGGCCAGACCATCCCCTGGTAGAGCTGATCAACACACACAAAAATGAAGCTATTGTAGACTTACATTGGTGGCACACATTAAAAAACGAGAGGATTTTAGCCTGTGTCAAGTGAAAAACATTGGGTAAAAATATGAAAATTGTAGGAAACAACAATACCATTGATCTTTCTATATGCAAGTTATTGTACATTCTCTTACTTTTTTGTCCTGACTTCTGTGAAACATTTCTGCCATTTCTGCCCAAACAAGAGACATTAACATTGCCTGACCAGCCGGAACCGCACGCTTTTATGATACATGATACTATTTACAAAGACAAATATTTTTGGACATGTACATTTTACTGAGGGGTTTCTCGGTCATTAGTGGTGTGTCCTATGGTACAGATGGCCCCATGAATATCTGAAGACTTTAATAGCAATTAAAGAAAATAATGAAGACTCTTAAGAATGTTGAAATACATACACCCTGAGGTTTGAAATCAAGAATGTGCCGCTTTTGTATTTTTCTGCAAATAAATAAAAAGGACCAAATCACCTTTCTATATAATTAATTTATCTTGTGTGTTTGTGTTGGTCATACCAGAGGTTCTTAAAGTGTGGGAGGGACCCACAGTGTAAATGGGCTGCGGGGGCCTCAGATACCGGCTGGTGAGGTCAACCTGAAGGAACAAAATTATTGCTCGGATACGTTTTTGTGATGACTCCAGGAACGCTTACATTCTTGAAAGCAATGTCACCGATAAGACCAGCCTTGACTTTGTATAGCTATGTTTTCAGTCTTAAGTCTACTTCCCTTTTGCTCATTAGCAGAAAAGGTTTGACAGTTTTCAGTATTCCTGATGGTAAACAACCGTGCTTTGGTTTTAGTACCATATTTGTTCCCAATGTCCATTTGATCTATTGGGAAATTTTGGTGCATCCCATGTTTGCGTTTGGAGTTTAAAAAAAATATATATACGTAAATCATGAATAAAGAAATATTTAAAATGTTAAAAGCAGATTACGAATACAGTAAGAGAGAGACTTTTATTCCTTCAGACCAGTGTGTGGCAGTATCATATTCACCTGAAGGTATTTAAAGGCCCAGCAGGTGTCCACAAGTGCTGCTGATTGGAGGCAGTTGTTTTTGGCTGCATTGTGTCTATTGTAGATGGCAGAAATGGGCCAACAATGGATCCAAAATAAAGTGACAAAATTACTTGACTTCACTTGATTTAGCATGCTGTGGCGCTTAAATATAACGTACAGCAGTATTATTTAATACTGTGGGGAAACGTTTTAAAACCCCTGGATTGTATGAGAAATATAGTCTAATAGGACAGCCCATCTGAGGATTTGGGGTGTGGTTTAGGCAGTGTAAACGCTCCAGTTTTCCCTCATTTGGAGCAGTCACTGAACCTGCGCAGAAGAAGCATGTTTTCCAAAGCGATCAGCGTGTTGATAACTGGAGTGAACAGAGGCCTGGGTCTGGAGATGGTCCGGCAGATGGTGGAGATCCAGAAGCCTCCTCCCAGGTTGCTGTTTGCCTGCTGCAGAGACCCAGACGGAGCTACGGTACACTTCAATTCCCTTCTTAATTTGAAATTAAATTCTAGCTATTTCTATCATGTAAAACTACAAACCTGATTTCAGCATTTGCAAGCTTTGAAAAAGGAACATCCAGATATTATCAAAATCATCCACTTAGGTGAGTTTTAAGCGTGAATTCTATTTTTTGTGTTATAAATGTGGTTTAGATTGATAGAAAATAGTGAAGATTTCACTATTTTGGTTATAGTGCTTGTTTTGCACATGCATCACATATATTAAAACTAACTTATAACTGAGACTAAGGAAACGTCTAGATGAGGACTAAACCAGGAATTAAACAGCTGTGGCTGTTGTTCTCTTTTCATACATATTTCAGCCAATAAAACAACCCGAACCCTTCCCTGATTTCTTATAGCTTGAAACCTTGAAGCATGTGATATGAAGACAACACAATAGTATTGGGTCACTTCCTATTTGTGTAGTTATCCTAACTATTCAAATTAAAAACAGATGCCGCAGATCCCACCAGCATCAAGCAGGCGGCTGCACAGGTGGGCTCTATCTTAGGAACCAGTGGTCTGAACCTGATCATCAACAATGCAGCTGTGGCAGTTCACCAGTCATTGTTTGATAGTACTCCGGAGGACATGCACAGATCCTTCAACACTAATACAATTGGGCCTATGCTCGTAATTCAAGTAAGGGAAGCAATCAATGTAATTTTTTATTTCACTTTCTTCAACATTTTTCTCCCATCCTTTGCAGGAGTTTATTCCTTTTCTCCGTGCTGCAGCTAAAGATTGTGGGTCACCAGGACTGTCCTGTTGCAAAGCAGCTGTGATCAACATTTCTACTTTTTGTAGTTCAAATGAGCTAACAAAAGAGTCGTACAAGGAATTTGCTGTAATGCCATATCGTGTCAGCAAGGTGAGGCTAAAGATTCCCTTATTAGTCATCTGTAATACTCATAGAAAAAATGTGATGTGATTAGATGTAGTCTGTATGGCCTTGGTTTGTATTCGCCAATTGCTCCCTGCAAAGACTTTTACGCCATCATTTTAACGTTAGGTCATTGACTTAATCCGTGATGATTTAACACGTCAGGAAATTGTTATTTATTATAAAATAATCCTTCTTGAACAGTTGTTTTTACCATCTTCACATATTTCACAAAAACCCTCAAACATTTGGTTTGAACATTTCTGAAACATTTTTCAAAACTAGCTTATTTTTTTTTTAATCCAATCTTTACATTCCTTTCCCCTCTCTTCAGGCAGCGCTGAATATGCTGTCTGTCTGTGCTTCTCTGGAACTCCAAAAACATGAGATTCTCTGTGCAATGCTGCATCCTGGATGGGTTCGCACGGACATGGGTGGAAAGGACGTGAGTCATTTCAAAACTCAACAGTAATAAGATTCCAATCATCACTTGTCCGCTCAGGACAGAATATGGTGTAGAGGTGACTGCGACTTGGATAAATAAACTAAACAAAAGGACCAAGCCCTAACACCAAAACCATAAAGGGTCATGGTACATAATGGAGTAGTTTGATATTTACTCATGTCAGCAGCAGTTAAAATGAATTACTGTAACATTGACTTTTGATAATTTGAAACTGTTTTTGCAACAGTTTATTTTACTATAGAACTGCAAAAAGAGAAATGGCATACTTCAGCGGACACATTTTAAGCACTAAGAGCAGTGTTATTTTAGTATTCAAATGGCACATTTCATTCTGAAATGTAATGCTGTGTCTTGTTTTGTGTGCACCTTCTTATTGTCCTGTAAAAATTATTAGTTTGAATGGTTTGAGTTAAAACCCTTTAGCTACCAGAGGCTTCTTTTTCATTTATTGATTTAAAAAAAATATCTAATGGATCGGAAAGGTTTGTGCAAAGCCAAGTAGCAATTTGTCATTTCTTTCATGGCAACATGATAAAAAAAATCATGATAGGAGTAAGTTGTTGAACATGTTATTGCGTGCATAGCTTTTTGTTTTTTGTTTTAAAAGTGAATGTGTTTCCCGTTTAATTTTCAGGGGGAGCTAAGCGCAGACGAGAGTGTTGAAGGAATGCTGCATGTGATGAGCTCCATGACTGAGCAGCACTGTGGCACTCTGCAGGACTGGAGAGGCCAGACAGTCCCCTGGTAGTCAATCAACATGAAATAAAGACTGGTGCAATCAAAATATTGGTTTAATTTAATATTGAAAGTTTGAATAAAAGTGATTTAAAAGGAACAGTGTGTGTGGTCAAACATCAGAATAATCTCTTACATGTGCATTCAAATCAAGACGCATCATGAAGAACTTATTCTTTCTCCTAGACTGCTTTGGAGAAATAATTTAGCCAGGGACATCTCATTCTGCATTGGAAGATTGCCCAGTCCTATAGGTACACATTACTTTACATATTGTTTACTTGGCAACCAGTTTTAAACTAGCCCTTAGATGTTTTTGCATGTTTCCTGGTGTCTTACCACACAAAGGTAAATGACCAATTGTGTGACAAGTTTGGAAAGGTGAGTTCCCCCTTTGTGTCACCAGGTGGCACTGTTCCACACAGCCACTTTGACAGGGCAAATCTTCAGGGGTTTGGGGTTATTACCACTGATGTTGGCTCCAGGGCAAAAGAACGGAAACATCTTCTGAGTAAAAAAGTTGTGAAAGGTGTAGATAGTCGTCATGGTGATGGGGTTGGAGAATGTGACCTCCCCTGCGTCATAATCCAGCTGTACCCTGAGGCGGGACAGGGGAGAGTCCGGGGTGAGAGCGGTGCTGGGTCTGGTCATGGCAGAATACGCTCCCTCACAGTAAGAGATCATCCAAAACCCTCCTTCAGGACAGCCAGATATAGGACCCTTCCTGACCACTGACTCTCTCACCACACCGAGCATCCAGTCCACCTTGTCCCCCACCTCCACCTCCCAGGCGTGGCGTCCCGAAGTGAAGCCCTCTGAGCCCAGGACGAACACAAAGTGACCAAAGCGCTCTGGGTTGTCAGGTAGTTTCTTCATAGAGCCACTGTTAGAGACTGAGGTGAGGTCTTTCGACAGGGACAACCACGAGTAAGCAGTGTTGGGGTCCAAGGTGATGGGGGCTGTGAAGAAATGCGCATGGATGTTAAACTATGGATGGGAAACTCTTTAAAATAAATTATACAACTGTCCAACAGATCAAACACAGTATGTGGTGGTCTGATTTAATAGAATGAAGACTGTATCTTTTGCAAACTTGTAAAAGAACCCCGTGACTTTGGTCTGAGAGCTGATTGGCTGAGGGTGGTCCTCTGAGCCAATCAGCTCTCAAACATTTGTGACAAAAGGCCAAAAATACAAGTGTGTGAAAACTAGTGATAGAACCAAACTATTTTAGAGCCAGGAGCCAGTTTGAACCAGTTTGTGGTTTTAAAATTGAGTAACCCAGCTTTAATCAACTGTATTGATTGAGATTAGGAGGCAAGAAAACTATATGGCATGAATAACAGTTTCTATGTCTTATTACAATGCATTTACAAAGGGTTTTAGCAATTAAACACTTGAAAGTGTTCCACACTGAAAGCAAAAACAGCTCTAAAATGTAGGATGGTTTCATGAGCGTTTGTGCCCTTTTAAATAATTCAGAGATTAGATTATATTTTTTGAGAACTATCATGTTTAGATCCTTATCTGTTGATCAACCATCATATTCCTCCATGTGCCTAATATCTAAAATCAGTTGAAAGAATACCAACAATTTTTATAAACTTTACAACATTTAAATTGAAAAAAAAAAAAAAAAACGTTCTAAGTGGAGCCTTCTTTTTCCCCACTGTTTTCGAGGATCAAATACTTACTGTACTCGACCACTTCCACCAACTTCTCCCACACATGATACTTGAGGGAGCCAACGTGCTGGGCCACATTAATGAGGACACCGGGGATTTTCTCTGGTTCTTTGAAGGTAAGCTGCGCTCTGTCAAACCGTCAGGCAATTAGAGTTTACACAAGGAACGAAATGTAAACAATGATGTAATGTTGAGCCATAGAAACCTCTTACCTCTTTTTTAGGCTGATGTAATTCTGAGGGGGAAAAAAACGTTTTGGATTTATTTACATAAGTGCTGCAATGTTGGAACAGTACTGAGCACGTTATTTTAGCCATAACTACTGTATATATACAGTATATAATATATTATTTAACTAGATATGGCACATATTATAGACATAATCATTTATTTAACCATTAATTGTATGTAATTCTGTGATTGAAAAAATAAATCAAAAGTAATATTGACATGTGATTTTGTCATTTAAAAATAATAATAATGCATTGGTTTTATATAGCGCTTTTCTGGACACTCAAAGACGCTTCACATGTGTCATTATTCATTCACTCCATACACGGTGGTGATAAACTACTACTGCAGCCACAGCTGCCCTGGGGCACACTGACAGAAGCGAGGCAACCAGTATGTGCCATCGGCCCCTCCGACCACCACCAACCATTCATACACACACCAGACTCATTCTAGGCAATGTGGGTGAAGTGTCTTGCCTAAGGACACAACGGCAGTTTGGCACTTTACAGCCGCAGCCGCCCCACTGTGGCATCAGGTGTTCCCAGAGGTTAAATGTCTTGCCAAGGACACAACGACAGCAGCCATCAGCGGGAGTCGATGGTGAAAGCCTTGAGGTGGGCTTGAACCCACAACCTTCTGGCTCAAAGGCCAATATAGAAAATGATTGCATCTTTGTGATTTGCATTTTGTGGCAAATGGTGATACGAGACACTTTTATGTGCGTGCATGTGTGTGAATAGTTGGGGGTGGTCAGAGGAACCAATGGCATAGTTCAGTAGCCTTGTGTTCATTAGTCTGCCCCAGGGGAGCTTCATTTGCTACGGTTCTGAGACCCATGACAAAAGCACATGCATTATTATTCCTCTGACCTGAAGGAACTGGGCGTCGCTTGCAGCCATCTCGTTCTCAATGGCCATGACGGCGTGAGAGTAGGTGAGGATGTCCCTGGTGATGCTGTCTGCTTTCTTCTTCACCTGCTCCTTCTTCTCCTCGTCCTCCTGCTGCAGCGCTGACACTCTCCTCTCCTCCTCCTGCTGCAGAAACGCCCGTAGCTCCTCAAACTCCTGCCTGATCTGTTTCTCCGTCTCCTGGGTCTGGTTCTAACACCAAAAAGGTCAAAATAAGAGATTCAAACCATCTCAAACATGGTGCACTTGCTTGTAGAAAAGGAAGGAATGGTTCAAATTAACAGTTCACAGACTGTTGATGAATAAAAACATTTAGGGAAATGGAGTCAGCCTCAGATTAGCTTTTCATTTCAGTTTAAAAGTTGAAAGGTACGTCCACTATCATGCTATTTTAATAGTGAAACCAAGACATTCATCATGTAACCTTTTAGTGACTATAGTGCTTCAATCTCCAAATACTGAAATTATTATTTTAAATAACAATGATTCAAATCTTCAAATTCTTAAATATATAACAAATGCATTATATGACAATGTCATGCCTTTCTACCGTTGTATCACCGTCCCATGTCAGTCCCTCACAATTTAGCTGGAACGTTTGGACCACATGGAAGAAGGTCAGTGCATTTTTTTTTACATCTTATCTATGACTTGATCTTGTCCAGCCAATAATGTCTTTGATTGTTTTAACCCAATCAGTAAAAGTAGGTTACATATGACCCCATAAAATGTTGGGTAAGCTTCATATTGTGATGTTTGTGGCTCAACAGTGTGCTGCTGGTGTGTTTATTGATACCTTTATGTGGACAGTTGTGTCATCACACTCCTGCTTGGCTTCATACAGGCGTCGCAGGTTCTTCTTCAGAGAAACCAGCTCATTTTTCAGCTCTGACTGCAAATATTAAATACATCCCAAAAAATAAGTCATAAGTGAAAGTATAATTAGAACAAAATCTGAAAAGGTTTTTTGGTTAGATTATTATTTATTTTAGCAGTTTAGAATAGAATTCATCATTAATTGTAATAAAAAACCAATGAATTACCTTCAGATCTTGAGCTCCCTCGTCCAGGGGGCAAACTCTGTGGCCAAGGTGCTTTTTGGAAGTGTGACAAACGCAGCACAAAACCTCAAAGTCGTTGCAGCAGAAAAGTTTGAGGACTTCTCCGTGAGCAGCACACTTCTCCTCAGGTGTCTCTTTCTTTGCCCCTGCCACTTTTCGCTCCTGTTTCCTCAGAAAAGTGTCTGCCACATTCTTCAACGCCAGGCTCACGGTCGGCTCAGTAAGAGAGCACTTTCTCCTGCAGGTTGGACAGTCACGTCTGGCTTTTTTCTTGTTCCAAAACTCTTGAAGACAAGACCTACAGAAACTGTGGCTGCACTTGAGGACCACAGGGTCCTTGAAGATGTCACAGCAGACTGGACAGGACAGCTCCTCTTCCAGCATGGAGCTTGAGCGGGAGGATACGGCCCTCGCCCGTAGAGTGGAGGCCACTTTTGGGCTTTGGGAAATGGACAGTTTTCCAGGCTGAGAAGAAGCACGAGGCCTCATCGCCATGATATCAGCTGTTGAATTCTTGACTAAAGTAGTGCCAGATAGATCTCTGCTCTTCTCTGTGACAGGTGGGAAGTATAGTTTATGAGAAACTACTGTGTCACACATAAACAAAGACTTGATGGACAGGTTTCTTTCTAGTAAATAACATGGCCCCTCCTCTTCTGGACTCACTCCCAGCTAAACTCATGTTTTGCCTCAACACTTAACGTTCTTAGACAATTTTCAGTGATCCTGAGTGGTCACATGCAAACCGTTGTTAAAAGGAAAAAGAAACAAAACATGATCTGATAAAGGCTATAATGACCGTTATGTCTTGCAATGAACTATACTCTTGGCATCTTGAGTGTAGAATGGATTCTTGCTTTTTTTCTAAAACACATGTTGACAGTTTTTCAGTGTCTATGGAGACCGTGCACTGACCCTGGAGGTGACCTGTTGAAGATGACCAGCGGTGCGATCAGGTTCACCATCATGGCTCTCATTACAGATCAGCAAATGCCTGCTGATGCTCAGTGATATTACTGTCTGGGTAACGCTATGCATATTTCAGAAGCACGTTGGGGGAAAATGAGGGATAAAGAACAAGCATCACAAAGAGGTGCCATGTCACTGTTATTGTATCATAACTGGACATTGACAACAGTGAATAATACAAAGCCATCAAAATACTGTGTTCTTCAGTGTTACAGTGTTATAGCATAATTTCCATAAAATAATCCATGACGTCAAACAAACAGTAGTACAAAATAGTTTCTGAATATACAGAGAGGGTAGTGAAAAGGCAACACCAAAAATCTTCTGGGATGTATGTAATAAACAATTCATTAAAATGTATGGACAATGAAAGTCACCATGACTCAAAATGGAGAAAGATTTCAATGAATCGGTCATGCACCACTACGCATACGTTTGATAGAATGTCAAAGTGTGATCGGAGGCGTTTTGAATTTAAACTTGTTTTGTGCATTAACCCCAACTGAAATCATGGAATTCTTTAATACTGCTCACTCAAATGCTTTTAAAAAAACATTAGAGCTCTTTCAACACTGTTTCAAAAACAAAAATAAACATTACACATTTCTCTAATTTAAAATAACTTTTAAAACACAGACATGTAACAAACTTCTCCTCTCGCTGACCATCAAAAAACAAACACTGAATCCCATTAACACAGTCAACCTATGCAAATGTGCTCCTGCTTTCAGAACAAAGCACTGTGGACACCTCGTTTTCAATACGTCACAATGATCCCAGCGCAACCACACTTAATTAAAAACAGCATGAACTATGACAAAATATACCAGCACATGCATGGAACCGGGCCACTGCACTTGGAAAGTTTGGAGCAGATGCCTGTTGTTGTACGCCAACTGAGGTACAACACTATCCTTTTGTTCAGTCACTTTAGTTTTTCAACACAGTGCTACATAATGTGAAGTCAAAAACATCAACTTTGCATTAGCCTTCTTGTTGAATTTCACGAACTATCTCTCTCTATCTTGTCATTAATAATGTCCCTGTCAGCAACAGCACAATAATTACGTGCAACTTGGTCAAAAGTTAATCTCAATTTACCGTTATTAGATTTGTGACAATTCTGGAAGACAAATAAAAGCCTTGGAAGTTATCACAGTAACTCACCTCCCGATAAAACATCTTACAAAAGTATAGTCTAAATAAAGTAGCAGATAAACATGGCATAAAAACTAAGAGGTGGTTTCATAGTAGTGTAGAATGCAGTGCGGGTGACACACTGAGGTCTTCTGCTCCACTGAGGTTAAACTCTTCCAACCTTGGCGTCGCCGATGGCCCCCCACACGTCGAATACAAACTCATCCGGGAAGGCAAAATCTCCCAGGGTCTCATCTAAAGCCTCCGCAAACTCATCTGGGTTCTTTTTGTCCTTCCCCAGCTCCACCATGGTTGCCGCTGTGGACACAAAGACGATTGCATTGTGAAACGAGTGAAGCGTTCATTTTGATGAGAACAATATCACAAACTTACCCAGCTCGCTGTCTCTGATGCCCATGTAGCTTTCCAATAAGTCGTCCACTTTTTCAATGGCTTTTTCCTCAAATGCAGATGGCTGTCAATAATAGCACTATGTTACTCAATTAATGTTAATGTTCATACATCCTTACCTTGTAAACTAATTTAGTAAATCCCTATATTGTTTTGTTTTTTTAACCATAGGCTTTCAAGTAAAAAAGTGAGGTTCTATATTTCTATAATGACTGATTTGAAATACCAGGATATTGAATGACACATTCTGCTACCGACTCAATGTGTAAGAAGTCATGTCTTTGAAAATGTTCACCGGGGGAATAACTTGAGCTTTGTTTTTTTGTTGTAATAAAATCCTAATTATTTTTATTTACTTGACTAAACCGTTGAAATACTGCTCACAACACAATCATACACAACTCTCAAATTATATTTGGTTTTTAATTTGTATGGGTGGTGTTTTAGAGTTTAGTTGCTGTTTGTCTCATGTGTAGAGCTTTTCCTCCTTCTTTCAAAGCACTCTACATCTATGAACCACTCACACATTCCTCCACTGTATCTTGCCCAAGAACACTACAACTACAATAAGTTTGTGTAAGCCCTCAGTCGTACAGGGATTAGTCAAAGCAAAGGAAGGTTTCTCACCCATCATCTGTACTTCTTAGCAAGTTTTCCAGACGTTTCGTCCTCAACCTGGGGACTTCTTCAGGGAATGAATTCTCGGACCGCGCGTTGGAGATTTATAACCTATGGGTGTTGTTAGCCACACCCTAACCCTGATACTAACTCGTAAACAATCTACGGTCTGCTTGATGTAGACCGTAGATGATGTAGATGATGTAGACTGCTCCCTTCTACATCAAGCAGACCGTAGATTGTTTACGAGTTAGTATCAGGGTTAGGGTGTGGCTTACCACACCCATAGGTTATAAATCTCCAACGCGCGGTCCGAGAATTCATTCCCTGAAGAAGTCCCCAGGTTGAGGACGAAACGTCGGGAAAACTTGCTAAGAAGTACAGATGATGGGTGAGAAACCTTCCTTTGCTACAACTACAATGTTTTGTTCTTGCAGAGGTTCACATATTTGAAATGAACTTCATAAAATGACACAATAAAAAAACATTATAACTTATTGCCTGTATAAGTTGTGGCAAATCAGTGCTGTTGCAGTATTCTATTCGAGCAATACTCACCAGTTCTTCCACAGTAGCAGGACCTTTCGAGCGCAGTCTCAAGGTGCCTCGGCCAGTGCCCAGCTGAACCCCTGATGCTGACCGTGACCCTCCCGATCTCTGGCTGATCATATCTGAACAGAATTTTGACATTTTGAAATACAGTTCAACAGAAAACAATGTGTAAAACAAAAGAGTTACCTACCAAAAGCTTTTAGAGGCTCAATCAGCCGGATGGTAAACTCTTTCGCTTTAGGTAGCTCTTTTAACATTTTGGCAACTTCATAATGTCGGCACCCTATCAGACGATGACCATTGATGGACTCAATCATGTCTCCCACATTAATGACCTGAATCTGGTGTATTACGCTGCCCTCACGGATTCTCTGGAATTACAAGAAATGTGGAAAAAATTTACATCAAAGGACCTTTGATTAATTTCAAAATTGAGTACTTACCTTAATGAAAGCATAACCAGCTCCATTGTCAGTGATTGTCAGTCCCAAGGCATCATCTCCTTTATAGACAATTATTTCCTTTTTCTGGCCTTTTATATGAGCGAATATAAAGTCTTCAAGCCCAATCTGTCCTCCTAACAGTTTGTCCATATCTACTTTATGAGTGTTTAGTGTGCAAAACATGATCTGTGAAGAGACACAAAGATATTTACACTTTTATATATTCTATTGGATAATCTTTGATTAACAAAATGACAAACCTCTGACTGTGGGATTCCAAAAGCATCCCCGATCTTTGAATACAGCTCTCGAACATTGCTGAAGCCTTCAATGCGTCCAGTGGGGCTGCCATGAGCGAGCTGAGTGTGGAAGATGAGTCTGGGTCTCATGCTGCTTGGTGGTGGGGGAAGACCCTCAGAGGTGGCTCCTTCTCCACAGCCTCCACCCCCATCTAATCCGTCCATCCCCGCCACATTCAGACCCCCACGGATGGGCTCAGCCTCCTCATTCTCCACCAAAGAGGCCTTCTTCCTCCTTCCAATACCCAGGGGCATTATGTGGCTTTATACCAGCTACTGGTGAGCTTGTATATATGGAGAATAATAATATTGCCAGAACTCAAAGCCTCTCCAGGAGTTTAGGAACTTGCTTGACCAAACGCAATGTTTTACAAATCCATTCATAACAACAGCTCACATTGCTGGATCTTTCTAGTCCAGCAGCCCAGATGGAACCTATTCCTGTTAAAACACCAAAAATTTTATCGACGTGGACATAGTATACAATATAATTATAGGCAAAATTAACAAAAAACTAAAAAAACATGAACTATTTTAGGGGCTTCATAACGATTATATCACTTTTGTCTTTTGAACATATGATGCTAGTGTTAGCTGCTAGCTCTTGTTACAGAACAAGCCGCATATTTCTGCTCATAATAATAAAACCTCTTTTTTCACACGACTTTAACACATAGCTACTCTAGCAGGGCGCTATTTAAAGCCGGGCAAGGGCTGATCCCTGATTTTGTTGGCATTTGGGATTGTAATGTGAGTAAAATAGCTGAGATTAGTTAGCAGCTGCCTCCACTGTGGCAGCTACATCCGAGTAAACAACACGACGGGCCATTCTTACCGGAGTTTGAGCGCTCCCCGTTTCCTTTCGTCTCCAGATAACGGATTTTGATATCAAACTATCTAAATAAGAACGTTTATTCACGTGAATTAGTTGTTCCACGTTGGTGATGGTCCGGAAGCAGTGTGTGGATGCCGCTGCTGCAGATTAGCCGTCTGTCAGAGCAGCAGGGGTGTGTGCGTGGATACAACAATGTACTTTCTGAATGTTTCATTTAGCAGCATTATCATCAGTCCTATCATGGCCTTAAAAAAATAGATCATCATAGTAAAAGCTCTGTTAAATGATCATATATTGATTGTTATACGCTGTACTTTAAGTATTCACTAATTTTATAATATTTGTGTATTTTATTGTATTGTAAATGCAACAACATGTGTGCATTGTAAATGTATGTTTATTGTTATTATCATTATCTTAAAATTAGACTTTATATTTCATACATAAAATATGTTTCATGGCTAATTTCCACACCAGTCGAAGTCGTCGTTATAGTATTATACTGTAACCTAGCGGCGACACATGGTAACTGCAACACTTGACAGTGTCACAGAAATGGGGTAGATATATCAGTAGATACTACAGTTATCTGCTTAACTATCTACTTATTTAATTGATAAGTTTGCGTTAAATGTATTGTTCACCATTACTTTGTAATTACCCAAAGACTACATTTTCCCAGTGTATCTCAGTGACTTTTCATTTTTAATTTAAAGTTGGTAAACTGTGCATTATTGGAATGGACAATATATAGAAATAGAAAATGATAAGCAATAGTTACTCCAGATAAGGTTATTTCATAATTATATTTTGTTTGTTCTAACAGAAAAAGTTTTGTTTAAGAGAATTTTTTGTGAATTAAACAAATAGTAATAAAACACATTTTCTTCACTTTTCTGTATGAAATAGGTGGTACAGGGGAAAGTAAGCATGCACAACACAAAGTTAGGAACTTCAGCTTTAATGCCAGTTTTAGGGACCTTGCAGTGCACGATCAGGCAGCAACCAGGAAGGTCCAACCACAGGATTCAACCCCCGTTAATAGCAAACAGGTAAAATTTTGTCCAAAAGCGTTTCTCCAGTCTAAGACAATGGACCATCAAAAATAGCACATTTTTGTCTCGTTAGGCCAATAATGCCCTCCACGTGGACCTGCACACATGCAATTCCTGGAGTTTTTTCTAAGTCTATTGGATCCAGCTGTTTCTTTTCTCTAGTAAAAACAGGGATCTTCAATTCAACATTGGATAGAGAAAACGAGTCAGTAATTTCTTCAAAAAACGCCACTCTGAGAAAAGAAAGATATAGTGCCCTGGGGAGAAATTCTAATCCTATATTTAATTGTATTGTGTGATTTGTAAGAATATGTTTGGGATCTAGCTAAATGCATCAGTTTAACTATAAATATATCGAAGCAGTCAATAATGCATGACTAGTGCACTTTTAAATGAGAATGGCTATCAACCTTAGCTCATCTCTTCCTGGCCATTTAAAGAACAAACTTTACAATTCTTTGATCCAAAATATTTGTGCTGCTCTGAAATATGTCTTAACCAGTAGAAATACTGGTTGTGGCAACAAAAAAAAGTGACAAAAACATTTATTACATTCAACCGCAAACTTTTCACTTTCTGAGGGTATAATTCTGGTTGAGAGAATAAGTGACAGAATTTCTGAAAAAGCAGGATCTGAGGTGAAACTGACTCCATCTATGAAAAGTTTCTTCATAATCAGGATAAGCTTAGAATGTCAGCACTGGTGCCCGCAGCAGCAGTGGCTCCTCTGTGCACCATGGACATAATCACATAAAAGCAATGCCTCTGACCCAACGGTTTGGTCTGATCATCCATGCCTAAATTGTCTCAGCGCGTTGAAACACAAACAAAATGTATTTGAAAGTTTAATATGGGGAGAAGCAGACAAAAACATACAAAAGATATACTACACTTTTGTAACCCATAAAATACAAAATAATTTTACAAGAAAATTGTAGAATTGAAGAATGAATTAAGTCCTGAGACGTAAACTTGCTAAATCAAATAAGACGTCCACTATTTTTTCTGTTAGAAACTGAAAATAAATGTAATAAAAAGGTGAACCATTACAGATGACACATCTCTATTCAAAACACAGAGCAACAATCACAAGTTGCACTTGTAATGTTCAAATGAACAGAAAGCCATAGAGCTGCAAAGTTCCACGCACTTGGCAGAGCTGACAGTCCACTCTGGTTCCGGAAAAGTAAAATCTCCAAATATTAAAACATTGAATTTAAGATGGTTGCTAACAAAACGTTTTCAGCCCAAAAAGCACATTTTAAAAATTAAAATCTGCCAATTGTGATACTCTGGTTTCGGAGACATCCTTACAGGGTGTTTTGTCCTTATTTTCCACATAGTTGATTAACCCTCTAACCCTTTCAAACTTTGATATTAATATTTTTGGAATCCCCATGGGAAAAAGGAAGAGCATGTTGACAGGAGTTTTGCAGCTCTATCGAGCTCATGTTTATAATTTAAGTTCAACATTCACACACACACACAGTTTGAGAACATGTATTAAGTGCTTTGATTAGGATTTTATAGTTTATCTACATAAAAGTCACATGCTATAACACTAGGAGACAAGGAAAACGATGGATATAGTTTGGTAGTACCATTAAAATAATAATTGGGATGTTGCAATACTGGAGAATTAAGACGTACATTAGAAGTGCATACTTTGAACATAGTTCAAATGTTTTAAACATGATTTTTTAGTTTCTTTTTATTATTAAATAGCAGCTGAAAAGTGGTCGCATTTGCCATAGTCCCAGTGAAACACATGTTGATCCTTGTAATGCAGACAGGGTGATATGGAAGCCTTTTACCTGAGGTATTGTTATTATCTGCTGGCAATTCTTTCAGGGAAAAGCTGTGAAACCAAATCATTGGTTTTATTATAGAAACTTGATTCGGCTTTGTTCTATCAAGGGTTTTTATGAAAACAAGCTAATACCAACTCACAGGTAACTTTGAGGTAGATAAAACATGGGTATCAATTATTTTATCCGGTTTAATCAGCGTTTTCAGAGTGCCAACCTTTTGGCAGTGCACGCACACTCGGCCTGGAGTTTAGTAAAAGAGACCTGGAAATGCATTATCACTTCAGGAAAATGGATCTGAAGTCAAGATGGAAGAATCTGCCTGAGTGCATCACGAGTGCTTTGGCCCAGTTTTTCAGGAAATGTCACAGAAAAGTCAAAAATCATGTCTCCTCGTTTGTCTGGGAATTTGGAGAGTGGAAGACCCTCTCCCACGATGCGCTTCTTGGTGCCTGGTTTGACCACATCTCTGGAGGTGACAGTGATGGTCCGACCATCCAGTGTAGGGGCATTGACTGTACAGCCGCACAAAGCCTGGAAGAAAAAGTTGTTTTAGGTTAATTAAATTTAATAACAAGATAACCAATCATTTACCAAATTAATTACTTCTTTTAGGGTGATTTTAGCAGGGTAGATTATGTCAGAACCATCTCTTGTGAACACTGGATGCGGCCGATCTTTGACCACAAACACAATATCTGCAGGAATGTTGGTGGGGGTTTCATCTCCTTCTCGTGGGAAAGTGATTTTTGTCCCTTCTTTCCAGCCCCGTTTGATGTCCACAGTCAAAATCTTGTCCTCGTTCCGCACCGTGCAGCCATCGGGGTTCAGTCTCTTTCTGGAAATTTTCATTTTTTTGGAGCAGCCCGAGTACACTTCCTCTAGGCTTACATTCAGCTCGTGCACAACTGGAGGATCTTTCTTTCTCTCCGGTGCTCTTCGGTGACCTCCAGGTTGCGGTTTGAATGATCTATGAAAACCACCCATGCCCCCCGGCCCCATCCCAAAAGCTGAAAATGGGTCATGAATATCCATATTTTCCTCGCCATTTTGTGCAAAAAATTGATCAAATGGACTCTGACCACCAAAGAATTCTGCAAACATCGCATGAGGATCTCCGTGGAAGGTGTAGTTGTAGCTTGGACCACACTGTGCACCACCTCCAGGTCTAGCATTACCCTTTAACCCTGCAAAGAGAAGCAATTGTGCATTAAGTCACATTTGAAGAGTAAATGTTCATGAGTAATTCCGATCAATTAAATAATAATAGTAGTTTTTGTGCATCTAAATTGAAAACCACTGCACCAACCATAGAATGAACATGTACAAATGTTTTGATTCTTCTTTTAGAATTTTACCCATATTTTCTATGGGGCTGTCAAATAGAAATTGCTTACATCCCCAGGTAAAAAGGCTCATAAAGGAAGTCTGAAGGTTCCTTTCCTTACTGTTCCTTTACTTCATTGCCCAATTCATATCCTCTTTGTCACCGGCTTCTGGGTCATTGATATGGAAAATCCATGACACATTTATGATATTTGGATGAAGGGTCAGAAGATCCAGATGATTCTCTTGCCATTTCTATTGTGCACACACATCTGCATCGTCTGTGCTCAAATCATGTAAATAATAGTTCGAAAACATGTAACTCACCGAAAGTAAACTTAAATTTGATTAGGTTCATTATTTAAATAGTTGTCAACTAAATTAGCAATAGATTAATCATTTTTTAATCTTATACTTGCCGAGAAGAGGTTTTATAACTCAGATAATTGGAAAGATTGCAAAATTAAATGAAAATGTTTAAAACAGTATTTTTAGTAGGGCCTGATGTGGGTCAAGTCATCTCCATGTTCTCCAGGGGAATCACGTGAGCTTAATTTTAGTCAAATCAAATGTATAAAATCCACATTCACTGAGCTATCTGGATCAAAACAACAAATCGGTAAAGGAAAAATAATTATTATCCCACTAATACATTTTCAGAATAATAAGTTCATTACAGGCCTAAACAAAATCCATCCAACTAGTTCTCTAAAAACAGTTTTTACATGCACATCTTTTTGGCTTCTAGCCGTTTCAATCAGCATTTTTCAGACAGGAAGTCAAAAGATAAGACCCTTTCTTGGCCAATCAGCTCTCAGACTAATAACCCACAGGGCTCTTTTCTTACAAATATGCAAGTTATACAATGATTTATAAGAAGAAGACAGCAGGTTATAGAATAATATATTGACAACATTTATGCTACATATGTTGCTGGGATAGACAAAATGTATTATTTACATGTGAGGGAACGTTCCCAGCTTTAAATATGACCAATACACACAAAAAATACATTTTTGACAGCTGCAGGAGATAAAGACAATAAGGACACGATACCTTCTTCTCCATATCGGTCATAGATTTCCTTTTTCTTCGCATCACTGAGAACATCGTAAGCTTCAGCAATCTCTTTGAATTTGTCCTCTGCTCCTGGAGCCTTGTTTTTGTCCGGATGAAAGCGCAAAGCCTGTTTTCTGTACGCCTTTTTGATCTCATCTTCGGTAGCACCTTTGGCTATGCCCAACACTCTGTAGTAATCCTTACCCATCACAACACGATCGTTCTGTCTATTGAAATGACTTCATACAGTAGCCCCGATGATGCACAGTGACGAGTGGCAAACATCGATTAGGATCAGCATGTCCTCCGACCCCCGCTCCGCCGCAGCTGTCAAACCGACTCTAGTGCAGTCTATGGTGGTACTACAGCCATTGCAGCAAGACCGCGGGATGGCTGCTGTCAACAAGGCTTTCGACAGTCCGGAGATGGCCTTGTCTTCAAACTCTTCTCGTACAAATATCACGACGGGGTGACCGCATGGCAGCAAAATGTGGCTAAACGCTGAGCTGTACAACCACGCCGAAATAGAAACTTCTGGAAGAAAAATCTGCAGCCGATGATGTGTGTCATCTCTCAGGCCCCAAGAGAAGAACTCCCAACTACTTCCGGTTAGGTTCTGCTTCTTCTTCTGTGGTTTTATGGCGCTTGGCAATAATACAATGCGCATTACCGCCACCTTCTGGACGCTGCGTTTCCCACACTGTACGGTGCTCTCCAAAGCGTGAAGTAATCGTTTGACATATTATTTTCCTTCTAAATTATTATGATATGTACTCGTATAAGTGTTTATTCCATCACCAGAAGCTTCTTCCGTCTCAGAGGATCGAAGTTTTCCAATGACGATTATCTTTTTGGCCGCACTCGACTCGAAGCCGAAAGCACGAAGGTGAAAGTACTGGAATTACTTTTGTAAACAAGTCATTTTTTACACGTATGATAAATAATACGCTCTTCTGCTTGTGGAGTTTCTGCAGCTACCCTTTTCGCAGCATAAATTAGATCATTTAAGATTATCCTGGGCTACTCTCTGGATTGCACTCAATATTTATAACTTTTTTCCTCCATGAATACATTCCTCATTTTCATAGTCGTCACTTCAATCACACCTGTTCTACAAATTGAGAAGACGGCCTTTTCTCTAGCCCATCAATCTAGTTATCTGTAAATGCACTAATGATGTGGAGGTTTCTCTTCTAGTTAGTTATAGTTTCACTATTTGCTGTTAAACCACATTGGAACAGTCATTGGAACAGCACTCCATGTGCTGGTCCAATGGCCAAATAACACTAATAACACGAATGATAATTTACAGCATATTTTCTTGGAAATAACTGTTTTGTTTGTTCCAGAGATAACTGTAGTAACTGCGTTATTATTATATTACCCGTCATTGGTCAACAATCCTCTAATCTCTTTGGATAGATTTCCTGAATCGTCATGATTAGGCAAGCCTTAGGTTGAGTGTAAAACATGTGTTTGTGTTTATCTATTACAACAAAGCAACATCCAAAGCAAAACTCAAACAAACTGGAATGCCAGCCCAGATATCACTGTTCAGTGAGCTGGACTCCTCCTCCTGGATATTATTAGACCATAGTTACAGTTGACCATGTGCAAACATGAATTGAATGTTTGTGACGACAGCCCCATCTGAAGTTGTCACAATCAGCACTTTCCTCACTCTCTCACACACTTGCACAGTCTTTGAGGTTTTTAGTAGATTATGCTGTATGTTGATTCTCTGAGCACGTTATAAAGACATGTCTTTGTGCTGGAGGTCACAGCAATAGCAGACACAGGTGGTTGGGGGTCCTGCGAAGTGTTGGCATGTCAAGGTCTTTCATCCCATGGATCAGGACGTTAATGGGCAGTCAGCGTGTGTGCCATGCATACACAAGAGCACACAAGAGCTTTGTCTTAAAGAGCACAGAGTAGGGGCGTATGTAGTTTCTCAAGGTTACTGAGCTCGTGCAGAGCAAATCAGGAGATTTATATTTAGCCTTGCAAATGGTGCTGTATGGATTATGTCTTGGGGTTCTCCGGTTTCGTCTTCAGTGCGTTTTGCTGCATGTAGGGAAGCTATGGACCGTGCATAAGCTTCCATTCAGGTAAGAAGCATATTCACAACTCTCTCTAGTAACTTTTGCACATACACTACAGATACTAACCAATATGGTGCTGACATTTTGTTTGTCCTCTTCTGCAGGAGTGAGGAGGTCTATTTAAGGAATCCAGGAGTCTCTCTCAAATTGGCCATTGGAGTTGTGGTTGAACTTGTACATACTGCAAAGGACATCTCTCACAGCAAGAACCATTCTTTTTCCATCAAGGACTTCAGCATTTGGGATTAAAAATGGATGTACTAGCCCTAGAGGCCAAAAATGTAGGTACAGGTGATTCTGATAAGAAGTCTGCACCAAGACCCAAACCAAAAACTCCCAAAAAGGCCAAACGGATTGTGTACTTTGAAGTTGAGATCTTGGACGCTAAGACCAAGGAGAAACTTCTGCTACTGGACAAGGTGAGTGTCAGATTACTGTTATCTTTAATAGTGACCAGTAGCTGAATATGCGGCACAAATGTCTTCTGTTGTACACGGTATAATTATGGACACATCTAAAAATATCAATCTCTACATGTTCTCGTCCTGCACTACTTCCATGCCATGAAAAAGCATCTAAATGTAATCTGAGCAGGAGCACTTCACGTTGCTGTCATACTGTCGGAGCAGATTTATTTATGAATTACCAAACAGAGCTGATATTTTGTAGATAGTGATCTTCTACGAGCAGCCTTCCCATGTGCAGCCATTATCACTTCTGTTTAGAATTGGCTGAATGGCTGTTAGGAAGTGAGAAATCCTTCTGAATTTGTCAGCCATGTTCTGTTCCAGGCTTAGAACATGTCACAGCTATCCCGCCTCTAAATAATACCTCTCAATGTATGTCAAACGCCGGCTACTGTGTAAATGAAACAAGGAGAAAAACAAAAGCACAACACTATAATAGCAGACATGCCCAGTGATTGATATACTAAAAAGAGACATGGTGCAGGGAAAAAACCTGAAAATGGTTTAGAGCTCTTGCAAAATCCAGAGAAAAGTAACATTCATTCCTCACATTAATTATTTTGTGGGGAATAAAAATACTTCAAATCCTAATAATTGATTCATCAACTATTGCAGATATATTGAGACATTGTGATACATCTAATAATGGCCTTAAAAGTCACTGGTATAACATTTGGAATTGAATTTTTATCATTTTTAAATCCATAATAACAGAATGAGTTGGTGCAACTTTTATCTAAACCTAATTAAGTGAGTTTTTTGTTTGTTTTTAGGTGGAACCAACAGCCACTATTTTGGATATCAAAGCTTTGTTTCAAAAATCAAGTAAGAATACGCTCAGAAACATAATTGTTCAAAATCAATGTGATTTCCTAAAATATGAAAATCCTCTGAACACAGATCCAAAGTGGTACCCAGCAAGACAGTCCCTTCGACTGGATCCAAGTACGTTGAAATGTTATTATTTCATTCATAACAAATGAGGTTACAATGATATTTATTGATTCCATTATCCATATGTGGCACCTCTGGCTCACACTGCTTTTTCCTCCTCAGAGGGGAAGTGTCTTCGAGATGAAGATATTCTGCAGACACTTCCTGTGGGAACCACGGCCAGCTTTTACTTCAGTGATCTGGGACCTCAGCTCACATGGGGCACTGTGAGTCTTCTTATGTCATTATATGAACTGTGATAATAATTATGTAATTATGAGCAAAAAAATGATACTGGCTAGAACAATAGTGTTGATGTTACCTCATCAAATTATCCGTTGGGCTATTTTGATTTGACATAAATGGACACTGATCGTGTCTCACATAAACCATAAACCTGCCCCTAGAGGGAGATTATGTCTTTTGATGTGGTCCGTGTTGCTCTCGCTCACTGCTGCCCTGCGTATCCTTTGCCCTGGGACACATAATCTTGTGGCCCAATTTTTGGTGGGTGTTTATCCTATTGAACACCTCCTTACTCGCCCTATGCCAGGACCTCCAGGCTGCTGCTGCCCCTTGTCCCAGTGTAAAGCTCTGACTGTGAGCTCACCAGCCTCTGTTCTGACTGAGGCGCTGATTCAGAGATCACTTTCACCCGCAGCTGCTGCACTTGATCATATCATTCATGAAATTTGCGATTACATGCCCGTGTTTAGTCTCTTTTTATAGTGCGTAATGTCTCGCACAGTACAGTACAGTTGGGTGTTTTAAGCCATGTGGGTTGTTGGCAGACAGTTAGACTTTGTACCTGTAAACTTTACTGTGAATGATGTCCTTTCTGTAGGTGTTTCTGACAGAGTGTGCAGGCCCACTCATCATCTATCTCATGTTCTACTTCCGCCTCCCCTTCATATATTCACCCAAATATGACTTCACCAGCAGCAAGCACTGGGTCGTACAGTGAGTGATTAGATTCTATATTTTTTTCCTCAATGTTCTTTGACAGAATCATTGGCTTTTTACCTGATGCAGAGTTTTTTTCTCTTGTTTTTATCTTGAATGTGTGATGCCCTAGTTTGGCCTGTATGTGTCACTCTTTCCACTACATCAAGCGCATTCTGGAGACGCTCTTTGTCCATCGCATCTCACACGGGACCATGCCACTCAGAAACATATTCAAAGTAGGTTGCATTCCTATATTTTGCATTCTAGCTTTTTGTTTTATTGTTAAGTTTCAAAATGTTTCTCAGAACTGTGGTTATTACTGGTGCTCTGCGGCGTGGATGGCTTATTACATTAACCATCCACTCTACACTCCGCCCTGTAAGTATCATCTTCAAGCTCATGGCAGTTGTATTTATTCATTTCCACTTTCCACTTTCTTTTGGTACTTAGATTATGGTCAGCAACAAGTGAATACAGCTCTTTATGTTTTCCTGGTAAGAAAAACAATGTGTGTGTTTGTCTGTAATTCAAATTAAAAGGTCTACTAATACGTGCCATAGACATATTACAGGCATAGTGACATATGACTTTGTTTTGTTATAGTTTTGATTTACAATCCATTTTCAAAAATATTTTTACATATTATATTTGGTTTTTACAAGCTATGAGCGAATTCTCAACATTATAACTCACTCTGTCTACTTGTGTTCTTCTACAGTTTTGTCAATTGGGGAACTTTTCGATCCACTTAGCTCTAAGAAACCTTAAATGTCAAGGTAAATCATTGTTTCCCTGTGTGACGTTCAATGTTCACCATTTAATACTGCTGAAAAGTGAATTTATTTATTGTTTCACAGGGTCAAAGATTAAGAAAATTCCTCACCCGACAAAAAACCCTTTCACTTGGATTTTTGCCCTAGTCTCCTGTCCAAACTACACTTATGAGGTAATCAGATTCATTATATTTGCATAAATATATCTCTGTATAAAAGCTGATGGTGAGAGTGTGCCATAAATGTTCTCTCTGCTTATGCAGAGCATTTGTTTGTTGAACCTCTTGCTCTACTGCCACCTGCTGGGGACCATCTGCACTCGTTAATTCATGTGTGTTTTGCGTATAAACTTGTTGTGTGCAGCTGGGTGCTTGGATTGGCTTCACGGTGATGACCCAGTGTGTGCCAGTGGCTTTCTTCACTGCGGTGGCGTTCATCCAGATGACCGTGTGGGCCAAAGGCAAACACAGGGGCTACTTAAAGGAGTTCAGAGATTACCCCACTCTGCGCTCCTCCATCCTGCCCTTCATCTTGTAGAGCCAAAGGAGAGAAACAAGGGCCTAGGGCCTCTTTATGTCGAGCAGAGATTGACCATAAACCACTTAGAGATGTGCCAAATGGGAACGCAACTGTGATTGTGGTCTTCAATGAGAGTTTTAGCAAAGTCTTAATATATGTTTTAGCGGTGCATATCTCTTTGTACGTGTCCTGTGAACATTAACAGACCTAATAGTATTCAACCTTTACAAATTATTTATTTTGGCTACCTCACATGTTTTTATTATCCCATGTGACAAATTATTTAATACAGAACTTTATAGAACGTTTGAGCCGTTATTATTATAGATCCATGGTTTTAGCATCCCACGACAAGAGGGGTACACTGTTCTCTTGGAGGAAAAGAAACCCCGTCAGTGCAGTGGGTCACTGCAGTGCAGCGACCAGGAAACCTGTCACTCGGGGAGAATGTTGGCTCCAGAATGACATACTCAGAGGATGACCTTGAACTGGATGTATAAATGATCCTTGTAATTCTCACAAAACTAAACGTCACTGGAATCTGGCGTCTAGTCTGTATTTTCATGATCTCTACTTCTGCAGTAACAGATGATATGCTTTTATAACATTTTATTCACAATGCATAAAGATCTTTTAATTAGAGTTGTAAAAGCTGGAACCTGAAATGCAATATTGAAATGGTGAACAGCCTGGAGCTGATGTGAGGCCCAGTGAATGATGATCAAAATGACCTTCACTCTGGTCGTCAAATTAGTCCTGGAGTTTAAATGTAGCAACATTATCACACTTTCCAGCCTTTCTTCGCCTGCATTTGTGGATTCTATCCTTATGATTTCAAAAGGGCTTTAACCAAGTATTTTCCTCTGCTTGGTCATAATCATTACTCATACAAAAGAGGCAATGTGTTTACATAAATATTTTTTCAACCTGTACGTTTGTTTGGGAGTACATACTGTTTTAAGTGTCAAATAAAATACAATAATTTATCAGAGGCATGAAATTTATTTGACTGGTTCATGTTACAAATAAAAATGAACATTACACTGAAACACACAAACTGTACAAAGTGGAATGTAATATTTAAAGTAGATTAGATAGACCACAAAAGACACTATACAAATCTGTATTGCATTTGATCAACACGTCTACCCAGTGTTCAGAGAACTGAGCAGACTGATTCATTTCAAAACAATAAATTACAGTTGCATTCCAATGTTTAATTATATCTCTCACTTTCTGAGAGACAATATGAAAGAATATATTTCCTGGTAACTTAAATTGATGTCACCCAAAATTAAACTTTGTTAAGACTATAGTTCTTTGCAATGAGAACAAGGATTTACAAATTGCCTTGCCAGCAGGTAGCAGAATAAGCATTGATTATATCTGGGCGGGTGAGAAACTATCCACCATCATACTACAGGTGGCAGAAGTGACACAGCGGCCAACACTATGGACATGCTGTATGTTCAGAGTGACTTTAGCTCTTCTTAAAGGAGACGACCAGAATACTACTTTTCTGGTTTGGGGTGAAAAGTACCATGACAATCTGATTATACAGATATATCCACACACTGACAAACAATGAACTTTATGGTGGACCCTGACCTGAAGGCAGTCTGAATATTTCAGCCCTACAGTCCACTACGTGCAAAAGTCTATCTGTCTTTGGCTGAGAGATCCACATTTTATTCTTAAAGAATAAAACAGTTTGACTGTAGCAGTCCATTCTTTAAGCAATGTACTCACAGCCACATGACAGAAATGAAAACAATGAAAAGCAAAGGCCATAATGAGAGGTAGGATGACGGTCCCGTTATGATCATTCTCACAGTGGAAGATCTCTACACTTTCGGTCATGTGCTGCATATGAAGGAGAGTAGAGCTACTGCATGCACATGAGCGATGCAGCATTAGTCTGTATGGAAAGTGCTAAAGGGAATCAAAGATCATCAAACTCCAGAAAGTGTGTCCTCTGTAGCACCTTGACGTGGCGCTCGTAGATTTTGAGAGCAGGACCCAGACGGATGGATAAACCAGTCAATACATCGCTGCGCTGCATCAGGAGGAGGGATTTGCCATCAATTTCCTGTATGTGGGACAGATATTTTGCTTAGTAAGCATAACTTTGAGTGCCTCTGTCAAAGTCCTACTGTTTCAAATAGGTTCTTTACGCAATTTATTTATGCATGTAAAACATTTTCATATCTTTCCAATAAAAGATAAATATAATATATGAATAGATTTTGAAAAAGGCCATAAGCAATTACAGTCATAGCTTGGTGATATATTGTGAAGGCGTATCGCCCCCTTGTGGAGGCACACTGACCTGCGATCGAAAGGCCATGGCCTGCTCTGGGAAGCCTGCATCAGAGAAGTAACTGGCCACATCAGCCACAGTCCACTGCAACAGATTTGGGTTCATCGTCTCCTTCTTCACTGAACTGTGCACGGTGAAAACCAGCCAGTATTATACAACACATTTATTTTATATATAATAATACGTTTTTTCTGATACTTACATATCATCATTGCTTCCCCCGTTTACATGACTTTCCACTGGCACCGGAGTGCCGGTATCCTTTTTCTTGGCAAATTGTGTACCTGAGACCACAAATATAGCAAAATAAGAGGTTGGCTAGTTATAAAACATTATACAATGTGTACTCTTCTAGGCCAAAGAGGAAAAAAAACAATCTGGGCAGTTTGTATTTCCTTCTGCACAGTCATTTTATATTACGGGAATATATTTTATCCCAATTGCAATATTATGGCGTTTGATTTATTTTTTCTATTTCACTTATTTAGAAACTTTGACATTTTAACTGGTTCTAAGTCAGTAGTGTCAAATTCTAACCCATGAAACAATTGTTTGTGGCCCCTGACTACTATTAACTGGCAGCTTTGATGCAAGATGTTTTATGCTCAATTTAACAGAACTTAAAACAAAAAAGAATATCCAAACAGTTGCCTAAACCTCCATAATATAAAACAAAACACAGATCCAAATAATGAGCTTAGAAATAAATCTCAAAGTGTTTACTCACGTTTTAAGCATAGACAACAATGCGCTGGACACCTAAAACTGTGTCCCATTGTAAATATTGCTAATATCAATCAATAAAGTTTATCTTATCATAGTACATGTAAACATCATACATGTAAAGAGTACAGACACATGAGTGGAGTGACAGTTAATGAGGCTGAAATAAACCAAGGATGTGGTGAATCCTATAATAATATATTGAAGATAGTAAACAATGAATCTTTTCTCTCAGAGTTGCACAAGTGTTGACTGATGAACAAATATACTTAAGAGTATAGGAGTAAAGAGTGAGTACAACCACAGGGTTGAAAGACAGGCTGGAGAAGCATTTAAAACATGCCACACAAGCAGCAGGCCTGAGGGTGACAGCACAGAAAAGAAATCCTTAACCGCCACTGTCTGCCTCAAAAATATTATCCTGTTAGAGGGTTCACATGAAATCATTATCAAATGAAATGGATGTCAAAAAAACTCGTAATGAGATATTACTTTGAGTAATATCAATATTAGTTTGAGTAATATATACTATATAATATTACAAAAGTTAAAGACAAACCAATAGTTCTTGTTTAGTCTGAAATGGTCGCTGGTTTGGAATTATGTGATGCATGTACAGAGCAGTCAGGGCCAAGAAAAGGGAGCGTCGTAGAGCTGAGCGCAAATGGCGCAAGTTCAGGGCTGACGCTCATCATAAAATGTATAAAGTAAAATTACATGACGAAAATCAAACCCTACGCTCAAGTGAGAGTTTTTTTCTCTCAGCTTGGAAAGACAGCTTGAAAACTCTAACAATAACTTCCGTGTCCTGTTTGAAACAGTGAACAATTTAATCAATCCTCCAGCTCATCTGCCATTAGAATTAACACAACATTGAAATGCAATGAGTTCACAATATTTTTCAAAGAAAAATTTCTAGGTATCAAAAATCAATTCAGTCCACATTACAGTGAGTCCAGAGTCCTTTTCACCTTTAGTGAAAACATGATCCATGATATTATTGTCATGCAGCGTTGACTTTGTTCCTGCTAAATTTGTAGTGAGTTACTATCTATCACCAGAATTGCATTCTCATCACTCAGTCCTGAACATTCCCAAAGAGCCTTAAAACTGCTGTCATCAAGCCCGTCCTTAAAAAAAGTATCCTTGATGCCACAGTATTAGATAATTATCGGCCCATCTCGTATCTTACTTTTCCAAGTAAGGTTTTGGAAAAAGCAACTGATGAGAACTCATTTGATATGTTCCAATCAGGTTTTAGACCAAACCATAGCACAGAAACTGCCTAATTAAAGTTGTAAACGACATACATCTGAACACTAATGTAAAGTCTCAGTGCTAGTTTTATTAGATTAAGTGCAGAATTTGATACAGTGGATCATGAAATCCTTTTACAGAGACTGGAGAACTGGGTGGGGTTCTCTGACATGGCTCTAGAGTGGTGTAGATCCTATTTAAAAGGACAGAATGTATTATGTTGAGATTGGAAATTGTGTTTCACACCAAATCGCCTTGACTTGTGGAGTACCACAGGGGTCAATACTAGGACCTCTGTTATTTAATCTTTACATGTTACCACTTGGCCAGTTAATTCACAGTGAAAGTGCTTTCTACCACAATTATGCCGATGATGCGTCTCACTGACTTCAGGAGAATATGGACCATTAGATTAACTCTGCATCCACACACCTGTTTAACCTGTCGCTAAGGAACTGTACCGTGCCGAACTGCTTTAAAGAGTCGACCATTATCCGAGTTCCTAAGAAAACTCCGGTGACATGCCTGAATGACTATCGTCCTGTGGCTCTCACATCTATTCTTATGAAGACTTTTGAGCGGCTTGTGCTGGACTTCATTAAGAGCCAGATCCCTGTGAGTGTTGACCCGCTCCAGTTTGCTTACAGACAGAACAGGAGCGTTGAGGATCCGATCTCCTTTGCTCTGAACTCTGTCTACAGTCACTTGGACAGAAGTTAATCTGTCGCGAGAATGCTTTTCATCGATTATAGCTCTGCTTTTAACTGCCTTGTCCCAGGTAAACTGATTGAAAAGCTCATGTCTCTCGGTTTAAGTGTTGCCATGTGTAAATGGATTTTTAGCTTTTTAACTGACAGATCTCAGAGAGTGAAAATCAATGACTGTTTTTCTGATGTTGTTTCTGTGAGCACTGGTTCTCCTCAGGGATGTATTTGAGTCCTTTGCTTTTTACTTTGTATACCCATAATTGTGTGTCCTCCTCTGACTCAAACTTGATCATCAAATATGCTGATGACACCACCATCATCGGTCTCATCAGTAACAATGATGAATCCTCTTTTAGAGCAGAGATACAAAATATAGTTCAGTGGAGTAAAACTAACAACCTCCAGTTGAACGCATCGAAAACTTGTGAACTGGTCTACGACTTCAGTCGCAATAGTTCTCATTTGCCTGTCGTAATCGACAACTCCCAGGTGCAGATCATAGAGGAGTGCAAGTTTCTGGGTCTAACTCTGTCTAACGACCTGAAATGGGTTAAAAACACTGACCGAGTCGTTAAGAAAGCTCGTCAGCGTCTCTACTTTCTGCGAAAACTTAAGAGAATTTACCTCTAACTCTAAGATGCTGCTTAACTTTTATTGCTGCACCATTGAGAGTTTGCTTGTTGGTTCTGTGTCTGTGTGGTTTGGAAACATCACAGATAAAGAAAAGAGCGCTTTAAACAAGGTGCTCCGCTCTGCAAAGAGGACCGTGGGCTGTGAGCTTCCTGTTCTGGAGGTTCTTTATAAATCCAGACTTTTAAACAAAGCTCTTAGGATTGTCAATGACTCTTCTGGCCACCCTGGGAAAGCCATGTTCTGATAAAACTGAAACAATTGTCTTTGGACCACAGAAATTGTCACTGGTTACCTGCAGTACCCCTCCCTGAAACCTGATTTTTTTGTTTCCAGAAATCAAAGGTATTGTGTCTAAACCTGACTTTGAAAGACTTATCTTTTGTCTCAGGTAGGTTAGACTACTGCAATGGCCTGCTCACAGGTCTGTCCAAACAAGCGGCAAAACAGCTGTAGTACATTCAAAATGCTGCGCCTCCGGTCCTGACCAGAACCAGGAAGTACGACCACATAAGTCCAGTGCTCAGGTCTCTGCACTGGCTTCCTGTGGCTCAGAGAATTGACTTTAAAAAAGCTCTGCTTGTGTACAAGTCTCTCCATGGCCTCGCTCCAAAGTATATCTGAGACATGTTAGTGCCAAATGAACCAACTCAGACTCTGAGGAGCACAGGGACTGGCCTCCTGCTGGTGCCTGGGGTCAGAACTAAACATGGGGAGGCAGCATTTCAAATGTATGTGGCCAGAATTTGGAACAGTCTCCTTGAGCTTGTGACACAGGCCTTGTCCCTGGCAATTTTTACGTCCAGGCTGAAAAAGGTCTTGAATTGAATTTGAATGCATAGACCATTTGGATATTACACATTTTTAGAACTGCCTTCATGTTAACTGGTCGACTGATTTGGGTTAGGATTACATGCCCAGAAAACAACAACAACAACACACACCAGTGGAAAACATAATCAATAAAAAAAACTGGCCAATTTAGTTATATTTGCATGCCACTGCAATAGACTATCACAGCTTGCTTGATTTGTTTTATAATAATTGAAAATACTTAAGAATGGAGTGCAGAACAAATAAAACCTCACCATTTTCAGTAAGCAGAGGGAGTGTCATGGGCCGTCCGTTGGATACATTTCTTGGCTCTTCTTGATGCTGAAACACAAACACACAAATAAAACATGCCGTCCAGCCGAGATCAAAGCCACATGGAGCATCCAGAGCTGAGGCTGAGGCGTACCGGCCGCGCAGCATAGTCTGGCACACACTGGTCCAGTGTTACGGGGCCCTCCACCGCCTTGCAGCTCTCTTCTCTCTTCACTTTCAAAGCGCTGTTCACTACAGATGCCGTCACGGGTTTTGTGATCCCCGCTGCAAAACAGAAAACCACCCATTCCATTAGGCATCGCAGACCCCAAGAGCTTTCAGTAATGAGTTTGTATTATTGCCATGATGTTATTAACTGTGCCCCATAATATAGGTATTATGTCCATTTGGCACGGGTATATTGAGTATAATTGATTAGTTGGCAGATTATTCTTTCATTTAAACAAGGCATTGTTTAGATCCCGAAAGATCAGTGAATGTGGTTTTATTTATACAATTTGACAAAACAAAGCTCAAGTAATACCCCTGAGATCTTCATAGAGATGACTTGAAAAAAGTCATCTCTATGAAGGTGACGCTTTCAATAATTGATTAGTTGTGCTTAATCAATGAACTTGTTACAGCCCTATTAGATTAGTTCTGTACTTGACTAAAGACCTGCCCGTAAACTAAAGGGGCATAAACACATCTCCCAGATCTGAGCATGTACCAGACTGCATTCAAACGGCTTCAACTGCACTATTTATACTGAAAAATAAGATGGAATTGATGGAATTGCCAACTCACTCCATAACATCCTCACTTTCTGCTGATGATGAGAGCTCCAGGCTGCCACCAAATGTATTTCCCTCTATTTCTTGCAGCTGTGCAAGTATTATTTTCAAGAACTGGTTCATTTGCAACTAACAAACAGTTTTTATAAAGGAACAGATAATCATCAATTATATCTACATTTTATTTGTACATCAAGTATTTTACCACACACGAGGTGAGCACGTACAAATTATAATTGTTTGGTTCTAACACCAGTTTTCACATTTGGCTTCTGTCACATTTTCAGATCAGCTTTTTCAGATAGACAAGTGGAAAAAGAGAAAACTACCACCATTCAACCAATCAGCTCTAAGCCAAAATCATGACAGTTCTCTTTATTGCAAGAAGAAAAATATATTATATTTTCTAATAATGCAAACGGCATGTTCTGGTGCATTTTGTCATTTTGCTTTTATGAGACTCGTTCTGTTGGAACAAACAAAATGTGACATGATAGCCACATGCTTTGTTAACATGTTTATTGGTTTTCAAACTGATTATCCAATCAAAAAAGAATAATTAGCATTAAAAGGAGTCTCTCAGTTGGGTTGCCAGTTTATTTGGAAAAATCCAGCTGATTGGTCTCCACCAAAATTTAAGTAGGTGGTCTTTATCAGTAATCAGAGCTGGTGTGTGTATGCACTTGTTTCTGATAAGCCTGCAGATAATGCACCAGTTGGCAACAAAGGTTTGGATTGCAATTGTAATCCCGTTATTAAACCAGAACTAAAAACGACATATTGCTCCTTTACGTTCATGGGATTTCACTTAAGCTAAACAAAGGTTGTCAGTCAGAATTACTTGTACCGGTAAATGTATCAATTTAAGGAATATTTCAGAAGAGTCTCAAGCTAATAACTTGTGTTCATCAAGGATCCTACTAACCAAATGGCCTACTGTATTATACATAAATAAATAAATAAAAAAAGGATAATAAGCCTGGGCTTTTAACTACATCTAATGTGTAATTATGTACATGTCTTATATAAACCCTTAAATTGTATGTTTGGGCCTCTAAAATAATGCAGTCAGCTGCTACAGTGCCCTTGGAAGATAGTTAGTCTGAAGCCCTGTGTACATTTCCTTAAACTAAAACAGCGATGACTGATTAACCATTCTAGAAGTAGAGGATGGCCTGATACAAACATTTGTGGGTGAAGTGCAGCCTTTGCTTCCATATTCTAAACTAATGCACCACTCTAGTAGCGGAGGACAATGGGGATGGATGAAACTCCATCTCGTAGTGTGAATACCTTTGTCTTTGTGCATTCCTGGGTGCTGGCGCTCCACTGAACAGACAGTTGAATCATAAACCCAGTCATTGTGTGTGAGGGCCGTGGGGCTGGAGGGAGGCAAGGAGCTGGGCCTCACGCCATCCTTCTGCAAAGTGACCGCGTCCAAAGCAGAGCTGTGTCCCGGGACAGGCCGCGAGCCAGAGGGGGAGCACGGTGCGGACACGGCGCGCTCCAGGGGGCAGTGCACAGGGGTGGAGGAGACTGAGGCTACAGTAGAGAAGTGTCCATCCTGCCCATCGCGGCTCTCATCTGCCTCGTCCACATTACTGTCACTGTCCATCGCCATGGAAGCATCGGCCTATTGTGCACATTTGGACATCAGCAACATTTTCACACTGAAAAGGACTTAATTCTATAAAAATTATATGTTATTATTCACAATACCATAACATAATCCAGATACAATAAAAGAACAACACATACAAAACAGAGGAAAGTAGACCAACAGTTGTATTATATTATAGCCTACGATTGCATTTGACTACTCAAATAATGTGACGTAAGTAACCCTGTTGATAAACATTAAGATTCAAATTTATAATAATTGCCTTTAACAAACTATAGGATGTCAGTCTTCATTGTCCACTAATTGATTTATTATAATCAAATAGTTTGTTCTTTTGTCTATACAATATGGAAAATTGTGTCATTTTTCAGACTAAAAAGAGGACTCCTCTTTACTTCTGATGGAATCTGTGTTTAATGCTTCATTGGTACGCATGCCTACGTATTATCATGTTTATTTCAAAGCTGGTGGAGGACTAGGTTACAGTTGATTGTCTCTATGTCTGTATTAATTGTATGGTGAGCGTGTCACGTGAAAACGCGCTCACAGATGTCGCAGTTTGACCGCTGTGGTGGTAAATTACTGCCTGAATGCCTCCGCGGTGCGGATTCTCGCGCTTCTGTGCCTGGTCACTTCATGTCCCACCTAAAACTGTGGACGTGCTGGCCTGATGAACTAATTCTTTACACAAACGCTCGTTTCATTTGTTGGGATTTTGTCGACGGCTCAGTATGAGCGACTGCGTGTCCAAAGCAGCAGCAGCAGCAGCAGAGCACAAGAGCGCACTGAGCCCGCCCCGCGCTGAAGAGCCGCTTGTGTGGCTTTCTCCCATCGCACTGCATTTCACACAACTTTGACCAAAACGACACTGACACAATGAGCCCCAAACGGGGACTTGAATCGCAACAAACACAATCGACGCACAGGGCGCGTCTGCTTGATTGATAATGCGAGCATGGGGCGAGCGACCGAAAGGGACGATGGGAGGCGGCAGGGTTTTGCTCAAATTCTCTCCAAAGTGCGCATGGAGTTGGGGAACCGCGGAGAAGAGCTCGCCATTGTGTCTGAGCCCTGTTTTGCGGAGCGCTTCTCAGGCTGCGGGGCACATCACACGAAGCGTTTCTCTCGACCGTCAAAGCTCCACGGCCCGCGACCAACACCACCCCCACCCACCACACTTTGACTTTGCACGCTTTTACAGTAAAACATGCGAGTACTGCGCCTACTGCCACGGACAACGTTTGACCCTTGTACTCGAGCAAATCCAGATAGTCTAGCTCCAAGCACTGGCCTAAAGCACAATTCTACCGTCTTTCACGCAACACACATTTGATCTAAGCTTAACCCAAATCGGACAGGCGCATCCGGCTGCTGCTAACGCTGCTGCCCGATCACTTTGCGGTCGCTTGCTTTTAGTCCAACAAGCTCTTGTGTGTTGTATCACTCTGGAAATCGACAGATGGCATCATTAAACACTTCACCTATGCTTTAGATTCTTAGGTAAGTGATACTGTTGCTGTACAGAGGATGAAAGAGGCCACGACAACAGCCAAGACCGAGCGTCAGACGTGACCGGGCTTAACTGCGTCCGACAATGGAAGCAGGGGCTCGACTTTACGCTCTGCGACGGAAAACGCATATGGTTCAAAATATCAGTGAAACAATGGAGTAAAAACTTGTTCGGTTTGAAGCACAGTTCAGAATACACCAGCACTTGTGATTTTCAAGTGGTTTGACACAATAGGTGTGTGCTGAAGTCTTCATTAGCACAGTGCATCATGTGTTGTGACACAAGCCCTCTGCTGTCCTCCAACTCAATATTTCAACAACTCCCCCATGTCCCAGCTTTAGCGTCTCTATTCTGCATCCGCGGCGCCTCAGACTTTTTCTTCCTTTACCCACTCCCACGACAAGACGCGGCATGTCCGTGTGTATTTTTCCTAATAACGCCTTCAAAATAAACCAGATCATCAACATTAACACGCGCCCCATTTTATTTTGCCTCTACTTCCGGCGCGCTTCCGGGTTGAGTTGTGTTAACTAACGGAGCCCTCCTCCCTTCGCTCCAATGCTGACTTTGGGGCACGAAAAGCGCTTTCTACAGACAATAATGGTGGCGTATGTTTTGTGAAGGAGGGGTACGCCGCAACTTTACAATATCCACTCAATAAACCTGTAAAAGTCCTGCGGGAGCGGCTGAAACACACGCACGTACTCTGAACACGCACCTCAGTTTTTTTTTTTTTTTCGTTTCCACCTCGGCGCTCCGTCTGCGGCAGTGTGGAGTGCACTTGCAAAAACGCACCCTTTCAGACAAAACACGCTTTCCCCCAACACACACTTAAAGCCATTCTCTCCACCTGTTAGTGTTTATGGTGTGTTAGCGTAACCCCAGTGAGGTGAGGCTAGTAGCATCAGGCGGACATACCTCCAGATCCTCGTCATCTTGGTCAGCAGGACCAGCAGCACTGTCCCCGTTGCTCAAGTCTGAGTGACTGGCTTCCTCTGCCGCGCTCCTTCTCCCAGCCGTCGTTACTACATCGTCCTTTTTTCTGCTCCTACGCTGCACCTTGGCGGCGTTCCTGTACGAGATGGAGCCCTTGTAGTTAACTTTCAGCACGGTTTGCTCTTGAATCAGTTTTTCTAGTTCAGCACAGGTTCGGTCTGGTTCGGACCCATGTCGTCTCCGGACCATTCGACAAATCCTCTCCAAATCCGGGCGAGCTTTCCGCGACCGCAGTGAGTCGATTGTGTCCAGAATCCACTCACGGTACTTGGGCTCGGACATGCTGGCGTGCACGGTGGCTCTGTTCTCTACTTGCTGGCTCTTACTTCAGTGCGTCAGCCTTGTTCATGGCACACGGTGTTTTTCATGAGCCGCGGTCCGAGCCCAACACAAGCGGAAACCTTGCTGTACGCCAGCCCGGGCTGCGTGTGCGCTTAAGGTGGACCCGTAGAGTTGCAGGCAAAAGTTTCACTCGAAGGACGTTTTTTAAGGTGGTATGGCGGTCCTGTGCGGGAGCGAGCCGCGGAGGATGTCGCGCGCTCATCCCCATGTGCGCAGTAGAGGTTAGAGGCGACATGTTTTACTTAAAGGGGTAGAATAAGTCACCCTGATGTGCCCCTGCGCAAAACCTAACTTATACAAAAACAAACAGAAAGGCCTTCCTTAAATAGTCACTTGGTATAAGAAGCGCGCATACGGTTTCATGATTTATTGGCAGCCTATTGACAAAGGGACTGACTTTTTAACGCAGTTGTACGTGGCAAGTGAAATAAGTTTGTTTTTGACAGTAAAATAAAAGAAACGCATATACAAAGCAGACAAAGGAGGAGATTCAAATGCCATCCGTTTGTCTCGTTGAAATATCTCAAACGGCAGGCAGGGGGCAGGAGATAATCATGTGGAGAGGTTGAAGTACAGCAAGTAATTGATCCTGCTGTGTGACCAAGTGAACTCTGCATTATTTAACTAAACCTCTGCAACATTCTAACCCATACAAAGCTTTTTTTAAACTATTAATGTTACAATTTTATAGCTGATGTAGCGAAAAGATGACATAAGTAACAATAGCTCATATAATTGAGGCATTTTTAGTCTTTAACAAGTAAAACTTTATTGGAATGATACATTTTGCAAAATATTACTTTATATTTTTGACATACTCGTTGTGTTCTAAGGATATTGTCAAGTTCTCCAGAGGGTAAGATAGTTAAGACTGTCAAAGGCAAGGATATACAGTATTGTTTCCCAAATGGTACAATAGACTACACAATCACTGTACCCAGGTAAAGAGGAAAAGATTAATGTTGTGTTTTTGCTGATTTTTGTCCTTTTTCTGAAAATACAATTAGAAAATATAAACACAAAACATTTCAGATGTAAAAAGTGTTATGTTTTAATGAAGTGTGTGAAAACATGATTGAAGGCAAAAACAGGAGACAAGCACAGAGCAGCTGATAGTGTTATATCTGATGAAACTTACATACTAGTTTTCATTGACAAAATAACATTGTCTGGTGTGGATCAAGGCTCATTACCACCAACTGTGATCGATTCATTTGCCGGAACAAATCAAACATGTGCTCTTTGTCAAGCCAAATACTTTGTGTTTAGATTTAAAATAAGTTAAAACTGTGACATGTGCTTTACTATTTGCAAATGACCACACAAGTTGATGGTAGTCCACCGTTTTATGTAATGCTCTGACAAATCCAAGGTTGCACAGCTCTGCAAGTGCGTGCTGTGGAAACATCAATTTGCCGTGCCCAGAGAGAGTCCTGCTTGCAATTAGCTTGGTTGCTTAATTTAAGAAATAGGATTCAAACAGCACTAAAATCTGCAGACGATTTAAGACATTCAACATAAGTATCCCAGCGTTGACCTAGGTTACATCTAGAGACCAAAAAGTAAGATGTACCCCACCCAAATTAAATCATTTAGAATCAAAAACATTCTCAAAATTGTCATGTTACAAGACATTATGACTAGGAACAATGCACACCAAATAATTGACAAAAAGTATTATCATGAAATGGACAAAGTATAGCACCTATAGGGCCTATGAAGAGGAGAGGGACCAGAGCATTCTTCATCAAAACATTTCAGTCAACAAACCAGCCTCAGATTTGGTCTGCGATTGTCTTGCATCCACAAAAGAAATGGGGGAATTTTACATCAGTTTAAGTTGAACAAAAAAAAGATTAAGAACCTAACAATTTGGTTGGGTTGCAAATCTGAAGTTGTTAGAAGAGGATATTTACAAAAAGGAAAAATAATGCAAGCTTTGTGACAAATTATCAGCAAATTGTTGCCCTCTTTTGGGTAATGACCAAAGCCAAAACAATCTTAACATTTACAACGACCCATTTCATGTTACTGAGAACCCTCGGTACCTCGGTAGCACAATAAAGCAAAAATTATCTGCAATCTTTCCATCAGATGATATTGTACAAAAATAACACATACATTTTGTTGAAACGTTTGCTACCTTTCATGTATTAAAATTTTCCACACAGAAAACGGCTCCTTTTTTTGTTATTTTTTGCAAATTTGGCAGAATTTTTTAACACGTTTATCTTTATATATCTTAATTTAATTTCACAGCCATGAGCTGAAAAGATAGATGAATAATGTAATCTATCATATATATATATTTCAATATACATGTATAAATGTACTATGATAAATAAACAATTGTCAGGAGTGTGACCACTACATTAACGGCTGCAGAATCACAACCATTTAACTTAAAATGACCCACCCCTTGAGCACTAAACACACGAGTACATAGAGATCTGACATAAAAATGACTAAATTATCACCATTAGGATTTTAAAATGCTCTAATAAACTCCACTAAGTGACTGAATGCAGACCTCACCATCGCCTATAGGATTAAGACCTATTCAAAATGAACCGTGGTAGACCCTTACCATCACTGCTTCCACAGTAAGCATATCATCTACCCAAATATCATGCCACATCGAGCAGAAAAAGGCAGGCGCAAAACCTTGCTCAAACTGGTTCTAAAAGTATCCAAAACTGTACCAAATCACTCCATGTTTTTCCAACAAGGAGGCGGCATTGCGATAGGCACATCTGTTAGACTTGGTATTGCTTGGACAGTTTGAGGATGGAGAAAAGGGGGAAACCGGAGTGAAAATGCTGACAATCAATCACTTGTTTTTGTAAAGAGAAGAGCCCGCTTAAAAACTCAGCAGCATCGCAGATCCAGTACCTTAATACAAAAATCAAAGCCCCCAACCTGCGAAAAACTCAAAACATGTCATTACACCATCAGAGAGATACAAGCATTACTGAACATCCACAGCCCACTACATCGGTCTTCATCAAGCGCCCCTGCCACAAATACAAAGGGATAAATAAAATGAATAGGTAACAGTTGTGAAACAATTAGAAAAGGCAACACTGCTGGTTCTGTTGGATCTTTCTGCACTTAGCCCACCTTTCCACCAGGGGGGAGGGGTTTACATTGTTGTAGTCATTACAAATAAGCAAGTTAGCAGTCCACGCTAGCACTTCACACCCCGTTCTCTTTCTAAACCCCCGGGTCTTCGTAGCTCTCCACTGCTCGCGGTTCGGACCTAGAACTCGGCAAACTCCTTCGCACATTTTTCTGTGATGGAGACTCTGATTTCCTCTTCCTCGTAGTCGTCAAAGTTGCTTGTGTCGCCAGGGCCTTTGCACTTGGGGATAAAGGGAGCTTCCACCTAAAAATAAATGGTTATGGAAGAGGTCAGTGATTGAAAAGAACACAACTTGGTGGAAGTAATATTCTTAAATAAATATTTTAGATAATAGAGTTGAAAAAGGAGAAGGTAGGTAGGTAGATGTGCAAATACTTAAAACTTACTTTAACTTAAACAAAGGCTTCCTATAGAAAAAACTGCTACATTTAGGTACACAACATTGTATTTAGTCAAATACATTTAACATGCACATCGTAAATATCAGACACTCAATGTTTCTGGATCTGTTTGGACATTAGACAATAGCAGGTTCATACTGTAAAAGGTGGAGTATTCTCTCAATTAAAACAAATAATCACAGCTGTACTCACATGGAATGGTTAGATATAGTAACTAATATGTACTGTTGTGCATTTGTCAAACTTTGTGCCGCTTTTAGTATTGATCTAGTATTGTTTAATCCTAATGGAGGTGCTTTACTTGACCTCATTCAGTGTAACAGTGCAACATGACCAAGGGAATCTTCTCACCTTCCTCTGGTAGATGGCGATCCAGTCGGTAGTGGCAAACCACTTGTGGCCCTTGATATCATTGACTCCGTTCCTGAGGTTTCCAAAGCGCTTGGTCAGGTCCACCTGCAGCAAGTTTCTCAGCAGGTCTTTGAGGTCTGAGCTGAAGTGCGACGGGAAGCGAACCTACAACACAACAACACAATTTTAGCCTCTAAAGTGGACCCAAGACATTTACAACCTTTCCAGATATCAGCTGTACACATCACCACATAAACACTACTACATCTACTACTAGTACTACTACCACCATCGAGGTTTAAGGAGAGACTGATGTAGCCAAACATCATTTTACTCATTGTTTATGTAACATCCAATTAACTGAGTGCAGGAAACAGGGGCTGAACAGAGTTCTTTACCAAGTACTCTTTACAAACTAACACTTAGACTCACTGCAGTACCCACTCATATTCAACCCACAACAAATTGCTATGCAGTGTATGATACAACAAAATCGTCATTAAGTCAACCTCATTAAAATTTCAGCCACAGTTGCTCCCCTGTTGGATCAGACTGACAACTTTGGATTATAAGCCCCCAAGACACGTAAGGTTTAGCAGTTACATAAATACGAAAAAGAAACCACAGTGGTTTAGCCTCACCTTTCCTGATACAATCTTCTCATAGATCTGAATAGGCTGGTCCGCAAAGAAAGGAGGATAACCAGCTGCCATTTCATAAATAAGAACTCCCAAAGCCCACCAATCCACAGCTTTATTGTAACCCTAGAAAAAATAATAAACATTGAACACCATAAAGATGATTAAGAAGATATTGTGATTGTGATGAAGCCTTACTTTACTCAAGATAATCTCTGGGGCCAGATACTCAGGCGTTCCACAAAGTGTCCAGGTCCTGCCTTTCACTCTTTTGGCAAATCCAAAATCTGTTACCTTTGAAACAATGAGAAATTGCATTAGGAGTGTGCATTCTGAGCTAAAAGACGATTAATAAAAAAGCAGATATTTCTTACCTGGATATAACCTTGCTGGTCAATAAGCAAGTTTTCTGGCTTTAGATCTCGATAAATGAGATCCAGTGAGTGAAGGTATTCAAAGGTCAGTACAATCTGAGCTGCGTAGAAGCGGGCGTGTGGTTCACTGCAAAATATATTGCATATTTTAATTTATAAATATTTCTGCTGAAACAAAGTGTATTTAACATGAATTCCTCTTACCTGAATCTACCAATTCTCCGCAAGTGCGAGAACATTTCACCTCCAGGGACATACTCCATTATCATGTATAGATTACTGTTGTCCTGTGAAGAGGAGAGTTCATAATCAGTCTTGTTTACCCGTAATGAAGTGGCTAAAGCCTTCTACTACTATCTTTAGTGCACTTTCCCTTACAGAGAGTCACATTGGTACTCTTTTCTAGCAGAAAACCAGGTAAATAAAATAAAAAATCAGGGCACAATCGAACTTAGTCTTGATCTTAACTAGAACTCTCCACTAAAAATATTAGGACACTAGTATGCTGCCTGGTGAACGGGTTTAGAGTGTAGGATAGACCCATCTGTGTGTTCAGCAACATCCCATTGCAAGATCGATTTCAGAATTGTCTCCCTTCTCTCACCACCATTCACTTCATCAGCGACCAAAATGCAAAAATGACTGATAGCTACAAACAGCAGGTGGCTGCCAGACTAAACCTGCCAAACTGTGCAGGTTTAGTGGCATTAAGGGGACAGGACTCACCTCTCAGCTCTGAAAATACTGGCTGATCAGCTATGTGTTGAATAGCACCCACATCACCTTCTGTTTTATTTAAAGGGTGCCATTATGAATTATTCGATTTGTGGAAAAGTTCACGGTTCATAGGCAATAACAATCTATTTTAGCAGTGGAGCGCTAAATCTTAACTTGGGTGCTATTTTCAAGCATTCAAAAGTAAAAGCAGGCGAGCGAGATAAAGTGAATACAGATGCTAATGGGGAACATGGTTGGAACCACTTTCAAGGACTTTTGCTGTGCAAACACACACAAAGACACTGCTAATCATCGTTACAGATGCTTAAAAATGAGTTCAACGAAGAGAGAAAGAGGCAATAGCCGCGTTTCCACCGCAGGAGTTGCTGGTAAAAGGAGCGGGTTGGAACTTTTACAGGAACCTTCCTCTCCCTGTGTCCTCTCAATGTTCCTGTCTCCACTGCAGAGTAGGACTACTCAGCGACGTCATACGAGTTTCGTTTGCCGCATAAGCAAAACTCATTATGCCAAACCTGTTATTATTATAGATCCATGCGCCAAACCCATTTGTTTATTTTACGTTCGTGACCGCTCAGTTTGTTGTGGTCTTTGAGTCATTTTATAGACCTGCTTCAGTTTTTAAAAACTTTTCATGGCTTGTTTTGGAGTGTGATGAATTCTCAGTGATTCGAGGTGAAGCCGATATGTCTAAATATATCTTTTCATTTCGCCGCGATGCCTCAAACCCCATCTGTATCACCGTGCTGTTGTTTGCTGTTTCCAGTGGTGTCTGCAAGGCTAATGTTACTAGGCTAATCCTGCTAGGCTAATGCTGCTGAATGCCGGTTGTTTTGCTGCTTTTTCCGGGCGTCTGAGCGCCTGAGCCTGCGCTAGTTTTAGCCAATCAGCACCGGGTTAACCTCAAGTCCCACCAGGGCCCAACCGAGTAAATACCATGGAGGAGGGACTCTGTTGGGCCCATGGATGTATTATATTAACTGGATAGGGTATTACTAGCTTGTAGCTGAATAACTCACGTGCTCAGGGGATTCTCGCGGTACTGCAGACTGAACCAGACTAAATTCACGTGGGCTACCCAGAAATTTTCCCCATAGAACTCAATGCATATTAAAACAGCTCAACCTCAGCTGACAGAGAACCTACAGCTTTAATAAAGATCGGATTTTGTGGGGATTTTAGTGTCCCTTGTCATCCTGAACTTTTTTTCTTCTTAAATCCTTCGGTTTTGTTTAAATCCACACTTTAGTGCCACAAACTCTGCTCCTCTGGCTCTCGCTCTAACTCCCGCTCTGATGAACTGCTCTGATTGGTCAGAGCGCGGCCGAGCCCCTCTGTGCACGTGCGTGAGACCCGGTGTGAGACCCACACACGCGTGTTTGGCGCAATGCATTATGGGAGATCATCCACTGCGCAGAACCGGGAGGACCAGACGATGCCCAAATACAGGCGAGTTTCCCATAGATCTTTGCGAGTTTCAGGCAACTTCCGCTAATCTTTCAGCCCCCATGCCGTCACAAAGCGCCACTGAGCACAACCATTCATTTGAATAGGGCGCCATCTTGGATCGCCGGGGCTTGGTTGGGCCCCGTAAAAGTTCCTGTAAATGGCCCTGTGGGGAAAGTTCCTGCAGTGGAGACACACACCGACAGGGCTGGCCCTGGAAATCTATCCTGAAGTTCCTGCGGCTAAAGAACGCTCCACTTGTGATAACGGGCTACAAATATTCTACAGCAGAGTTTGTTTTTGAAGGCTACACTTATATTAAGCGTGTCACAATATGAGGGCTATCCTACACCAATATGTTTTACAGTAGAGTATCCAGTAAAAAGTACTTCTTGGAATCTGCTCCTGAATCTGCTCCTGGGACATAATTTGGACACCCTTCCCTCTTGTCCAAGGTCCAATACAGTTTTTAACTTTAAACAAATGCAGATGGGATGTAAAACCTGCCTGACCAGTTCAAAATAGAGTGAAAAGACCACTACATAAATAAACGGTGTTGTCGTACCTTAAACGAGTGTTCCAGTTGCACTAGAAAAGGAAAGCTGACGGCCTGGAGGATGCGCTTCTCGTTCAGTGTGTGTTCTATCTGCTTCAGCTTCACTACCTGAAATTTCACAAAATTATATCAAGGTCTCACCCCTCACACATACATGTACACGCACACTCACGCAAACACACACCATGCAAAACATCTTCCCATGCAAGAGAAAGCAACATTGATAAGAAAATTCCTTTGTATTCTACCTTTTGTTTGTCAAGTATCTTCATGGCAAAATGCTGTCCGCTTTCTTTGTGTTTGACCAGCATGACTCGACCAAACGATCCGGTCCCTAAAGTCTTCAGCCGTTCAAAATGATCCAACGCTGCCGTTTGCTAAACAGGCAAAAAAAACAAAAAAAAACATGACAGATGTAATTGGCGCTTATGCTTTTGTTCACGTTGCAACACAATATTAGACCAGCAGAGGGGGCACTATATCAATATAAGCAAGATAAGCTGAGAAACATCCACAAAGCATTAAATCAAAGTAATTCAAACTTACCTGAGCTGGATTTTCCCATTTCTTAAGGAAATCTTCTTTGGCTTTGGCAAGAAACTCCTTTACTGTAAAATAAACACAAATAAAAAAAGATTTCATTATATAAGCACATTCAGGTTTGTATTGAAAAGTATTTTTCATTTTCTTAATACTACACAAATATATTTATAGTTATGGACTTAAAGTAATGAATAACAAATGCTCCTTCATAATAATTAAAACAGTAACTAAAAAGTAAAAATAATTTCAATTTTACAATCACAATGGAACATACAACTTCAATAACATTTAGCAATCAGATCTCAATTAAGTCTTAAAACCCCAACACACCAGTTTTATCAGTAAAGCAAAAAAAATCTTTTAGCGCATACCAATATTATAGATAAGTATATCTGTGCTGCTTATTATGAATAAAATAGTAATACATACATAGCTGCCTTTATTTTATTTGTTATACAAACATCAATACTTGACCCAAGTCTGTACAGTAGACCACACAGTACCAATCACAACTCATCATTGAAATCACCATTAAAACCAAATAATAGGTCTGCAAAACTCAACACCCATCTATTAGATTGTGTCATACAGAGAATTTTAGATTAAGAGTAAGTTTTAAATAAAGGGAATATAAATTGAGGACATTCTTTACAATGTGATGCAGTACTTAAAAAAACATGATCATAAAATTAAATAACATGTTTAAAATGTATTCATTATAGCAAATATCTCAAAAGGAAGTGTAGGACTTCACTGAGAGGCAGTAGAAAGGCACAGTTCCTGATGAATTTGAGGAACTTGTGGAGAATGGTTTTTATTCCATTTGTTGTCATTGATATTGGACTACTTTGATCCCTTATGTTGAACAATCTAGAGACTGCAATGACATAACAGAATTGCTTCTCTGTATCATCCACTTCACATGAATGGTGGAGTCAAACAAGACAACTGTACCATTTATGTCGTCATCATCAGCTATTTAATATCATCCTGCGATTTGCTGATTGCATCTATTCAAACGGAGATTTTTATTTGATTGTGATACATTTTTGAGCACTAGTTCACATACTCTGTAGGTTGTGCATCTTGTGCTGGTCATTCTAATTAGATAAGTTCACCGCATCGACAGAGAACTCATGTGATGCCTCAGCCTGCGTTTGTAGAGCTACAGTTGCCTTTGTTAAGATTTACAGCTACTGAGGCCCCTGAGCCGCGAGGAGGATAAAGGAGACAACTGAAAACTAACCACCGGAAGACGATTACAGACGGAATGAGAATACGAGTTTACAACACTACAGAAGAGTCTGCATAAACCACGGTAAAACAACCGTGCAACATAGACAAAGGTGAATCTAGTCAATATTGTGAATGTTGTTTTGGTGATATGCAATTTTTTACACTCAGTATTCAACTGTGCAATCAGATTTCTATTCTAAAATCAATAGTGCATTTTTATGGATTAATGTTATAACCTAATGTTCAATTAATGCTTAAAACTGGGATTTTAAAACGGCATACAGTTTGGTTCAACAGTAGTTTTTACACACATTCTTGCCCTCAAAGCTTCAGATGAACTTTTTCAGACCCAAAAAGGTGAAAAAAAAATCCCACCCTTGCTTGAGTCTCACAGGGCTAAAAACAACAATACACATGTCTCATCACAGCAACAGAGTCAAGATTATATTATTCCTGATTTTTATATTTATAAATTCTACAAGTTGTAAATGATGACAAATTATGTGCAAAAAAGTGAGACAAATGTAACAGACACTAAATGATGCAAATATTCTTTGGTTTAGTGAAGTACATCATTGAAGTGTCTTAAAGATGAACTGTGAATCTCCTCCAACGATGTTCTAGAACGCTGCTCTACTTCCTATAATATTTTCCCCAATATTTTCTTTCCAATTCAACTTCAGTGTAAAATTATTATTTGTATTTAATATTGATGACAGTCCACACATTCCAGCCATTACCGTTGCTAAATAAGAGGAACCTTGAATTGCCTATGACTTATGAATTTGTAGATTAAATCGGACGATTTAAAGTCTCACGGGTATCGTATACCTCTAGAATGCAGCCACTATATTAATTTAACATTATTGTGGACACAATATGCACTGATCTTGAAAATTTAGCAAGTGAGAAAATAAAATTATAGTTACAGCTCAATTAAAATAATTATGCTCTGAACAGCCTGGATGCAGTCATTAAATCAGTTTTATAATTCACACATTGGTATTTAAATGCCTGTCCAATTAAACAGTGTAATCTCTGTCAAAAATGCTAATAATAATGGAGACTGGGTCAGTTTATACATAATCGCATTTAAGGTTTAGGTTTGAAAAATAAAAACTTAATGGAGGAAGACTCCTTCCAAAAAAATTAATAAATCAAAAATGGTAAATTGGTCTATTTTAGTCTGTTCTACCACAGAACGGTTCACTTGCATGAGAACATGACAAACTAGTGTGACCTTCTCGAGACCACAAGCATGTTTGTTATCATCACTCACTTGAGCAGTCTGCAGGTCTAATCCAGTCAAACGCCAGCCGTCATAAATTATATTTATTGTTCAATTATCGTTTGAATTCATGTCATGTTCTGTATCAGATACAAGCAAACAAATGTCAGTTAGACAAGAAAATACATTTGTGTTCCTTTAACAATTTTGATTCCAGGGATATTGAACTACTTTCGTTCCTTTGGTAAATATTTTAAAAGGCATATCTCAATAAAAGGTAACAAGGAGACTACAATGACAAATTGCTTCTGTTTGTACCATCTACTTTATATCAAATATAGTATATAAAACCTATAGTACTGACACAGACAAACAGCTCTCGGTTTGTAAAAGATCAGCTTGCTGTAATCCAATTTGTTCACTATATGTTACTAATAACAACACTTTCTGTTAGGACATTCAATAGGTATTTATAGGAAACATGGATACTTGAAGTATTTTAAAACACATTAAAAAACAGAATACATGTATTTTCATTATTTAGAATCTTGTGCAAACTCCTGAGCTCCTCTAGGTGTGCTACTACTGCCTAAATTAAAAGTTTATCACCAGTACTGGGCGTGTTGACACAACTAACATGCTCTCACACATAAACACATCACTTTGTCCTTATCTCTATGGGGCTAATCACTGCGCTATGTGGGAACATGAAGATAATCAGTTCTTCCTCATTTCATCTAGCAGTTGTACAGACACTAACCAGGAGTCTGTAGGTTATTTAACTTTGAAAGTAAACCTTATTTACAAGTGTAGTTGGTGCTTTCATAACAGAGTGCCATGTAATCAATCCTTCACAACAGCCTGGGGGGTAGTTTAAATAATCCTGTCGATAAGCCAACTACTCTCTGGACTTCTGGGAAAACACAATCAAACACTGCCCAATTCAACGGTCTCAATTTTCTGCTGTAACTTAAAATATCCAGAAATACTTGACAGCAAAATTCCCATGTAGTTACAGCGTTTCCTGAGAATTCTCCATAGACCAGCAGCGCTAACGATACAGTGGGAGAAGGCCAGCTTGAAGGGCAGAGACCAAAGTTCAAATAAACTCAGAGTTGAGCTGCCATTTTCAAAACAGGTTGAGTCGTATCAAGCCACAAATCTCCATTGATGCAAAATTTGATCTTTTAGGGGAGCTGGTTGTCTTTGGGATCCACTTTGGTTAAAAATCGTAAAATCATACCATCTGGGAGGACTATGGGCACTTCTACGGCTGCAGCAGCATCTGATGATCGCGACCCTGACTCAGTGGAGCGAGAAGACGACTCCCTCTTCCCTGCATGCCTCCTGGAGCTCTTCCGGTCACACATTAGCCCTGCAAAGATCCTAAATTGCGGCCCTTTTCCGCCTCAGAGGTGCTGCCAACTCATGACCTAGCCGTTAGCTCCAAGTTAGCGCTTCCGATTCTCCAGCTTTCTCTCCTCTTCACTGTCACCAAACATAGCACTGGGACAGCAGCAGCAACAGCAGCAGCAGCAGCAGCAGCAGCAGCAGCAGCAGCAGCGCTTCTGTTACGTGCTCGCTGATCAATTGAACCCTTGCTTACTTTGTATCAATATTTATTCTGTACACAAAGTACACTCTGCCATTGCCTCTCATGTTAAACACACACACATTATATTGATTTAAAACAGGGCATAATCACGAGTGGGAGGGGTGTCAAACTCAAGCCGATATATATTTACCAAACGTAGAAAGGATTGTAGAATAGTAGGGCCAAGCCAGGGGTAATCTACAACTTGCCCCCTGGCAAATGTTTTTTTGGGACAGAAATGTTCCAATATCAAAAGGCAACTATTCTTCCTATGCCAAAACACATGCAGGGTATCCATAACCTAGACCCAATCAATTTTTTCCCAAAAAAATCAATGGTGAATCTCTCCCCTGGGCCTCAGTGGCCCACTTTGGCGCAGGAACAGGGGGGTTATATTAGGGCGGGATGACCGACATTTAACTTCCATGAGCCAATTCAGGTCCCACATGATGGTGACGCCGCATAGGCCTGGTTTAAACACAGCCCCAGAAAAGTCAGAGATGAACACACAGGGACCTAGGTGCTGCAGTGAGTATGGACACTTTAAACCAGATCAAACACATAAACTGCTCTGTTGTAGTGCGGCAAATCTTTATGCTTTACAATCACAACTGATTTTTTGGTTTAAGAAATCCTTAAAACTTTTTTTTGCATTACTAGTTTGTGATGGTCTGGCACAAATCATACAATTTAACATCTATTCCATTTATAAAAATTTATTAAACTACCCAGTAATGGAAGCTATTAATTCCAGAAAGAGGGTTTTGATAAGAAAGACAGTTGTACGTATTCCTCTGCTTGAACCGAATATCAAGTCGAGACATTGGGTTTGAGTTTCATCTGACACATTTTGCAGAGAACGTGAGTGGGATTTCTTCTATACACTAGAGTCCATTGGTAATCAGTGCTGACTTACCACAAAGCCTCTTTAAGTGGAGACAGGAAGTGGTAAGTGAACTGCACACAAACCTTGGCCTGCTGCACAAACCAGCAGTGCACTCAGTCAG